AAGCTGGAACCAGGTCGAATATCCAGAGACGTCTCACTGTTGTTGCCAAAGCGGGAACCGAACGAGTGAGGCTTGAAGTTGAGTGCCGGAGAGGTCGGCGATTCCAGATCGTCGGGGCTGGGGAAACCGTCCTCCTTCTGCTTCTTCTTTCTCGACAAAAAGCTGAGAAAGCTTTTGGAGTCCTTGGCGGAGGAGGGAGGCTCAGTGCCAGCGGAGCGATCTCCGATGGACTCCTGCGGCGATGGACGGCCACCGTCCTGACCGTGGCGACGGGGCTCGCCGTTGTTACGGGTGGCCTGGATGATGTCTGCAATGTTCATGCCGCTGCGTAGCATTTGAGTAGCCTCAGGGGGCACACCGGAGCCGTAGATGGCCGCGCTCGAGGACACGGAGTCTGTGCTGTTCCTCGACCTGTGCCCGAACTTGGTCGAGTGCGGAGAGGCCGACATTTGACCGGCAGAGGAGGGAAATAGAGATGCACTCTGCGGGTTCGGGCTATCGTTCGGGCTGTCGGTTCGCAGCGGCAGCGGGCGAAACATGCCCTCGCCAGACTCGCTAGCATTGGGGCTGTGTCGCCGGGTGCCGTCCACGTCGAGTTGCTTCAACATATTTCTGTGGTTAGTATCCGAGCTCATAGTATTGTTCAAAGAAGGCATGGTCGTGGACCTGGTCTGCGAGAATCGCCGGCCGCCGAATCCAGGTCCTGGCGCCTTTATCGGCGTCTGCCGTTTATCAGCCTTCGCATGTTCACCCACACGGGTTATCATACTCACGTTGGGGGATTCTGCCATGTCCGACCCAGCGCTAGGCAGGTTGCCGCCGTGGTTGACCGACTCTTTCCGGCCATGGGAAGAAACCTTGGACGGGTCGGCCGGTCGGCCGGTTACGATGCTTCTAATGAGGCGCCGCATTCTCTTGCCTTCCTCGCGCTCCCGCGGCTGATCCCATCCGGTTCCGCTGTTTGTGCATTCTACGGCCAACCTGGGGTACACTTGCTGGTGCATCATACCGAAATTCCCTCGGCCGCCATGTGCACTGGCAAGCTCCAGAAAGTGCGCACCGTGCAGGTTTAGTCCCTTGAAGGTTTCCTGCCAGTCCTTGGAGAACTGGTTCGAGGCGAGCCATAGCAACACTTTCTCCAGAGGCCATTGCGCTGCCAAGTCCGGGTGAATACTAGAAACCGCTGTCGCATTTGATGTCGTTGACAATCCTCGGCTATGCATAGCCTGGGCGTAGAGCCTATCCCTCCCAGACATGTCGTCTTGCGGCGTGGTCATGGCCGTGTCGCCGCTTGTTTGGCTGTTTGTAGGCCAGGAGCCCTGGGACGTGGCGGAAAATGTGGCCGAATCGTCAAAGCCACCCAGACCGGGTATTCCGACACCTTCGCCGTAGGTATCACCCTGTGGTATATACGTTGCAGACATTTGCCCATGATCGTTGGGCGGAGGCGGGGGCGGTATGGATAGTGTGGTGCCTGTCGCGACTTGCGCGTGCAGCTTGGGGTTGTAGGCCTGATGTTGGCCCGGCGGGGGAGGGGGCACGTTGAAGCCGCCCCGGCCATCGTACATGCGTCCGAAGGCGCCGTGCCACGGGGCCTGGCCGGCCATTGCACTTCCCGGCGGCGGCCCTGGAGGGGGCGGCAGCATCATGCCGCCCCCGCCTGTGGCACCAGGGGCAGAAGGGAAGCGCGGGGGCGGAGGAGGTATAGACATCATGTTGTTCATCTGGCCCGGGACGGGCAGCGACATGGGAGGAGGCGGCGGAGGGACCTGGAAAGGCCTTGAAGGGTCAGCCGACGAGGCATGTCGCTGGGTGTTTTGATACATTGGCGGCGGTGGAGGAAGCGGGCCAGCTCTGGTAGCTGGCCTCGCGGGTTCGAGCCCGAGGGGAGGAGTGGTCGGGACAGAGCTCGCAGTCGAGGCTCTCGGGCGAAGACCGCCGGCGGAGAGAAGGCTGGACGAGTTTCTCGGACGAGGATAGGGCGATACGGCAGAGGTGCTATTTGTGGTGGGAGGTAGGGGCCTGATCGGCGTTGCCGCTGTGGTCGAAGTCCTTGTCGAGTTGTGACCCGGCAGGTCGTGGACGTTGAAGACGAGGCCTTCGAGATTGTGAATCTCGTCTCTGGACCGTGGCACGGATGGGAATGGAATCGGATTTGGGTCGTGGGTATCAGATCTGGTTGCAGAGCGCTGGCGCGAGTAGCTACTCATGGTATGCCAGGTATGGTTGGGGATGGTACACTATGGGTACGCGGCACATGGCAGGGGTAATGTGGGCCTTTAGACCGCGGTCATGTCGTGGGTGCGGTGCGGCGGTGGACCCTGTGCCGGACGTTGAACTCCAAAAGGAGTAAAGCAGGTGCCGTGTGTCCACGAACAATTCAATCTTATTTTGGCTATACGGAGTATTGTCAGCGCAAGTCCGGGTCATCGACAGGATCCGTCAAGCCGAGGTCGTGGAATGCGGCAAGACGAAAATCAAGACTAGCACCACCAATTGGAGACTTTGGAGAGAGAGAGTCTGTGTGAGTGACAGAGAGGGGTATGCAGTAGGTATGCGAATCCAAGGCGGCAGCCGTTCGAGCGTCCTTCGGCTAACGGAATACGGATAGGGAGAAAGAAAAGAGTGATTGAGTGAGAGATAGAGAGAGAGACGGAAACAGCAGTGTAGCGCGCTTAGAGGGACTTGGTACTGTTCTCTTTGGTCGACTTTGGGGGAGGTTGGAGGCGGCTGGACGGGCAGAGGCTGGCGCGAATGGGTGGCTTCGGCTTTGGTGTGGCGTGCGACGTGCGTTATCCCACGCAGCTCTAACGGGGCGGCTGTGTCGTGCAGAGAAGCCCGAGCCAATGAAGGCAATGAAGGCAATGTGATGAAGGGCGGGGGCGAAGGAATGGAATTGTCGTTGGTGTGTGTGTGTGTCCCCGCGGTGTATTAGTATTGGATGACCTAGAGTCCAAGTATCCGTCCCATGGTAGTTTAAACTAGGTACTTAGTTAGTATTAGTGGTTATAATAGAAGACTTGGATCCCGGCCTTTGTTTTGGCCATGGGCAGGCGGTCCAAATAAGATTTGAAAAATTGATAACGGGCGATTCAGAGAGGATGGGATGGGATGGGATGAGATGCCGGGCTCTAACTCGAGTGTTGGTCTGCTATTATTCTACCGAGAACGAGGCACGTATCCGCACTTTGCCAAGGTACTGTACTGCCCTACCCAGACAAAAAAACAAAAAAGCTGGACAATGGCCATGAAACCAACCATCACCCAGCCATCCCCCCCTGCCTTTCGATTCCTCCGTCTCTTCCTCCCGCTCGACTCGATCTTAGTCTCGCAGGCACCAGGTACGGTACAGCCCATGCCCGTCAGTCACTACCTCTACTTATCTGCTATGTTTTCAAGACGCATGCAACGCTTCTGCCCACCGTTGCGCAAACCCGACGCAAGGGCCCGATTGTTCATTTGGGCCTCGCTGGGGTCCGACACGCGCTTACCCACCACACCTAACGCTTCCTTGCCGCTCTTACACAAACAACTCCCCGGTGGTATTTCGAGTCGAGGCCATGACGGCCAACTGTCCCTATCAACTTTTGATCGTCTCACGCTAGGTATGGCTCAGATACCCATGTCGGTTGTCTCGGGCCAAAAGTGCTGTCGAACAGGAAACGAACCCGGTTGAGACAGTTTTCCCCAACATGCCGGGCACCGTCAAGACTTTGCCTGTCTGCTGTCTCTTCCACCCTCCGCCGTCTGTCCAACCAACTCTTTCGCGGCTATCGCGTTAGCGTCCGAAGTCACCGGGCTCTTTCGGCCGGGGTTGGAGGGTTGGGGGACCAGGCGGAGGGTAGGTGGTTTGGTGGTGAGAAACCCACACTACACGATTCCATTCCTCCAACGTTGGACATCTTGTTTCTACAACGACAAGGCATTCCGATTCGAAAAGCCTATTCCGACCGGGCGATGTAGCCCCAATCAGACCCGCAAACCCCCTGGGTGATCGGGCGTCATTCACCCGCTACTGAAACAGGACAAACCCACATCTTACATCCCACAGCCCGGAGGCGTTTCTCTAACTCGAGAGCCAACTCCAATCTCTCTCTCAGTCCCTCCCTCTCTCTCTCTTACCGATGTGTCGATGCAGACCACGTTTCTTCCCATAACCCACCATGTGTCCCTTCCTCGCCCATCCTAGTCCAATCATTCTTAAGCAATAGCAATATGCCAACATATACCTTGACCGGTAGGTAGTAGATACCTACTCACGGACGGCTACTACGTTACCCCCACATGGTTATATACCGACAAACAGGGCCGAAGAAGCCATATATCCAAGAGTCCATTGACGCGTTTCCAAATAGTCAAGACATGCCGACCGCCAGAAACGAAGTCATGACCTGCATGAACCGTATACCGTATACCGTCCCCAATCCCGCGCGCCAAGGGTGCCCGTCCTGGGTGAGACGTCCCGGGCGACGCCCACGAAGGAACTCTACATACATAGTAGTAAATACCCACCCCCAAACTGTCTCGCAGCTCTGGGGTGCAAGCTCGGGAACGGGGTATGCCTGCGCATCAAGCCCCCGGGCTGCTGGGAAGAGATCAGACGGACAAAAAAAAAAGCAAAGAATGCTGCCCGTGGGTACCTGCGCCATGCACCTTGCCGACGGCCGCTTTTCATCAGTCGAGATTGCGTCATGAAGCTCATGCAAACAGGGGGTAAGGGGGGCGAGTCGCCCGTCCTCAACGTGATATGCTTGGTATGCTTTCCCATTAACTCTGGCAGCGCCTACAACTGGCGCACAACATTCCCAGAATATACAGTAGTGTATATGGAAATAGCCAAGAAAACAAAATCATGACGCATGTGACGAATGCCATGCTTGCCAAAAAAAAAAAAAAAAAAAACCATCCCGTCACTCCACCTCAACGTCGTGGGCTATGCGCTGCTGAGCGCTCTATGGTAGACAGACTGTGACTCTCTCGCGACGGCTCAAAATACAAGCTTACATGACGCCGCAGTTCGCGTAGTTCTTCTGGCACTGCTCCAGGTACCCCATGTCCTCTTCGGACCCCTCAAGGACATTATGCTGCCTCGCCAGCCCCGTCACCTTGAGCGTCTGCACCCCGTCGGCGTGCCACCACTTGAGCTTCTGCACCAGCGAGCCCTCATCGTCGTCCATGCTGATGGACCACTTGCCGGAGCTCACCTCGACCGTGGAGCTGTCCTGCGGGTAATGGAACTCGGGCAGGAACACCACCGTCGGCGCCGCCTCCGAGGGGGGCGCCGAGGCCTTGAGCTTGAGCGTGAAGGAGCAGGTGCGCAGGTCGAAGCCGTATTGCAGGACGTCGCCCGCGACAACCCACGGAGATGGGCGGACAAAGGCCTCGGCAGCGCGTAGGCCGGGTGCATTGGTCAGCTCCGGGTCCTTGGATGGCGCTGAAGATATCGACGGGTTGGTGATGTTGCTTTGGAGGTTTTGCGGCGTGACTGTTGACTCGTCAGGTACGTCCCTGCTCACGGAATTGCGCTTCAGCTCCGATGACTGGCCGGGTGACGGGCTGCGGGGGAGGGGCGACATGGGTAGCGTCTTGTCGTCTAGTGAGAAGACTGACAGATCCTCGCCGTTCCAAAGATCGCCGTATTGGTGTGTGTTCTGCCAAGCGGGTTAGTAAGCCTGTGTAGGAAAACATTAGATGATTCGCGTACCTTTGCAACGTAAACCCACAGGCAATGCCCCTCCATCCCTGACCCTTCGACACCAAAATAGTTGGCGTCTAAGGCCGCTGACTGATCTGCATAGTCGCCCGTCTTATACGCCTTCTTCTCGCCCATATCATATGGGATGCCGAATTCGGTCATCACGCAGGGATGGTTACCCATGCGGTCTAGACCTTCCTGCCTCAGGGATGCCAACTGATCTTTGAAGCAGTTACGGATGGCCGTCTCACCGACCTTGACCGACAGAGCCTCATGCCAGTACCGTCCACGCAACACACCGACGACGTCCACGTTCCACACCCTGTTCCAGCGTTTCGTCATCAAAGTGATGCCATCGTACCAATGAGGCGAGAAGGCCATCAGCGGATCATCGTCCTCGGTGCCCTTGATCTGAGGCGGCAGCTCCAGCGTTGGGTATTGCATCAGCATGATGCAGTCCTTGTGAATCGGTCGGATAGCGTCTCTGTACAGGCGATATGAGTGCATGAAATAGGTATTGGTGAATTCCGGGTGGTCAATCGTCTTGCCCGTATTGGGGTTCTTGGAGAAGTAGTTCTTCTTTATGAGCGTATCGGTATTGGGGTCCCAAATGCCGTGCTGGGCCCAGACACACTCTCCAAGCTTCCAACCCTCGTCTCGCTTCCAGCCGTATCTCGAGTCGTCATAATCGGCCGGCAGCCAGGCCATCTCGCCATGGGGGTCCACCAGCGAGCGGCCGACCTTGTAGGGGCCCATACCGCCCATATCCCACGTGTCCACCTCGCACGCACGGCCAGAGCCGGTAAGGATGCACTGCCAGATGGTGGGACATGAGCCCTTTTTCAACTTTTGGGCGTTCGGGATGACGCTGATGTCCTGGTATCCGACCAACCCGCAGCCGGGCTCGTTCATGCTCTCCCAACCGATGACGACGTCATTCTCGAGGTCGCCGGCCTCGTGTATACGCTTGGCGAGATGCGCGCACGCCGCCACGAAGTGGCCTTGCAGAAAGTCCTGAATGTTGATGCCGTTGATGATGCACTTGGGTGCAAAGTCCCTACCACCAAAGTACATTGTGAAGATGGTGGCGGCAGCGAGGCGCCAGTAGTTGGTCGACCAGATCATCTTGGGGAACTCTTCGGGCTTCGGGTACGTATTATGCACCAGGGCGGCCTCGGTCGCAGAGAAGCTCTGGGGGTTCAAGCCGCAGGCGTAGATGGTCCACATGGGTGCGCCGGAGCCACCGCAGAATCTAGACCACTTGGATGGTGTTAGGATGCAATGTGCAACGCGAGATGACTGTGGGTAGCGAAACGTACCACATCCTGGTGGGGATCCATGAAGATGTAGAAACCATAGTCTTTAGCTATCCTCAGGATCTCAATTGTATGCTGAATCCATTCCTCATCATAGCGACCCGGGCCCGCGGCCTCGATGGCCTCCCACGTAAAGACATAGCGAATAGTGTTGTAGCCGTAGCGCTTTATCCTCGAGAAGTGAACATGAGCCTCCTCTTTAGGAAACGGGCGATTGTGGAACGTGACATTGTCCCCGTCGAAGAAGTCGTCGGCAATGTGGGAAGGCTGGTCGGGTTCGCTGGGGAGCTTGGCGTCGGCGGCGATGTTGAGGCCTCGAAGCACGACTTGTCTTCCATAGCCGTCGCGGAACTGGCCGTCCTCGATGGTCAATCGTAACGAAGACATGGCGGAGAAGGCTCCTGATTCCAAGGTCGGCGTGCTTCTTCCGTCTTCCGTGTCTCGCACTGTCAAGACAAGTAATTGGTGATTTTTGGAAGCGTGCTTAGAGGGAAGAGAAGTCGTTCCAACTTGGAGATAGGAGATGCACGAGACGACAATGACAGGGCGACCGCGGCGGACGGGTTACCAAAGGTCCGAAAATGAAATTGGGACGGTTCGATGACGTCCTGAAGGGGGGGGGGGGGAGCCTTGATTAATCGGTCGCGCAATGCCAGTGGGAAACAGTGGGCTGGTAGGGGTACCTTGTCACACCGGTGCAGCACTTTAGCGACCGCCAAGCACTAAAATAACAGGGGTTCTTCGGGGAGGCGAACAGAATGGATCAAAGACGAAGAAGAAAACAGGGGGGGGGATGAATAATAAGGGAGGAAATCAAAGAGAAAGAAGGATATGGTAAAGTTCATATACCTACGGCTCTCTAGTAATACCTTACTCGCCGCCGTTCATCTGAACGCCATGCAGAGGCCGTCATGGCTGGCGAGCGTGGACGTAGATGGACAATGGCTTAAACGGCACGAAAGTCTGCGTGACTGGGCACCTGCCACCCACACCTCCGCTCCGCTCGTTTTCGTGTTTGAACGCGGAACCAATCGTTGCCGTCCGCGGGTGACGCTAAGCGGGCTAGGCGGGCTAGGCGGGGTGGTGCCCGTGGCGTCGGCTCTCGCTTGAACTCCGGGTGGACGCCGCCAAATATCCGGGGATGTAACTGGTGGGGCGGTTGGGACATTAATACCTATCATACCTAGTGTAGATAGTAGATGGGTAGGTACCAACCAGGTAACATACCACACCCAACCCGAACTTGGACGAACCGGCCGTGCAGGAAGTTAGTTGGCCATGGTGCTCCACGTCACTGAGGCATTGATTGCACCGAGTATGGGATGTCTAGGTGCATCACCATTTCAATGGCCTTTCCTTGGGTTAAGCGGCTTAACGACATCTAAAAAGCTAAAGACGTCGACGCGGACTGGCCTGCTACAAGACTCGACCAGTATACGCGAATACATGTTGAATACGCCCACTTTGATCAAGCATGGGTGCTATCTCGGTCTGACTCTGCGCTGTCTCTGCGCCCTGTGTCCTCCGCATCTCCCATACGGGCCCTTTCATCGTCTCTAGGTCCCCAGATCAAGTCGATGTACAAACTTGGTTTGCTCGTCTTGCTTCCCAGAAGATACCTCTTGAAGAACCATGGCAGGTACTCCGACACCTGGTGTCCAATAAATCTGCGCTTCGATACCGCAAACACCAAATCGAGATCCTCGAGGCTCCTCCTCTTTGTCTCCTCCAACAACAGAAAAACCATGATCAACGCGAGCATATTGAGCCCCGCGAACAGATACAGCGACCCGCCGTCCCCCAACCCCGAGTTGATCCGCGGGAAGAACATGGAAAGCAACCCGGCAAACCCCAGGTTGACGGCGATGGCAAACGCAGCGCCGGCCTCGCGGTGCGACAACGGGAAGCTCTCCGACGCGTACGTGAACGGGATCGGGCCTAGCCCGGGCGAGTACGTCGCAGCGAACAGCAAGATGAAGAGCGTAAACACCGCGACCTGGGCGTCACGGTTGCTGATGTGAAACGACACACCCGCGACCAGCATGAAGAGCGACATCGCCGGCAGCGTCAGCATGAGCCACTTGCGCCGCCCCAGCGTGTCGATGGTCCTGATAGCCGGGAGGCCGAAGACGAAGTTTACCGCGCCGTAGCCCAGGCTGAAGATCATCGAGTCCCGCTTGTCCACGCCGGCGCGGCTGAAGAGCGTGCCCGAGTAAAACGCCAGTACGTTGATACCGCAGAGCTGCTGCGCCAAGGCCAATGTCGAACTGCTGATCAGGGCGTTCCGAAGCCGTCGCCTAAGGAAGAGCTGCCTCCATTGGCGGAAGAAGCCCGCGATGGTGACGGCAAAGCCTTGTGCCGACTGAGAGCTCGCGTCGACGCTGGGCAGCTCCTCCTGCTCGAGTGACTTGTGGACCAGGTAAATGTCCCGTAGGGCTTGTAACTCGGTGTTTCTCAACTTCCTGAGAATCTCATACGCCCGTCGTGGGTCGTAGCTCGGGCTCGACACCCGCATCAAGTATCGCGGGCTTTCGTCGCAGAACCAGATGACAAACACCAGCAGCGCTAGCGCAGGCACCATGGGGGCTGCCACCATCAACTGGAAGGTCAGCCTCTTGTTCGAGTCTGGCGTTGTATCGAAAATCAGGTTGAAGGCGAACCCGACCATCATTCCCGCCGCCACCCACAACTGCCACGCGAGAATGGATGTGCCACGCCAGTAACCCACTGCAGTCTCGCTAGCAAGAATAGGGGTGCTGACGGCTTTGAGACCCATCCCTATTGCCTTTTGTTAATGTTGCTTCTTCTGTAAGAGATCATACTGCGCTCACCAATGCCATTAACCAGACGGATGCCAAAGAGTTGATGCCAGTCCGTGGCAAAGGCCGAGGCAAGAGAGCTGGCCAAGATCAACGACGCCGCAATTATCATGCCTCCTTTGCGACCCAAGTAATGGTTCACAGGAAGTGCCAGGGGACAGCCTAACGCCGCCGCGAAGAAGAACGGTGACGCATTGGCAGCACCGAGCTTCCAGTCATCGGCTCCTAGCGGAGCTTCTCTTCCGGTCGCGATACCATCTTCCTTCTCGGCGATTGTGTTGAGACCGAATTGGGTATCGTACAGCGACGAACCGTTAAGTGATGCTTGGACGTGGCCTTGTTCTGCGTTAGCACCTCGTCGTCAACGTGAAAATCAGGGTATAAATACCCTGCAGAAAGGCTGCTAGTGATACTGTGACTATGATTGTCCACATCCCCTTTTCGCTGAACGGAACATCGCGTTCCCGTACAAGTGCTCGTTTTTCCTCTCCGGTCAGCTGGACCGGAAGCTCTCTATTAGCGCTCTCGCTCGAGTTTCTGGCAACTTCGTCGTACAGCCTGATGTCTTTAGCTACGCGCGCTGCTCGAAGCAACTCTGCCGTGTCGACGTTTAGATGTTCCTGGGCGAACGATGCAACATCTGCTTCCAGTTGCTCATCCGTATAACCAGCTAGAGCATTGAGTCAGCAAAGAGGACCGAACGTCAAGCACCACCGCCACAAATGTGTATCAATTTGAGGGTGGAGGCCGTACAGACGCACCAAGGGGATTCTCGATTACTGCTCGCTCGTTTATCCGGCGACGATGGGCTTGTGTAGTCAGCCCCTCGTTCGCAGAGTGCGACCCATCCTTTGCGAAGGTGCCCATTTCATACATGTCGAAGGTTGGATGGACGAGCCAGTGGGGAGCGGGTATTGACGAGCACAGGTCAATCTCGGTATGGCATTAAAGGACTCGGTGTAAGGCTGCGATCAATTACTAGTCAGACCCATCCTAGGGGCTGGTCAAACGTTTACCGGGTGCTTTATCCATTTAAGGCTCACTATTTGACAATGAACACGAGGCGGCACGGGACTGAGGCATGAGAAGTGAGACTCTCGGGTCCAGTAGGATCTTGTATTCCTTTCCGCGTCTTGTCAATGCAGGTCTTGCCTGCTGCCCACGCTTTCCTCAGCCGGCAATGCACAAGCAGATAGTAGCAATGCAAGAGGTCGCCAGCTGAATCCGCTCGGTGACTGATCATCGGTACATTACAATATGACATCCTCTCCCGTACTCGGATTGCGGTGAAGTCCAAAGGATTGCCGTCTAGAACAGTGGTGGCGGAGCTGATCCTTGTGCTCCCTTTTCGCACTTTGAAGCAGACCCTCAAGAGTCTCGTGTTCTTGGCCCTTGACCACACCACAGAAGTGCTTCTCTTGACCAGGTGAAAGCCCTTGGCTGTCGAGATCCCGGTCAAAAGTTTGTCTGGATGAGCCCGGTGAGGAAAATACCTCATTCTCGCTACCATTTCCAGGTGACAGCCTCGTCTCGGGCACAAACAAGCTAGCCTCTTGAAGCTTCGTTTCCACGTAATCCCGCCACCGGTGTGAGGGAAGACGAAGGTGTACCACTCCAGGCAGCATTTACAAGGTGGCTTTTCCCAAGCCAATGGCCGTCCTCGTCGAGGGCGTTGGCAACTTGGGGCTATGCATGCCGGCCCTTGGCTCTCGGTTGTCATTCCAGAAGTTAGCCCTTGTCAGTTGTGATGAAGGTACACACCAAACCCCAGCCGGGGGAAATACCCCGCGGGGAGCAGTGGATGTGATCGCCTAGGACGGAAACACACCCGCAGATCAACAGGAATCCGATGAGCTAATCGTTCATGCTTGAGCAACCACATCATGATGCAGGATGAGGTGGCAGGCAACAAAGTCACACAAGCCGGGCTGGCTGCAACTCCTGTGCCCGTAATCAAAGTCTTTCTATGTGGCTATGCCCACCCTCCCCCTTCTCTATTCAGAGCAGAGACCGATGTCTCGGCGAACGTGACTAACATGGCTAAGCATCTGTTGATCACGGGGACTGCAGGAGGGATACATCGCCAGTAGGTAAGGAGGTGAGCATCGGGATTAAAATGTCTTCGATCGCTGTTGCTGGCCAAGCACGCACGGTTGCCGTTTCCTTGACTGTCGAGGGTGTTTTTCGTACAGCGATTCCATCCATCATACCCATAATATGTACCAAAAGCGACGCCTAAGGACGCCTCTCTTCGACTACTGCGAGATCAACGGACGCGGCTGTGGTTCAGGAGATTGAAATTGGAACGGAAATCCAGAACTGAATCTCAAACAGACAACGCTGTTTCGCGACCGACAAGATGGATCCTCTCTCGATCGCCGCGTTCACAGTCCAAATGGTCGGTATAGCCGGCAAGATCATTGAAGGCACCGGCAAGTTCGTCCAAGAGAGCAAAGCTGTTCATTCGAATATCGAAGAGTTCCTCGAAACAATCAGCAACCTGCACGCAGCTCTGCGCAATGTGGCTCGAACCCTAGAGGAGCACCCGCGTCAGTTTTCATATGAAAGAGAGCACCATCAAGATATCTTCAGGATTCTTAAATCATGCAAAGTCTCGCTTGATAAGCTATGCGCAGAGTTGCCCGAACTGGCGAAGAACCCCGGGCCGATCGACAAAGCTCGGGCGAGTTTTGCTATGACGTTGAAGTCAAATGTCATCCGAGACTCTGTTTCACATATAACATCGTACACCCAAGTTCTTCAACTCAGTTTGATAACTCTGTCACTGTGAGCCAAATTTCATTCACAGTCCTATGATTAAGCCAAGTACTGATAAAAACCAGAGGTTCATTATGGACTCAGCAAAAGTCACAGGACCAGGTGCATGCCGAAATCAGGGAGCTTACCGACGCTATCCGGTCTACAAACCTCATCTCTCAAGTTGGCACTACCCACAGACGTTTTTCAACCGAGTGGGACAATGATAACGAAACCAGAGTAGACGACTCTGTGTCGGTGACAAAAGAGATTCAGGCTTGGCGATTGTCGGCCGATGAAGTCGCCGCTGCGGTCACTCTCCAAGATGCGAACAATAGCAAGTCAATCTTGTCCTTCGGCCCGTCGTTCTCCAATCTTTCTCTGAACGACGACCTTGTATCACAACCGGCGCCGTTCGGAAGCGTTGACTCTGATGATTGGGATCCCGAGCCCGATCACCCAGACGGTCCAAGCAAAGATATATTACGCCACCAGTACGACGCAAACCAGGAAATGGTTGATCGCCTGGTGAGCTGCGGAATCTTCCTCCGAGCGTCGCTTTACCAGAAGAGGGGCATCGAAATACGAGAACAGCTGAGCCAGCCCGGTTATGACCTCGAGTTCAGCTTCGCCGAGAAAGCCGTCATGAAAGAAAGACTGGCTGACATTCTGTTGCGAAGCGAGACGGAGGAGGAGACGGTTGAAGCGAAGACCATCCTGCAAAGGCTACTGGAAGAAGAAGTCAAGCAACCGGATGAGTTCAAGAATGTCGAGCGCCGCAGCCGCCTGTATCATAACCTCGGATGCCTCTATATCAATCTTGGGAACCTGAAGCAGGCGAAGACGTTCCTCAGCCGAGCTCTTGAAGGCCGAAAGAACCAGAAACCTATGCCAGTCCAATCGGTACAAGAAACGGCCGACCTATACATCAAAGCACTGAAACTCGACGGGGCCTTTGATGAAGCAGGCGGAGTGGAAGTTTGGCTCAACAATGTAATTATACCCTTGGCGAGCCGACCGGCATCGCCACCAGATTCAGATCTCATAGGAGGCCTCAGAAGACCGTCGTCCATGGGGGAGCTGTCTCAAGCCTTTGCCTGGTGCCGAGAGAACGGTTTCGACATCGACATGCCCGGCGGTTTCCGATTCGATACTTGTGATTTCATGACGCGGACATCGCCACTGCATAAAGCGATCCAGGACGAGAATGTCGATGTCCTAAAACAGATGGTGGGGCATGTTGTCAGCCTTGAGACTGGAGGAGATCTTGGTGTCCCGACGCCGTTGCTACTCGCAGCGTCAACCAAGAACCGTGATATCGTCGGTTTGTTATTGCGTAGGGGTGCTCGTGTCAATGTCCGCGATAGCGCAGGGCTCAGCCCGCTCCACAGGTGTCAAAGCAAGAGCGGCGGCGTCAATGTAGCCAAGCTCCTGCTTGACGACACCCCTACTTTGTTGGACGCCGTCGACAACTCGGGCAAAACAGCGCTGTTCATGGCTTGCGAGATGGGGAACGAGAAGATGGTTCACTTCCTCCTGGAACAAGGAGCCAACCCCAACATCTGCCAAAAAACTAGAAGAGGGCCCACGTTGTCTCCCTACTTGGGTGGCACAAACGTATGCACCCCGTTGATTGCCGCGATTCAGGTGGTAGCAACAAAAAGCTCGCGCAAGATTGGGATTATAGAGGACCTGTTATGCCATGAAGCTGACCCTCATCTCACTGACGCCAACGGTAGAAATGCGTTTCAAGCAGCCAACAACTCGGGGCTGGCAGGGTCGGAAATCAAGCGACTCCTTCAAGAGCATGACTCGTCATCATCCAGGAGGTCGAGTGATACGTCTTCGGCGACAATATTTACCAGGTCCTCGAACTCAAGTGACAACATTCCGTCTACATCTGCCCGGAGGGTTGATATCATGAGATTTTGGAGCAGATCCGAATCAACGCAATCGGGGATCGAAACGGCTCCGGAGCGAGAGTAAACGAATAAGGTGGTGATTCAAGATGGTGTGCCGATCAATATTTCTGCTTTCAGATACCCTTGATAAATTTACTTGCTTGGTTTTTACAACGGATTGCGTTTGGACGAAAAGAAGAAAAGAAACATAAATCCATATTGGTTGAAGTTGGCGTAGACCTAGGTCGGATACTATGTAGTATACGGAGTAGGTAGACTTCTTATCTTATCACAATACTGGTTTAGCTGCATTGCTCGAAGTGGGGCATGATGTAATAAGGGAGGTTCTTAGGGGTGGGGGGCGCTGCCCTCTTAGCGCTCACCAAACAGACAGACAGCTCATGCCTCACTGAGCTCATTCTCTCACCTCCCATACAAACGGCTACCACACGGTAAGGAGCCGGAACCGACCAAATCTTGCATTGTACAACTCCAGCACCACCAAATATCTGGAATTATCTGCGAGGGATTCAAGACACTCTGGTTCCTTATTTCCGGCTCCTTCTTTCTGGCTCAGAAGCTCGCCCTTTCTTTTCCTTCCGTAACTACGACGGTGATGCCCCACCACCTGAAGGAGACCTGACTTTCATGATTCACGACCCTAGCCACGCGACAAAATGTCAGGTTCCAAGGCTGCCCTCAAGGCCATTGGCGATTCTGTAAAGCAACAAAAATGGGACGATGCCATTCAGAAGGCAACAGAATTTCTTGAGAAAGAGCCCAAGAATTATCAAGCGTACAGAAACATCATTTTTCTCCCCCCCCCCCCCGTTGATGAGGTTGCTGACACGTCTCACAGAACAATTTTCCTGGCCTTTGCACTTGACAAGAAAAACCGTGTCGATGAATCCGAAAAGGCATACAAGTCAGCTTCATTGCTGCGGCCAAAGGACAGCCAAGCATGGCAGGGCCTCATCAAGCTCTATGAGAAGCAGGATCGCAAGCGCCTGAGCGCATATCAACAAGCTGCCATCAGCCTAGCCGAGATCTACCGGGATGCTGAAGACATGTACAAGTGCCAGGATGTTATCGACAAGTTCATTGACTTTGCGAGATCCCAAGGGGATCCCCCACAATATGTCGAAGCTCTTGGCGTCATCCTTCCTGGGAGTCCGATATATCCCGCTCTCGAGGGCCGCGTCCCGCATCCGGCCAAGACCTACGAAACAATGGCGCAAATCACTGAGGCTTACGAGAAGAAGAGAATAAACACTCTCATAGGCGAGCGTCGGACAAGAATCGGCGCACGGCTGAACGAGGTTACCCTCGAGGTCAAGCGTGAAGTCATGGCCCAGAGCAAGCTTGAATTCGTTTACCAGCAGCTGATAAACTGGACGAATGATGACGAACTTCGGCGCAAGTACGAGGAGAAGCTCCTCCAGTACTGCTACGACCGTCTGCTGGTAGCACCCCCCGGCCCGGAGAAAGGCGCGGCCCTTCAAGCCGTGTTGAAATTGGCCCTCGACATGGTCATCATCAAGCATCCCTTCAGACTGGCCTGGGAGATTGCCATCGATTGGAAGGATGCAAAGGATATCAAGGATTGGGATGTGAACATGTTGAGAGACTACTGCACATTCTTCCCCGAGACCGATCTCTATAAAGTCATCACTGGCTTCCTGACGAGCAGCATCTCACCCTTCCCCAAGCCGACGTCAGCGGCACTGGAAGCAGAAGACACCGAAGAGGAGAGCGAGGACGATGAGGGGGGTGGCGTATCCATGGTACCGCTGACGGAACAGGATAGAATCCTGATGATGACCGAGGGTATCACCACGTCCAACTCAATCTTCGCCCACCGCTTGATGGGAGAGTACTACCAGCATCTGGAGGAGTACGAGGTCACCGTTGAGTTAATGCGCAAATCGATGGATATGCTCAAGACGGAAAGGATCAAGACTGGCATGACCTTTCATAACACACACGACGCTTACTCCTTGTACCTTGCCACGGCCCTGGTATTCTTCCAGTCCCCTCGCCACCACACCGAGGCGAAATCGCTTTTCGAGGGAGTCCTCAGCCACGACCCGTCATCTACTGCGGCACTGATTGGTGTTGGGCTTATTTATGAAGAGGAAGAAGATTATGACGATGCCATTGACTTCTTTGAGCGAGCCCTGAAACGAGATCCATCCAACCTCCGGGTGAGGACAGAAGCTGCGTGGGTCCAGGCTCTGAAGGAGGATTACGAAACGGCCAAGACGCAATTAGAGGACTCTTTGCCCCTCATCGAGAAGATGTCACCGCCTGCCAAAGAGCTTCTTGCGCAGACACAGTACCGGCTAGGGTCCTGCATCTGGAACCTCGATACATCAAAAGCAGCCCGCAAGAGCCGCACAGGTGCCTACGCGTATTTCTTGGATGCGCTGAAAAACAACCTCAGCTTCGCGCCAGCCTACACCAGCCTGGGCATCTACTATGCAGACTATGCCAAAGATAAGAAGAGAGCACGACGATGCTTTCAGAAGGCTGTCGAACTCTCATCCTCTGAGGTTGAAGCCGCCAAACGCCTTGCGGAATCCTTCGCGGACGAAGGCGACTGGGACCGGGTGGAGCTTGTGGCCCAACGTGTGGTTGATTCGGGCAAAGTCAGGCCGCCTCCGGGCTCGAAGAGAAAGGGCATCAGCTGGCCATTCTCTGCGCTTGGCGTCGCGGAGTTGAATAAGCAGGATTTCCACAAGTCTATTGTCTCTTTTCAATCGGCTTTGAGAATCCATCCAGAGGATTACCACTCCTGGGTCGGCTTGGGCGAGAGCTACTACTCCTCGGGTCGGTACATTGCGGCGACGAAGGCCATTCTTAACGCGCAAAAGCTCGAGGAGACGATACCTGCAGAGACACTCGGTGACACATGGTTCACCAAGTACATGCTTGCTAATGTCAAGCGTGAGCTGGCTGAGTTTGACGAAGCCATCGCGCTCTACCAAGATGTCATCGATGGTCGCCCCGACGAGGATGGAGTTGCGATTGCTTTGATGCAGACCTTGGTCGACAATGCGTTGGATTGTGTCGAAAAGGGTCTTTTCGGCAAGGCGGTGCATCTCGCCATTGATACCATCGAGTTTGCCTCAAAGGCAACCACCAGTGTCATCGAAACCTTCAACTTCTGGAAGTCGCTGGCCGACGCTTGCTGCGTCTTCTCCGCCGTTCAGAACCGAGCAATCGACTTCCCGGCAGAGCCAATCATGACGCTCATTGACGGCGGCGACAAGGAGGCTTACACTCTCTTTGCGGATATCGACAAGGTCGGCACTGGTGTCATTGCCGCAAAGGGCCTGTTCTCTGAAGACGAGAGGCTCGGTGTTGACTTGACAAGATGTATCCATGCAACAATCCTGTGTCACAAGCGTGCCATTCATGTATCAGCCAACGACATCCATGCTCAGGCAGTTGCCTACTACAACTTGGGATGGGCAGAGCACCGGGCCCATATCTGCTTGCCTTCGAGCATCAGGAAGAAGTCCAGCGTGTACTTGAAAACTGCCATGAAGTGTTTCAAGAGAGCCATCGAGCTTGAAGCCGGAAATGCCGACTTTTGGAACTCTCTGGGTGTTGTGACGAGCGAAGTTAGCCCTGCTGTGTCACAGCACTCATTCGCTCGAAGCCTCTACCTGAACGAGAGAAACCCAGCAGCCTGGACCAACCTTGGAACCTTGGCTCTCCTGCAAAATGACATGCAACTTGCTAATGAGGCGTTCAATCGGGCGCAGTCAACGGATCCCGACTATGCGCATGCCTGGCTTGGTCAAGGCTTCGTGGCTCTCCTCTACGGTAAGACGAAGGAAGCAAGAGGCTTGTTCACACACGCCATGGAGATCGCCGAGGCTTCTTCCGTCCTCACCAGACGCCAGTACTCGGTTGCTGTATTCGACCATATTCTAACGACAACATCCACCAATATGGCGTCCCTCATCCAGCCGATCTTTGCGCTTGGTCAGCTTAACAACCTGAAGCCCCAAGACTTGGCATACGGACATCTGGCGGCGCAGTTTCTCGAGCGAACGCATGATACCGCAAAGGCAGTACAAATCCTGGAGAAGATCTGTCGCATCTTGGAAGCCGACTACGAGGTCACGGAATCACCGCAGGCACTGGCCCAGTTCGCGCTGGCCAAGACCGATATGGCAAGATCGTACTTGACGTCCGGTGCTTACGAGCAGGCCATTGATTGCGGCAAGATGGCGATACAGCTGAGCAACGACGAGTCCGACAACGAGTTGACCAGGGAGCAGCGCAAGAAGGCCCGTCTCTCTGCCCACATTACGGTCGGTTTGGCGCATTACTACAGCGAAGACGTCGACGAGGCGCTTCTCTACTTTGAGTCGGCGCTCGAGGAATCAGACAACAACCCCGACGCCGTCTGCCTCCTCGCGCAGGTCCTGTGGGCGACGGGCGCAGACGAATCCCGCGAGAAGGCTCGCGGCGCTCTCTTCGAGGTGATCGAGAAGCAGCCCGACCACGTCCAGTCCGTCCTACTGCTCGGGGTCATTGCCGTTCTCGACAACGATGAGGAGTCTGTGGAGGCGGTTGTGGCCGAACTTCAAGGTCTCCGAACCAGCCACAAGGTTGGGGATGTGGAACAGGCACACATTGGAGAGGTGCTGGGAGCCATCGCTAGGCTCGGGGAGACGAGCACGGATGAGGATGTCATGACCCAGATCCAGACAGACATCATGTTGTACCCTCACCTGCCTCACGGCTGGTCTAACCTAGCCGAGTTCGGTGGAGAGCAGCATGCTGCCGAGATGGCATTGACTGTGGCGAAGAAGGGAGCGCCACCTAGAGGAACCCTCGAGGCCGAGGATCTGGCCAAGGCATATGCGGGTACAGGATCTGCCGCGGATGCCCAGACGGCCATTTTTTTGTCCCCCTGGATGGCTGACGGATGGAACTCCTTGCGGGAAGCTGTCTGTGGCAACTAAAACCTGCAAACATTAGGGTCTTGGATCAACGTCTGGAGCGTCGAAGCACGTGTACCAGCCCCAGACCATCTCCTGGCAATAAAAGACCTTCGAGAAAGCTAGTCTTTCCCTTTTAGAAACCGAAGTTCTAGATGAAAAAACAAAAGACAGCATATACTGCTGATTTCTTGTCAACAGACAGACCAATGGTATCAACGCCAACTCCGAGTAATGCTACGCCGTTTGCCCTTCTGTCCGGACTTATTGTTCTCTTCCACCTTCCACAGCCTGCTTTAACCTCGCCATTCTCCCCTCAACCCAAGCTTTCTGCCAGGCGTCAATCCTCCCACCAAGCAATATGCACTTGCCCGGCTCAAGCAGCACTGTGCCCCTCGCGATGACAGTACCCTTTTTGAGCATGACCTTCTCGCCAATGTTGGTGCTTCCTATGCTGATCCTTTCGATGCGTCGGAGCTCCATCGCATATACCTTTTGCCCTTTGTGATCTTGCAATACGAGTCTATGCGTCGCGTTTCGTCGCTGCTGCTGCTGCAGCACTTGCTGAGTCGCCGTTCCTCCGCGACCGGTAGCAGCGGGTGCGGAGCTCTCGTCGATGTTATCATACTCGGCCTCTTCAGTCGCAGCTAGCCTCACGACCCTCCGGCCAGTCATCTGCTCACCCCTCGCCACCGCCTCGAGCTCCTCGACCTGCTCCCAGCGCGAGAGGCTCAGGTTCTCGACGTCGAGGACCTGGCATGGGACATCGTTCTGTAAGATAGCCTCGGGTGTCTCAGGACTTGTCGTAGGAAGTGAAGCGGTGGATGAGGGTTCAAGGAGACCCGCCGTCGTGAGGTCTGAGGCGAGGAGGCGTGCCTTTGCGGTCGCGATGAGAGAAGGGAGAGGAGGGGTAGGGATGCGCGAGGTCAGGGTTGTCGTCCAGGGGACCGAAGGTGTCGGGAAGCTTTGAGTTTGTAGAGCGGAGCATATTTGGGCTGTCAGGTCCATCGCGTAAGGATTTTGGGGTGCAGTTTCACATTGTAGGTGTGTTTTGTGCGTCATAAAGTGCGAAGATGTATTGTGGAAGATGGATATAGCTTCAGTGGGGTACCTACCCCAAAGTCTTGGGAGCATCAACCCCACTGTAGATCCCCGAAATTAGCACGTGTCACTCACTTATGTACTTTATACTAGGTAGGTATGTAGTACCGGTAGTTAGGTAGCGCGGTCTCGCTGCACAGGCAGAGAGAGTCCAGGGGTAACCCCCACAGGAGCTTTTTCTGGCCTATCGCCTGCATCCTCGTCATCCCTCGACTCCAGCCTTGTTTCCTCCGATCTGTCACTATCACGAGCTTCATTCAATTGACCTGGGCATCCCGAATCTGACAACGGAGCCAACTGTTCAAAGATAGTGGCACTTCCTCCCGCCAAAATGTCCACCATTGCCTCACCCCGCGAACCGTCGCTCGCCCGCCGCGTCTCGGCACAACAGCACACTCCGACGTCCTCGACCAGACCCTCCCTCGATGTCCCGCGCTCCCTAACTAGCTCGCCGAATCCAGGGTCCGCTGCTACATTTGGTAATGGCCTCGGAGGACCGCCGGCACTAGGTTCCTCGAAGCGCGCGAACCGGGCCGCCCTCCGCGAGTACTACAACCTTAAAAAGACGGCGGGTGGCGGTGCTCCCTCGCTCGAGGTGACCGAGGACGCATCCGACCGCGGAGGTTTTGCGGAACAATCCGAAGTCCCGCCCAGCGAGCTAGACAGCCCATCCTTCGACGCCGATGCGTACGTGCGGAAGGCGCTGGCGGAAAACTCGCTCGATGATCTGTTGCGGGTATACACGCGGGTGCTGGGGGAGATCCGGGCGCTTGATGCGGAGAAGAAGGCGTTGGTATATGACAACTATTCGAAGCTCATCTCCGCGACAGAAACGATCAGAAAGGTGAGTACCGGGCTCCACACACATTTTATCGGGAAAGGCGGGTTGCTGAGACCGGGGACCGACAGATGCGTGCGAACATGGACCCTCTGAACCCTATGGCCTCGACACTCGACCCGGCAATCGCGGGAATCTACGCCCAGGCCAGCTCGATCCGCGATTCTCTGCGCAAGACCGTCGCGCCGCCTGATTCTGAGCAGCGGGAGGATGAGGTGGCTGCGGCGAGGCGGCGGAGGACAAGGCAGCTCGCCAAGGAGGTGCTGGGCACGCCGGAGAAGCTGAGGGCGCTAATGGCGCAGGGCAAAGTTGAAGAGGCGAAAAAGGAGTGGGAGATGCCGCGGCGGCTACTTGAGGTTTGGAAGGAGAAGGGGGTCGGTGGGAAAGACGTGGACGAGTGTCTCGAGGAAGGTGATGCGGCGATCAGAGGCACAGGAGAGGGCAGCGTGCGAACATCCAAGGATAGTCGCAGGTCCTGAAAGCCGTTTTTTCCCCCTTCATATTTCGGATTTGAGAGTTGCGGCATACATAGCGAGGGTGTTTCTGGCGTTAAGGGGGTCTGATCTGAGTTCACGGATCCAAACAAGGAACATTTTCATGACTCCAAAACGGGAGGCTGAGCGGACCAAGTCAATAAAGAGTGCCATATTTGGAGTGGTTACCGGTCACATTGGTTCAGTATCATGAGACTCGAGGCTTGTAAGAACGTACTACTGCCTGTCATCATGCATGAGGTCCAGACAAGACCTGATTATATCATTGAACCTTTCGAAAGACACGCAAAAGGACCCGGGAATAATTCAACCCATGGAGACGGTTTTCTTTTCTTTTTTCATCTAGTTCGCTTAAAGATGACTGGCTAAGGTGTGTCTTCAGCGGCATACCAGCCCTTTTTTTCTTCTGGAGATATTTCATGAGCGGTCTCCAAGTCTTTTGAACTTTTACAACTCAGAGATGTCCACAATGTTGAAGGGATCTCGATCGGCCTCACTGACGAGGACTTGAACACCGGCCTCCTTGCCCTTCAGCTCTCCTTCCAACAGCGGCTTCATCACCTCCGTCAAGTACCCTCTTTCCGAGTTGCTGTGGAACACCGTGATGACCGTCTTGCCTTCCTGCACGGCTTTGAGTGCGTTGTGGTGGGTCATCTCGCCCGTCACAATCACCTCGGCCGCGGCGTTCTTGACGACGTCCCACCCGCTACCCGCGCACACGGCCACGGCGCCGACGCGCACCGTCGAGAGGCGAGCCGGGTCCGGAGAGGCGACCATGACGCGGCGCATGCCGACGCGCGAGGCAACACGGCGGATGATGTCGGCGAGGGATTCCGGCTGGTGGAAAGTGCAGAGGAGGCCGTAGCCCGAGCCCTCGAAACCTGCGGGCGCCGGGGACGAGAGCGGATTGACGACGGTGCGGGTGGTGGGAGTGGCCGTGGACGAGGAAGCGGGGCCGCCGGAGACGATGTCGCCGAGCCAGGCGTTGAGGCCGTTAGGCGCGGCATCGACGGCGGTGTGGGGACAGTAGACTGCGATGCCGTTGGCGGCGAGGAGCAGGAGGGTCGCTTGTTGCGGGTCCTTAGTTGTGATGGACTTCAGGCCGGAGAAGATGAAGGGGTCTGGAGAGCGTGTTAAACCGGAATGGCGAGTTTTAAGACGTGTCAAAACCTACGGTAGCTCACAATGACGCTGGCGTTCTTTCGGATGGCTTCCTCAGCGACGGCGTAGGTGAGGTCGTTGGTGAGGAGGACGACTGGGTTCTTGGCCACGCGTGTCTCGAGGACCTCGATGTTGCCGAGGAGAAGGCCGACATTGTCCCATCTTCTATCGGCGAGCTCCTCGGGGTAACTGGGCAAGATGGTCAATACAGATTTTCTCATGAAGCGGGGTGAGGATCGTGAGGCTTACTGCTTGCGCATGGCATCCACCACCAGCGAGGTGAAGCCCGGAGAAGAGTACTTATCGACGGCCGCCATTTTTGGAGCTGTGGACTGGGGCAGATGCAGGCGAGAAGCTGTGTTAAAACGAGCTTTGAGGACTGAATGCCGCGTTGGGTGGTAAAATGGCCGAATCTGAGATGTAAGTGCGGCTCCGCAAGCTCGTCGACTTATATGTGTTGACGCCCTTGTAAACTTGGTGCTCATGGAATGGACAGCTGTGCTAGTGCCAGTGAGCATTGCGTCTCATGAATTTCATGCATGGAATACCCAAGACGCACTCTTTTCAACCGAATCCAGCTAGGCTCCAAATGTTCAATCTGGAAGAATGAAAGCTTGGTCGTCTGGGATGATATGTAGAAACTCAAGCTCTACGTCGCTCACAATATCTAATAAATGCATATTGAGATTTCCCGTCGACTGAATGACATAAGCCCCGCAATGACACATACCTCCACTTCCAAGTCATGTCTCGATACCCGCCTACCTACCTACCTTTTGGTCTGGGTTTACCTCCTGTTTGTCAAGCAGGAATGTAACGCTCGTGTCCTACACTCTCAAAGTTACTAGTAAGAACCCATGACATGTATTCCGCGGTGGTACGATATGAGAACCCGGCTATCTCGCGATATAATGCACAAGCCTGACAATGGACGAGGTAGGTAAAATAAAAAGCTCAGATATATATACAAGAAGTGAAACGAAAACAGAAAATCAGTAACATCCGATATGGTGTAGTGGCCAACATGATGCCCTCTCATCTCGTGAGAGGCTAGGCATAGCCCCGAGTTCGATTCTCGGTTTCGGAACATTTACTTTTGCATTTTTGAGCGATGATCATATCCGCAACCTGGTCCTCTGTTAACGGACAATGTTTTGTTCCTTATTCCTGGGCATTGATTGCATACTTTGCTTTCATGCTAATTTCGATTTCATCAACGCATATTGTTAAAAACCGGCTCAACTCTTGTTATCTGAAGGTAATATTCTTGCGCAGCCTGATATATGGTTGATCATGGCATCACTTGCGACGCTGATCGCAATTAGAATTGTGTAGTCTAGAGACAGAAGATGTGACTGCGGGAGCAGCTGTGTGTGTGTACATCAAGGATGGATGGTGCATGCTGTGTTGATAGGTAATGGTAGTTTTCCATATGCTCGCTCGTATGATGAGGGCCGAGTGCCTACTTTGCTTTTCCCATATGCTCATGCGTTTTGAAAGGGTTGGAAAACGCACGAGAGCCATTTGCAACCTCTTTCTTTGTATGCCAAACAGCCAATCTTTGGGTCGGTTACCTGAAATCTGAATGCCAACAGCTACCTACGCTCGCTCCTGTGGCGGGAGTTGGCCACTGGCATCCACATGGTCAGAGACCTGTCGTCTTCTCCGCGCATTTGTTTGTAATATATGCATGTACTATTATTGTTATTTTTTATTCCCTTGTGACACTTGAAAGATCTCTGAATGCTAGCTAATGCGTGTCCGTCCTTCACATGGATTTCCATTGCCTTTGCTGCACACAGTCAGCCCAATAGCCAAGCCGTGGAGCAAGCCACTGAACGGAGCCTGATGACGGAACTGCAGGAACCCCACCATCTAATCAATCTAATCACCGTATCCGTACAACCAAGCCCACTACCGTCACAGCAGAACACAAGCACCTCCGATTTTCGACATTCCCCTCCGGCACCCGGTCGTCGCAAACCACATCCGTCGAGTCCAAACAACATCCATAGCCAAACCTCTCTCGTGCAATGGCAGACCAGATCACGGAAGCCTCTCTGAAGGCTGTCTTGACCGAACGCCTCCAGGCAACCCACGTCGAGGTCACAGACATGTCTGGTACGCGTCCCCTCCCTTCCAAGACATCGTAACCCCACGTCATGCCCCGCCGTATTAGAAATACAAGCCATCCTGCCGGCGCACCGCGCAGCGCATGCATCGCGACTCTTCTGCCGCCTATCCAACGTACATATACATATACATATTCTTCTTAGAGACTGACATCTCCGTCGTCCTTTCTAGGCGGCTGCGGCCAAGCCTTCACCTCCACGATCGTCTCCCCAGTTTTCGAGAAGCAGACCTCGCTCAAGCGCCACCGCCTTGTCAACGCCGCCCTCAAAGACGAGATCGCGCAGATCCACGCCTGGAGCGCAAAGTGCCAGACCCCCGCCGAGTGGGAACGCGACAGGGCCGCCGCCGGCGGCGTCAATGAGGGCCCCCCGATGGACGGGACCGTTGGTGGAAAGGTCGAGGGCGTTTCTCAGTAGGCGGACCGACGCAAAGAAAAGGAGTAAGAGTGAGGTCTCTGAGCCTCAGTTACACGTGAAAAGGACGTAGGATACCCATGCCAGAAGGTACGAGTCAAACCGCTGGATACGAATCGAGTCAAGGATATGAGGCATCTTGGAGGACGACGGCGCGATGGGTGTTTGGGCTAGACACCCCCCCCCCCTTTTCGAGTATATACATTTGGTCTGGCGAAAAATAGAAATATTGATGCAAGCTTTTCATGGCTTCGTTCTTGTCATATATCAACCTACTCCTAACAGCATGCTTGGACTTCCAGAGAACAAGCCCCCATTAGTCACTGATCTAGAAGAGCCCCAACAAGTCCTCATTCGTCTTCTTCCCGTTTCCTTCGCTCGGCTGTTGTGCTTGTGGGGTTGGATGTAATTGCATGGCAGCCGGCAGGGGCTGGCCCGATCCCGTGTTCCCAAAATCAAGCCCGGAGAAACCATTCATCATGTCATCCATGCCACTGCCGCCTGCACCAGAGCTCATCGGGTTAGCCATTGCCTGCTGTTGCTGCGGCGGCGGAGGGGCGTCGAAGAGACCCATCATATCGGCCATGGCACTAGAAGAAGCACCTCCCGAGGGGCTAGATAATCGGTCTGGAGTGTTGGCATTGCTCTGTTGCTCAGCCGACGCAGGAGCGGCGCCATCAAAGTCGATGTCGAGAAGGTTTTCGATGTTGTTTTGTGACGAGGTAGTGCCGTTGGCTGCGGCCGCCACCGACGCTGCGATTGGGTTTTCGGCCGCTTCCTGTCGTTGCTCGCGGATGGCTGCACGTTGGATCTCGTCTGCTCCGTAGCGGCCCTTGCCAACAAAGGATTCTGGTGGCTTGTGGTACACTGAAGCAAGAGTGGAAAGCTCTGCGAGTAGTTGCTCAAGCAGCGCTGGCGGAAGGCTGGTCATGGTTGTAGTAATGGCAGGCTTCTGCGAGAGCACGATATTCTTGGCGACGTCCAAGTCGCCTGACAGAAGGCGCCAGTAGACGTAAGCTCTATCTCTGATATCTGGATTGTCGTTGTCTGTTGTGGCCTTGGGCTTCCACCCCACCCCGCGACTCTGATTGTTGCTAGGCTTTTTGAGGAAGAGCTTGACAACTGCGGTAAGAATTTGAAGTTGCGTCTGTATCATGTTAGCTAGCCCTTCAAGCGTATAGGGGATGCTTGACAAACCTGTGTGAACTCTTCCATAAAGCCGTCCACGAAACTGGCCAGAATGTCGTCTGCATTATTGATCTTCTCGGCGTACTCTCCCACAATCCAGATCAACGATCCCCTAGCAGTCGGCTCGTCCAGCTCGTCGATATACTTGCAAAGAGTCGGAATGACGCCTTCGTAACCGGGGTACTTTCGAAGGATATCCTTAATTACCACAACCACTTCCTGAACAACGTAGTTGACCTTGGTAGCGATCAAGTCAAGCAGCGCATTCACACACTTTTGGCTAGCACCCTCGAGCTTGATTGCTACTTGGCCAATCGCCTTGACTGCACGCTTGACGAAGTCCATATCGACTTCGAGAGCGTATTCTTTCAGTTCCGCAAGAAGCTGGTCAAAGTTCTTCTCGTTGGCTATCCGCACCATAATCTCGAGCTTCTGGAGCTTAACGTAGGGAGGGTCATTGTATTTGCAGAAAAACACACGCAGCTCCTTGCTCAGAATATCGGGCTTGGCCTGGAGAAGAAGGTCGATGTTGCGGAGAGCCACATATTGAACCTCGGGAGCAGAAGCCACGAGAGTCACCAGAGGTGGCGCCATCTTCTTGAGGTAAGAGCGTACCAGTTCAGGGCTGACGGCCTTCATATGGATGAAGACAACCTTGACAGCTGCCAGAACCACACTGGGGTTTACATGCTGAAACTGCGGCGCAACTCTCTCGCAGATGTGTTCGGCTTCCTTGGCGTCCATTGCCGGGTAGTCGGCCAGTGTAGTCAAGATGGTGACGCGCCCCCACTCCGTACACTCGTTCAGGGCCATCAGCAGCTTCTTCAACGTAGTCGGGGTCACCACGAGCGCTCTTGTCTCTGGTGCGGTCTCTGTAATCTCTGACAGCGCCTGGACCGAGTTCGCAACCACCATGGGATTCGGGTCTCCGATAAGCTCCTGGAGGGATTCCAGAAAGCCGTTTTCTATGCACATCGTGGGGTTGAGGTCGAAAAGCTTAGCGACGCAAATAGCAGCCGTTTTGCGAACGTATGGCGATTCGTCTCTCAGTGTCTTCCGTAACGGTTCTTCCATGTAATCTACCATCTTATCAACTCTGATGCAGCCCATCGTTCGGATCGCCAGCGCGCGGATGAGGGGATTCGGGTCTTCGGAGTCTTGGACGAATGTATTGACGGCTAAGATGCAGAGGTCTGGATGCGACTTCGCGTAGTTCCTGGCTTGGTGTCAACGAGTGCTCTGGCAAACCTTCTTGGTGACCCGAGATCGGCCTGGAGTGCAGACTCACATCAGGTATAGATAAACCAGCTTCTTCTGGTCCAAGTCTGCTGTAGCAATGTTCTTGAGAACATCAGGGAACAAAGCCGACACGTCCTTGCCCAACGTCATTGCCATGATCGTCTTCTGGATCGACTCCTTGCGCTCGTACGCATACTGAGAAACAAGTCCTGCACGCAGTTCGAAGGTCTCTCCCTTCCTAGGGACGGCAAAGGCCCCGCGAATCCGATTGACCGCCATGATGTTTGGTGTTGTCGCTGGTGAAGAGCGTCTGGACTAGCTGGGGTGAAGGTTGATGATGAAAGGAAGCGATCTGGCGGGATGAGACAGCCAGTCCAACCAGGACCTGGACAAGGTCGTCCAAGACGTCGTGGTATTAGCGGCTGCTCAGTGGCTTTACGTGGTCGTCTATTTTCGGTGATCCAGCAGATGCACCTCGTCGGTATTCGCCAAGAGGATGAGGTGGTCGAAGAAGCACCTGTCAGTGGATTGCACCCCTAACCTTAAACCCAGCCTGGCCAGCCTGGCAACGCTGCTGCGCACTGGTGCACTTCCTTTCAATAAGTGCATGGACCCCTGAGGGCCCATCCTTTGATATGCATGTATCGAATCGCCTGGCATATCGGGACCTTCCAGGTTCAGATGTATCGCAGTAGCTAGCGTCTAGTACCAAGCTCCCATTAGCGATGCCCATAACATCACGTCTTTCGACCTGTTACATCAATCGTACAATCTCATACATATCGAACGGATTGGAAATTGCAATATTGTAGTTCGCCAAGCTTGCCGCATTGCACTTTTGTCGCTTGAAGTGTCCAGCTTCATCTGCACCCTGAAGCAGAAAGTTACCAGGATCAGCATGGTGAGGCCTAACCATGGAAAGTGGATGAATACGTGCTTTACCTAACGACTCTATGCCAAGGCCACATTACCGAACTTGCGACGTCTTTTCATCGAGGCAAGAACAGATGATGAAGAGAGAGAAGTATCTAGAAAGGCAGTATGTTGGTCCCTTGAAATGGTGTGTGAGCTCAACTAATTCAGCCGGCAGTTCTATAACGCAGTTCTATTCATGAGCTCCGTGGCAGTCTTCAGCTTAATAGCACAGAGAATGAATGCTATCAAATGATGGAGATCAGGATTAAGCAGGCCTAATTAGCGCGAACCGGCGCAGGCGAAACCTGCGTGGAGCACCAGCTCACGACCCCTACCTCCCAAGGTGCCCCTTTCGGGGGGGTATTTGGCAGTGATTCCCCATACTCAAATCTGCCATTGGGAGGGTCCAGCCTGTTGAACTCCCAGTTGAGTGGTGATTGATACCCGCTGGGTACAAGAACAATCCTCAAACTAGACCCCCTTGTCTTCTCCCATGAGACGTGGGTTGCTAAGACGACTCGTCCTAAAATTCATCTCGTCATCGTAATCACCAAATTATGGAACAGGGTTGATCCAGCATTTAAGTATATGTATAATGCAAAGGGAAGCCTCATTTTCGAAACTAGAGAGGGCATGGAATTAGTTAGTCATCCAGAAATGACCAAGTTTTAGACCAAACTGACGGTTGGGCAGTCACGGGCCTGTGTTTTGTTACATTCTTAGAGAATTCCTATTGTCGTCAGCAGCTTTATCTCGAGGCCGTCTACTACATTTTAGATTGTTGTCTCGGTCGATAATGCTAAGCATCCAATCGAGAGTAATCCGACTAGCCAGTGCACTGGACTTACACCCCACCTCTACCGGGTAATAACGTGTGCTTCGAGAGTCTATCCACAACTTTGTGGCTGGTCAGATAAACATGTTGGTATCTCGCGCTTGAATTAAAATCGTAGACAAGACCGCTGACAGAATTCGTATCCGTTTGACCGAGTATCACTCCTCAAGGTCGTTATACTCATCCCGTCCGTCACCAGCTGGCGCCTTTGTCTCTTGCTTCCTCCATAACCCAGCAAGAAACTCGTTCGTGCTCGCCTCGTCCATGCTCTTGTCCTCCCTCTTCTTCAAAAACCGCGGGAACCGCAGACTCAATCCACGATCCTCGCTGACCAAGCCGATCGCGGCTGTGTACGTCGGGCTCAAGGTAATATCCGCAAATGCCATCTCCCACACTTCCTGCGGCTCGAACCACACGTCAGGCTCCGGCCCCGAGTACTCGACGAACGCCGGCTTCTGCGTTCGGGTGTTGATTCTATCCCCACCGTTCAGCTCGCCGTCGTCGTAGAATTCTCTGTTCGCCTTGTAGAAGGCATCCGCGAACCCGGACATGCATTTACATACGACTTCAAGAGAGGCGGTGTGTTCGTTACGGACGGCCATGAGAATAGGCGACCACCACTTGGACTTCCGGCCCTGTCCATGCCATGCGGCGACCGGTATCATATCCAAAGTATCGAAGCTCGCGTTGTAATCCTTCTTGACCTTCAACCACGAATCTAGACGTTTATCCGGCTCGTATGTGGCTAAAAGGGGTTTCCGCCGACCATTTTTCTTCGTACCAACCTCCTCATCTTTGCTGCTTCTGCCTCTTGATTTCGATTTCGAAGGTGTTCGTGGTTCCTCGGCGACCTCTCCACCAACCCCTAGTGCCTCGTCACCTTGGTATGGGATATTGGTCAAGTTGTCCAGAATCTTCACCATAATGCCTTCGCACTTGATGTCGGTCGCTGCTTTGAAAAACTCGAGGACGGCGTCAAAGTCTTGTGATGTTGCGTCGAGGCTCTTCACCCAAGTAAACTGACGAGGAACCTCTATAAACATGGACCGCAACAGCTCCCTTCGTTCTCGGAACGGACGATCCAGTAGGGGTTGGCCATTGAGGAACATGAGGTCGAAGGCGAACATGCACACGTTGACTTGTACGCTCCCAATAGCAACGTCTTTCCGTGCACGGTTGCTCAAGGTCTGGAAATTCTTGAGTTCTCCCGTCCCACTATCCACCGCGACGACTTCGCCCTCCATAATAAAGCTATCCACGCCCTGACCCCGGATCTTGGGCATTAAAGCGACCAAATCAGGGTATTTGTCAGTCATGAGTTCCAGATGGCGTGAGAAAATTGTAACCTTGCCCTTTTCGTCGCAGTGGATTTGAGCACGTTGGCCGTCATACTTGAACTCGCAGGCAAAATCTCTGCCTTGAAGTTTGGTAAGCATCTCCGAGAGGTCCCTCGTAATGCTACCCAACATCGGCCGTAGGGGAATGTGAAGAGTTAAACCGCAACGAAGTAGAAGCTCATCACAGACGCCGATTTCCAGCATGATTGGTACGAGGTCGTTGTAGTTGGGACGTCGCGCGAAGCAAGCTTTGACGATTTCTTCCGGCCTACTCCAAACTTCAGCCAGTTCTTCCTTTTTCAACTTCTGAAGATCTTTGGTTGACCGCAAGGGGAAATCAGCTCCTTGGGGTCTTGAAAGTAGAAAAGCCCGGGAGAGGGCTATTAGCATAGTGGTTTTCACAGCTCCGATACGCAGCTGCTGTCATGTCAGTAAATGATCAAGAGAGGAGACGGACTGGAAAACTGACATGCTGGCACAGCGTCCGCACGATGTATCTGCTCTCTTCACCACCCCGGGCATCCTGCAAAAGTCGATCCACGATCCTCTGTTTGGCCTCCCCACTTCCTTGGCCTTGAGTGTTGGCAATTTTGACCAGCGACTGATAGACAGCCTTGATTGTCAAAGGCTTCGGCTTCCGTAAAGTGAAGCTTTGCTTTTTCTTCACTTCAAAAGCAACGTCTCCCGCATCGCCGTACTTGTCGTAAATGGTCTTTAAAGCACGACTGTCTAGGCCGCATACTTGCTTGAGCGCCTTGGAGATTGCCGAACCTCCCAAACCAAGCTCCAAGGAGATGTAAGGGGGCGAGATGGCATTGGTCGCGAGCCATACAGCTGGCAGAAGACTTTCGGGATCAGCTTCGATCAAGACCCTGATACAATTGACGAGTGTATCTACTATTTTGATGCGGCTTTGCGTCGCATTCACCAGAATGAAGCATCGGGTCAGGAAGGCGTAGGATGCATGGCCACCCTCGGCAGCCCAGTGAGTCTTGAGCTGAGAAACAAACTCTGAAGGATCAAAGGTCAAAGGGCTTTGGTCTAAAGGAATTGTTGTTGCAATAGCATCTTCGGCTTTGGCTACAGAGGAAAGTGACAAGGTGTTTTTCTTCGGCGCCTCCGGAAGCATGGCAGGTCTCGACGAAAGGTCAACGCCGGGCTGCTCGTTGGTGGACTCTTCTGCCTTATTCGATTGAAATTGGGGGCCCGGATCTTTCACCGGCTCTGGACACGGTGTTGAACTTGCTCTTTCGTTTTGAATTTCGGCATCCCATTCCGCTTGCAGCTTCCGCGCAAGTTCCTCGTCTGTCAATTCTGATTGCTGATCTCCTGATTCCGGGGTCTCTGATGGCAAATCTGGTGTGGTTTTAAATGCCGATGTACCATTCTGCCTTTGTTTTGAGAAGAAATATTCCAGTCCCCGCGAGGGCACTCCAGATGAGGACTGGTCGTTAAGTTTCCTTTTCTTATGTGGGCTCGACATGGCGACGGCGATGTCAGAAACGTAAACTCATAGAAGGCGTTGGACAGACATGAGCATAAAAATGAGTGACTTTGGCGAGACTGAGGCAGAGGAAGATCGAAATGGTATATCGACAACTTCACTTCATGTTGTTTAAAGCTAGTCAGTAGCTTCACTCACTTGTCACGACTAAGGTAAGTAGGTAGCTAACCCCTGTAAGACGTCTTAGTCAATGACGGTGTTTCCTTCATACCAGGACATGGACCCACCTGTGCATCCTGTCCCTAGTGATGCTTAGTCATCAAAGCCGCCATATCGGCTATATGTTTCCCCTTTACCGGCGCTAAGCCTCATTCGACGACCCAAGCGACTTCCACACAACATTTGCACTTCGTGCTTTTGGAAATCTTTCGCCAGGGCGGCCTTAGCCCCACCAGCGGCACCGATTTCTTCCACGTCCTCCCCCTCCACGATACCTCTCCTAACCCGCCGAATCTCGAAAACCACCACTCCTTCCACACCCACTCCCCCCCCCCCCTCCACGTCGACAACACCAGCAACCATGTTGAACGGCGAAGACCCGCCCGAGCGGCCCGAATACATTGTTAACATTATCAATGGTCTGGAGCGCTACAACCCCGAGGCCGTCGTTAGCCTTGAGTCGTACCTGCAGGAGCAGTGTGAGCAAAAGTACTGCGACTGCAATGCAAACCGGACACTCTTGAAGCTGTGAGCTGGCCCCTCCCCGATACATTCTACCACTGCGCGTCTTCTTTGCACGTTGTCCTTGGCTTGTCAACATTTGTCATGGTCCTGCGCCGGTTATATGATGATCGTGTAAACGTTTCCTATTACCTGACATGCGCTGGCTGTTCCGTCATGAACCTCTCAGTCGCAACTGAAGTCAGCTTATGGTGTTGCCTGAACGAAACCGGAAAACATTCGAATGTAAAACCAGCATGCGATCGTCAGGCCAACATTGCTGACCCAATGCGCCTTGGCGCTTCTCTATAGGTACCAGCTCAACCCTGACCGCATGAAGGATGAGGTCGTCACCAACATCCTCGTCAAGGCCATGACCCAGTTCCCGTCGCCGCAGTTCAGCCTCGCCCTGCATCTTATTAACCCCTCCGTCATTGTCCAAGGCGAGCTTGCCGAGGCCGTCGCCAAGCTGCGCCTCCTCAACACCCAGCTCGAGGGCTCCGAGTACGCTCGCTTCTGGAACACCATTGACGGCGACGATCTCTGCGCCGACCTCATTGCCGATATCTCGGGCTTCGAGGACCTCATCCGCACCAACATTGCCAACCTCGTCGCCCAGGCCTTCCGTGAGGTCAAGCTGTCCCAGCTCGAGTCGTGGCTCGGCCTCAACTCTGACGCCACTGCTAAGTTCGTCACCGAGGTTGCCGGCTGGACTGTCGGTGACAACGGCATTGTTACCGTGCCAAAGAATACCGAGAACGAGGCCAAGAAGTCGGAAATCAGGGAGGACGTGAACGTCGACATGTTCTCGAGAGTTATCCGGAGATCATGGGAGGAGACTGTTTAAATGAGTTGAAAACAGATTAGTACATTACAGGCTGCTGCCGCTGATTTTCCTTTGGTGAGGGGAAGAGAAACAGGAAAGACAGGGGGAGCAAGGGCGGAAAATTCCCCTCAGCCACTGATAGCTCCTTCAATGGAGTTAAGGCTGGAAGAGAGCATGACGGCAAAATTACCGGCGTTCACTGTGACTTTTGAATTAGGGAACCATAGAGTATATCCCTGAATATGAGACATGCCACAAAGTTCGAGATGTCATGAATTCTTCCGGTTCCAAGTGTCTTGATAGTGTCTAAACCTTTTGCTTGCTTTTCCGCCCCTTTTGTAAGCCAGAACATTCATCGCTTCTCCATCTCCTCCCACTGAACGCCGCACCATTCCTCAAGGTAACCTGCCTCACCGGCCTGGACCCCTCTCTGCTGACAGTCCGCCTCGCAAACACCCACAATGATCGTACCCCAATCCATACCCTCGAGCGACAGCTCCTCGGCCTCAAGCTCCGTGATGGCGTGCGGCGTCATCTGCACCTCAAACACTCTCCCGGCGCTGCAGTTGCCGCACCTCGGCATCCTTCCACCGCCGCCGAGGGCCTTGCCGACGGCGTCGGCCTTGGAGTACAGCAGGGGCGTGCCGGCGAACTCGTAGCGGATGGCCTGTTCCGGGTTCTGCGCCATGCGGTCTGCGAACTTTTGGAACACGGCGTCCATGGACGACTCGAAAACGTCCTTGGTATCGCCGCCTGATGCGCCGGCGCCGCCCTCGTTGTCGACCTCCATCCGCGCGTTCTGAGGCACAGACATGGGCTCCGGGTCCAGTGTCTCGAACTCGGCGTCCGCGAGGTAGGAGAGCGGGTATGGCTTCGGCAGAGCGTCGGCTGCGGGCCAAGGCTCCGGTGGAGGGGGCGGGCCGGAAGGGGTCTGCGGGTTGTTGAGATTGAGGGTCTCGGCGAAGGTCTTGGGGAGGGACGCTGCCGGATCCTTGGCCTCTTTCTCCTGTTGCTCGGGCTGCTTGGGCTGCTTAGGCTCGGCTGCCGGCTTGGAGAAGGGGTTCGATGCCGGCGCGGTGGTGCTAAAGGGGCTGCTCGAAGATGTTCCCGTGCTAAAGGGGTTCGCGTTGCTTGCAGACGGGTTTGTTGTGCCTGAGACGCCGCCGCCGCCGCCGCCGCCGAACAGCGCACTGCCGAGGCCAGGGCCGTCGGTATTTTTGGGTGCCTCCTCGACCGTCTTTTTCGGAGCTTTCGTCTCGGCCTTCTTTGTCCCGACTGCGGGAGCGTCCTTGGATATCCTGACACCTCTCATGGCGCGGATGCTGCCCTGCTTGCGCCTGCATGTCGGCCTGCGGCACGCGAAGACATAGAGACGGCGCTCATGGCCGGGGAACCTTTCGGGAAGCTCGCCGTTGAGCTGCAAGAGTTGGACCATGAAGTCGTTGCACACTTTACAGCGCGCCAGGGCCGCCGAGGCTGGTTGGTCGGGGTTCAGCCAGTCCTACAGATAGACGGCGTGTCAATCATTGCCTATCTATGCCCCGGTCGTCGTTTGGCGGGGTGGGAGACCCGATGAGAGAAAGACTTACTGGTCGGCCGCCGAGACGACTAATGGTGTCCTCGTCGGCGTCTTTGGTGGCATAGCCAAGTAACACATTGGTCTCAGTGAACTCCTGTTCTGAGGAGTCGCTGTCGTAGTCTGCCATGGTTTCTGTGAGCTTGACGTGCTGTTCTTTGCGACGACGAAGGCTGCGGCCAAAACTACCCAACTATTCCGGTAACCATGTCACTGTGTGAGTATTTACCAAGCACACTATCATTTGAACCTTGAGATGAGTCTTACTAGCTGATCTTTTTATTTCTGGCACTGTGCGAGAGTACGTGGGGTCAAATTTTTTTGTCCTGCTCAAAATATTGTGATGCGGGGCTTATCTTATCGCTCCTCAATCAACCTCCTTCAGACGAGGGGTAACCACCCAATCCCCAGTGTCTTAAGCTTTGACTGCTTGATGTCATCTCACTTCATTATGCACGCCGAACTATCTTCATGATTGGATATCATTCCATTGCTCAAATTGACAGGTCTAAGAGCAACGCCTTTTGTCTACCGTGCCAATATCTTTTTCCATGAGAACTTATCACTCATCACTCCTCGGGACCATCCATACCGGGGCCTGGACCTCCTGCTCTGCCCATCTGTCTCGCCTTCAGAAGCTCGTCGCAGAGGAGAAGGTTGGAAGCAATGCTTGAGCTGGAGGCAATGCAGTTCCTGAGCACTCTGAAAGAGTCAAAGATACCCTCGAGCTCAGGGTCCATTGGCTCACCCGTCGCCAGGTCCAAACCAACGACATTGCCATCCGCGTGCTCATCCTGCAAAGCAGCAACTGTGACCTGTTAGATTATGCTTATGTGTGATGGAAATTGTGAACTTACGCGCATCCTGGATGTCAAGACCAGCGTTGGCGGCTAGGGTCTTTGGGATAATCAAAAGAGCATCAGCAAAAGCCTCGACACCCCACTTGGCCTTGCCCTTCACCGTCTTGGCAAAGGCATCGCTCTTGAGATGCGCTGCGCAGGCAACCTGGAAAGAACCGGCACCGGGAACAACGCTTTTGTCGACAATCATGTTGTAGACACTGCGCAGACCGTCACGAACGGCATCGGTGACCTGAGTGATGGTGTGTGCATTGGGGCCCTTGATCAAAAGGGTAACGGACTTGGGGTCCTTGACCTCCTCGATGAAAGTGTACTTCTCCTCGCCCAGAGTCTGCTCATAGACCAAGCCGGCCCATCCCAAGATATCAGGCGTCAGGTCATCGACGCTATTCTGTGCAACACCTCCGCAGACGAGCTGCAGTCTCTCCATGTTTCTTCTCTTGGCACGGCGCAGAGCGAGAATGCCGTTCTTTGCCAGGACGTCGAGAGAGAGAGGGTCGATACCCTTCTGGTTGACGATGACGAAGTTCTTGTTAGGGTCGTTTCCGCACACCTCCTTCTTCAGCTCAACAATCTTCTTCAGCTTGGCGTCGACGAATCTGCGCTCGCTCTCTACCAGCTTGTCTCTCTGCTCCGCGCTGGAGTAGAAGAAGCCCGAGTTGATCTCGGATTTCTCGTACTCCAAGCTTACATTCATCGTCAGGATGTAGGCGTTCTCAAGACGCTTGGGCATATCGGGGTGGCGGGCACCGTGGTCGAGGGCAAGACCCTTGATGAGCTGGGTGTCGGAGGCGGTGCGGTGCTGCATCTTCATGATCTCAACCATGTGCAGGTCGGGCTTGGCCGGGGCCTGGTAAATCGCAAGCACGGCGTCGACGATATCGGGGGTAAGCTTGCTAGCGAGGCTGGAGTTGAGTTTCGTGGACAACGACGTGCGGGCGACGGAAAGAAGAAGCTCGCGGTCGACCTCCTTGTCAAGCTTGAAGCCGTCGAGGAACTATTGCTTGTCAGTGGCGTTCCCCACGTCTGCCGATTCGCAAAATACACACCTTCAGCGCCTCGTTCTTGGCAATCTCGAAACCGTCCGTAATGATTCTAGGGTGCAGGCCTTCCGAGATGTATCGGTCTGCCTGCTTGAGGAGCTCTCCGATCAACAGAACAGCCGACGTCGTACCATCTCCGCAGATATCATCTTGTGCAGTCGCAGCCCGAGCAATCATGACGGCAGTAGGATTTTGTATTTGCATCTCGCGCAGGAGGACGTTTCCGTCTTTTGTCAACTTGATCTGGAGGCGGCGCGCATTAGCAAGGACCGGGCAGAAGAGGGGCAGTGTGTCGCACTTGACCGGAGCCGTCAACAAGCCTAGCATTATTAGCAGGAAGTCGTGTAGATAGTTTCTAATTTGGCAAAACATACATCTTGATGGTACCCAGAGGGCCGAGGTTAGACTTGAGGACATCTTGAAGGCCTTCACCAGCGCTGATGTTGACCTTCAGGGCTTCACCCCGCCGCTATTGGGTCATTAGTATTACAAACAATGTTGTCGGGGAAAGAGGGGGGGTGCGCACCCTCGATTCGGCCTTGGGGTTGAGCAGTTGCGCCGCAGACATGTTGACTAGAGGTCGTCAAGAGGTTCGTGAGGGGGTATCGGTCGGTAAGGTTATTGGATTAGCGACCAGACGTGGAGTGTTCTCGAGGTTGACCTGACCCCGGGGAGCTTCAGATGCGGGACTGTGGTGGTGACTTTTTTTCTGCCTTGAGGTAGCAGGCGGTCAAGCGCTGGTGGAAGGTGCTGGCTCGCGCCAGGTGCCAGGCATTCAATGCTAATGCTCGATTCAAAGATGTATTTGTTAGATGCATATTGAAACAAGTATACGGATATTATATATGTAGAAAACAGTGGCCGTCTTGGTCTGTGCGGCATCAGCGGCCAATGGCGAATGCTACCCATGTAAACTAATACCACTCAAGAGCGGAAACCAGGGAGCTAGGGACTTGGGGGTCCCTTTAAGGACCCCCGGAATGAAACCGCTGCCTGAAGGCTGAACCGCCGCTTTTGAGTCTCAAGGGTGCCCCAATAGCTCGGAATCTTAGGTGACGCAATCTTTAGAACTGAACTCTTGATACAATATCATATTTAGCTTATTAAAAAAGGTCGGTAAATGGGCTAACTCGTCCAAATCATCTCGATCGGTAGTCATGTTTGCTTTGTTTGAAACCTCACTTGATTCATGCATGGGTGGGAGTTAGACGAATGAACCACTTCCCCTGAATGACATCGTGATACAAAAGCGGCGATCTGTTTACTCTCTAAGTTTAATTCCCTTGGACTCGCCGTTGTCAGCTCAATTACGAATCACTTGTCTTGGTTCTTCTCATCTTCCAGGCTGTCTCGAGTAGCTTCCATCTAGCATATTTCCTCCTCACTCCTTTGCTTCTCCTATTGTCTTCACTCCTCTACTTATTCATCACATCGACTCAACACGAAACGATGTGGGGGTCCAAGCTCTCAGCTGTGCTATCTGCGCTCAGCTTGACACAGTCCGCAGCTCCTGCGACCGAGGCTGAACAGGTCACCATCGAGAGCAATGTTAAGCAAGTCGCCATCATTGGTACGTAGACACCGCGTGGGCCCATATATCACGTTCGCGAACACCTCACGTCACACCGAGCTTCTACGTGCTTGGTATTACGATACAAGTGCTGACATTGCATTCAGGGGCTGGCGCTGGTGGCTCATCCACAGCATATTACCTTCAAAAGTTTGCCGAGGCAGAGGGGGTTCCTGTGAATATCACAGTCTTCGAGAAGACCGATCGTATCGGCGGCCGTACTTTGACCGTAGATGCTTATAGTAACCCGCTGGAGCCTGTTGAGCTAGGCGCCTCTATCTTCATAGAAGCCAACCGCATTATGTATAATGCTAGCCTTAACTTTGGCCTGCCCCTAAAAGAGCCCGAGTCCGGCAGCGATGGTTTCTTGGGCATATGGGATGGGGAGAAATTCGTCTTTACTCAGGACGACAACTCCTGGAATTGGTGGAACCTGGCCAAGCTCTTCTGGAAGTATGGCACTGCCCCTTACAAGGCGCAGAAGCTCGTCCAGTCGACCGTCGCAACCTTCCTGCAGCTTTACGAAAAGCCTCACTTTCCTTTTCGGTCTCTCACTCAGAGGGCCTTCGAGCTGGACCTCCTGAAGGCAACCTCGGTCACAGGAGAGCAGTTCCTTGCTGACAACGAGGCACGTGAACCGCCCGACTTACGCTGATCAACGACTAACCTTTCGCAGATCAGCGAGCTTTTCGCTCATGATATCATCCAGGCAGCAACCCGCGTCAACTACGCGTCGAACTTGAAGTACATCCATGGCCTTGAGACCATGGTTTCCCTCGCGCCTGAAGGTGCCAAGCAGGTCATCGGTGGGAACTGGCAGATCTTCTCAACCATGCTCCAAAGAAGCAATGCGACAGTGCAAAAGAACACATCGGTGACCGCCATTGCGCTGAAGTCTCGCCCTTCCAGTCCCAAGTATCTGCTTTCCACCAAGGGCGCTCAGTCCGAGGCCGATGCCGAGGCAGAACAATATCCGATCGCCTTCGACAACGTAGTGATTGCTACTCCGTGGCAATATGGCGATATCAGCGTCTCAGAGGATCTCTTCCAACAGAAGATTGACGAGATTCCGTACACCAAGCTTCATGTCACTCTGTTTGCTTCTCCCTTCCGTATCAACCCAGAGTACTTTGGTCTGAAACCTGGTTCCAAGGCCCCGGATTCGGTTCTGACGACCCTCAACCCCAATGACGAATCGAAGGCCGGATCTGAGGGCGCTGGGAAAGCGGGCTTCTACTCCATCAGCACTTTGAGAACCGCCACCAACCCAGACACTCTCAAAGACGAGTTTCTGTACAAGATTTTCTCACCTGAAAAGGTTACTGCCGAGTTCTTGTCAAAGTTGCTCGGTGTGGAGGTTCCAGAGTCCATTGTCCCGCCACAGAAGACCGAAGGGGGCAGCTCGCGTACCGTCGACCCCATTTCTTGGTACCACCCTCATGTTTTCAACTCCTACCCGATTGAGTACCCGCGTGTGACTTTCCAGGACCCCATCCTGCGGGATGGCATCTACTATCTGTCTGGTATTGAAAGCTTCATCTCCTGCATGGAGACCAGTTCGTTGATGGGGATGAACATCGCCAAGTTGATTGCCGATGACTTCTCTGATGCTAAAGAGAAGATGGAGGAAGGGGAGACTGATAACGCGCAGGAGGTTATTGGGCAACCGGAGAAGGAAGCGCCGGTTGCTGATGAACTGTGATTTCTTTGCTCTCAAAAACGTAGTAGGGTCAGGTGTATACATTCGTTTTGTCAACATATCCCGGCTCAGGCTGTTTGTGCCTGTATCTTCAGTAGTCAATGGTTGCAACGCCTTGTGAGGGGTGAGTGGGACACTGTGATATGACACCTTGGATGGGAAACATCACTGATATATATTCCCTACTACCGAGTCCATGTATCATCGCAAACAGTTGTCACCAAGTAAATCGCTTAATTCGAGGACCTACACTATGTTCAGATCTCTCATGTCCCTCCTCTTTCCCCTCTTTTTCCAAGTCCATCTACCGCATTCTTTTGCAAACCATCCTCCAAGACGGTTTCGGCCATTGGGTTCAGCCGTCCTGACGCTTTACCCGCATTTCCTCACATTCCTCCCTCCTGTCTATTGGACATCCAAAGTGACCCAAAGATGAAGGGCGGAGTAGGTTAAGTGCTTCAGGCAAGGATGCCATGGAGAAGCGGCTGGCCGGAGGCTGTTTGGGCTCTCGTCGACTACGCCGTTTGCTCCTGCGGGGTTGTACACATATTTTTCTGCACTGGCATCTCATGTTCTTTACTGTGAAGTCCTCCAATCTAAACGACACCTGCTACACGGAAACCCACATAATCAAACACCATCCCAGCTTTGTTACAAACTCATCATTTTTTGGGTTCAATCCAATATCCGCTGTCGGCGTTCAAGTTACTGGACGAGGCCAACAGAGGCCACAAGGGTCTAAAAGAAAGCCATAGACATTACAGAATTGGATGCATAGTGAGTCTCAAATTTTCGCATGTAACTGTTCGGTTGATGAGGCCTCCTGGTGTCTGCGGCCGTTTGCTCCATTATGCTGGTGCTGCTGGTTGGTTCTGGTGCCTGGGGGGCAAAGGCAAGAAGGGTCCTGGGTCTAGACCGGCCATTTGCCAGGAGCCCCACGTGATACCCCGGCACTGTGGCGCATGACCAGAGGGGAACCTGGCTAGGTATCCGTACCTTGTGTTGCCGTGGCAAAGAAAAAAGGGCAAGAAAAGGGACGTGCACAGCCACAGGCCATTTCACCCCTCCATCATCTGAACCATCCAACCCAAAACTACCTGGCCTGCCTACTTATGACGCATTTTCTTCCGTAGTGCCTGATCGCACTTTCATTTCGTTGCCAAGGTCTGGGACTCTCCGTCTCTTTGTCCTTCTTCTTCTTCTCACCCCAGTGGGCGGGACAGCTTTGCAAAGATTCATAAACGCCCGCAAGACCTCTCCGACCACGAACGACTTGCTGTCACAACAAACCCCAATTTCAAGATGTTTGTCCTTCGAAACGGTAAGCTTACCCCGCCATTTTCCTCTATGCCAGCAAGTGACTTCTGCTCTTCATTCTGTGGCGCGGCCAACGGCGAGGCGCATGTGCGTTGTTGGTCGGGCCGCCTTCGTCATCACCACGTTTGCAAACAAGAATTGTCTTCCTTCTTGATCGAGTTTTTCGCTCCACCCCATCGGCCACATTAAATACTGACATTTCCACCTCCTAGTTGGCAAACTCATCTTTGGATCCAGCAACCAAGAATCACTGATCGAACTCCCTCAAGGACAGCTCTACCTCGTCCGCCCTCTCTCGCCCAAGGGCTACTCTGAACTCATTTTCAAGGACGCAGCTGCCCGAATCCGACGAACCGCACAGGATTTCCAGTACCAGCTCGTAGTACAGAGAGTCTACGAAGAAGGCGAGGCTGAACTCCTGGCCGAGGAAGAAGGAGAGGACGCCGAGATCGACGCACTTGCCGCCGCTGAAAGAGACGAGAAGACCTTCCTGCTCGACGAGGCTCTGCACTTCCGCGTCGACATTCGACAAGGCTCCGAGAAGGTTCTTGCCTGGAGGGATTTGAGTGGTGACACCGGTGACGTCTACGAGTTCGTTTGCGACAACGTTGTTTCCCCTGGCCAAGTCACACAATTCGAGCGCATTGCAAAGGAGTGCCAGTACGAACGCAAGTACCGCAAGCCGCACACCACCGCATCCGACTTCGACCTCAAGCAGTTTGAGTTCCAGGACGAGCAGCCGATACCTCCCGCCAGCCCGATCCACAGCCCGACGACTCTTGTACGGTCGATAGAGTCAGCTGACAGCCTTTTCGTACCCCAAAGCCCGGTTGGCACACCCACCAAGAAGGAAGACCGGTCTCTTGTTCAGACTCCAGCCAAGACGCCCAGAAATATGCCTGTCACGCCCGAGAGAACTAGGGCAAATGGCCCACCCAAGGCTGGCGAGGCCCCTGCAGCTCTCAGCACGTATGCTACTGAGAGCGCTGAGTTACACTTCTTCGACTTCCCGTCCGGTTCCTTTGTCCAGCAGGATGCTGCTGTCACCGCCACTGTTACGGAGATTGGCAAATGGGAATACTGGCTCCAGATCGAAACGGAGGATCGGGCCTGGCTTGGCATTCCGATCGTCGCCGACATCAACCCCGTCTTCAACTTTGAGTTCCTATCCTTCATCTTCAACCAGTTCTCTGGCGATGGTTCAGCGTACTCTTGGCTGCTTCGATTCAAGGACCAGCCGACGCTGGAGCGTTTCCAGGACGCCCTTCTCCGCGCGCTTTGGGAGCAGCTGAATGAATCCAAGTGGGAGAAGATCAAGGAGAGGGAGCAGGAGTACGTCACTGACGCCTTTAATGATTTGACCATGAAAGATACCCCGGAGGAACAAGAAGAGGAAGAGGAAGAGGAAGACTACGAGGACGCCGAGGAAGATGCTCAGCGCAGCGAACATTACGACAGCGACGAGGAGGAGGATGATGTTGAGACCAAGGACGAGGATGGCAACGTCAACTCCCAACTTGCTGTTGGCTACAAGCACGATCGCTCTTTCGTCGTGCGCGGGTCCAAGATTGGTGTCTTCAAGCACACGGCAAACAACAACCTTGAATTCTCCACCAACATTTCAAAGGTCGAGACACCAAAGGGCACACTGTTCAGCCCGAAGAAGGTCATGCTTCACAACGAGGATCGCAACATGATCTTGCAGAACGAGCAGGACCCCAACAAGCTCTATCGCATGGACCTCGAGTATGGCAAAGTCGTCGATGAATGGAACGTCCACGAGGATATTCCCGTCCTCAACTTCGCACCTGAGAACAAGTTCGCCCAGATGACCCATGAGCCCACTTTCCTCGGTATCTCGAAGAATGCTCTATACCGTGTCGACCCTCGTTTGTCCGGTACCAAGCTGGTCGATTCTCAGCTGAAGCAGTACGTCTCCAAGAACGAATTCTCGTCCATCGCCACTACCGAAAAGGGCTACATCGCTGTCGCTTCCAACAAGGGTGACGTCCGTCTCTTTGATCGTCTGGGCATCAACGCCAAGACCCACATTCCCGCTCTTGGCGAGGCAATCCTCGGTCTGGATGTGTCTGCTGACGGCCGGTGGGTGCTCGCCACCTGCCGGACGTACATTCTGCTTGTCGACGCGCTGCAGAAGTCTGGCAAGAACGAAGGTAAGCTCGGCTTCGAGAAATCCTTCGCTGCCAACGATAAGCCTCAGCCGCGCCGTTTAGCCCTCACGCCTGAGCACGTTGCTCAGTTTGCCCATGAGACCAGCAAGCCGGTGTCTTTCACGCCGGCGCGCTTCAACACTGGGGAGGGTACTGAGGAGACGAGCATCATCACTGCCACCGGTCCGTATATCGTCGAGTGGAGTCTGAAGAAGGTGCTTCGCGGCGCCAAGGCTGCCTACCGCATCAAGCGCTACGCCGAGGAGGTCAAGGCCGACGACTTCAAATTCGGAACGGACAAGAACGTCATTGTCGCCCTGCCCAACGAAGTTAACATGGTCGGCAAGCAGGGTCTCAAGCGACCCACACGCGAGAGCATTGCCGGTAACTTCGCGCAGCTCAGCATGGGTCGTAGGGACTCTGGGCGTATCGGCACACCTAAAAGTGGCCGTTATAAGCTCGGCAAGGAGGACATTGTAGCCTCGCCCTACTGAGAAGACTCCCGCAGGGACTTTGTTATGTTCTCATAGTTATGGTTTGATGCTGAAACGTTTTTTTTTCAATGAGGGCGTTTTCCAGGGTTCGATTTGCGCCACGCAACGATGGGGGGACAGAAGGGGATGGAGGATAGGATGGAATTACAGCACAGCACGTCGCCTTTTTCTTCTTGCTTTAGCTTCCGATTCTGAAGTGTTTGTTTGATTCAAGCCAAAGATAGACCGACGTCTCAATCTCAGATATCTCGAGAGACCCTCCGTAATACACGAGATCCCAGCGCATTGGTTTGGTACTCTGTACTTCTCGACACGTTACACGGGGCATGCACAATAGCCGGCTTTTCCAGATAGAGCAAAAGACCCTCTGGTTGATGGTCGATGATCGATTTGCGCTGGGTTTCGCAACACCCTAAGATAGGGACTCGGATGATAGTTGGAAGTCGACCAGATTAGGCAGCTAGCCAAGAGGTTTCAAGCGGACCACGCGCCGTCAAGTTCGACCCGTCTCCTCATCTGGCAGGGTAACACATTTGTCAAATAGGTAGATATTCTGATGTTGAACACAAACGCGGACTCGAAAATACATGGATGGCCGTCATGTACGACACAATTCCCCTTGTGTGAACCGTTCCGTAAACTCTTCTGCCCTCGGTTAATAAAATAGCAACAGCAACAACGTAAAACATGCCGTAGAACTCCGCTCCCACCGGCTTGATGCCTTGTGCCTGAATGATCATGATGTCGCCTCGCTGCCTTTGCTTCTCGTGCCCTTCAAACGGCGTGGTTTGCTTGCAGGCTGAGTGACGTAGCGAGGTGGGTATGGTTTTTTTTCTCTTCATTTTTTTCTTTCTTTCTTCCAATCATGCCTTCGTAAAAATGGCTGTCAGAGACGACATCTCCTGTAAGGAAAGTCATGACGAAAAAAAAAAAGTGTGGTAATGCAAGTCGGATGCACAGCGGCTGTTATGCCTCTTGGTTCTCCTGCTTCGTCTCCTGCTTCGTTTCCTCTGCGCCGTCCTTGCCCGCAGTTCTTGAAGCCCCCTCGATTGCGCCTTGCAGCGCCTTGGTGACCTGGCCAACCACGTTTCCGCTAATGTTCCTCAGCGTCTTGGGCTGCACCGTCTCCTGGGACAGACGCGTCATCTCGGCGACAAAGGACTGGCCCCACCACGAGGATGTGTACTTGAAGACGTAGCGCTCAAGCTTCTTGTAGTTGGTCTCACGCTGCTCCGGGGACATGGTAACGGCGTCGTGGATGGCGTTTGCCAGCTCCTCCGTGTTCCAGGGGTTGACGATGAGAGAGCCGTTCAGGGACTGAGCGGCACCTGTGAACTCTGACAGAATCATGACTCCGTGGCGCTCGCGCTGGGTCGCAATGTACTCGTACGAGACCAGGTTCATACCGTCGCGGGTAGAGGAGACTAGGCAGACGTCGGAGACGGCGTACAGAGCTGTGAGCTCGTCGAACGACACACTCTGGTGCAGGAAGTGGATGGGCATGAACTCGATGGTGCCGAACTTGCCGTTAATGCGACCGACGAGCTCGTTGACCACGGCGCGCAGGTTCTGATACTCCTCGACGTCCTGCCGCGAAGGCACGGCAACCTGGACCAGCACAATCTTACCGATCCATTCGGGGTGTTCCGTCAGGAAAACCTCGAGGGCATGAAGCTTCTGCGGGACGCCCTTGATATAGTCGAGACGATCAACACCGACGATGAGCTTGACTCCATTGAACTTGCGGGTCAGGGCCTCGATTCGCTCCTGGACCTTGGGCTTCTTGAGACCCTCGACAAACTTTTCCGGGTCGATACCGATGGGGAATGCGCCAACAGTAACGAACTTGCCATTGTAATCGACTCCGTTGGGGGTGGTGGGCGTTCCACTGGGGGGGCAAGTCAGCAAGGGACTAGGAGGGGCAAGATTTCGGATTGGCCTTACAGAATGCGAGAGCAACTGCTCAGGAAGTGGCGAGCGTAGTCGTAGGTGTGGAAGCCGATGAGATCGCAGTCGAGTACGCCGGTCAGGAGGGCCTCGCGAACAGGCAGGATACGGTAGATTTCGGAGGAGGGGAAGGGTGTGTGCAAGAAAAAGCCGATCTTGACATTTTTCTTGGTGTTGCCGATCTCCTCGCGCAACATCTCGGGCAGCAGCATCAGGTGGTAGTCGTGGACCCAGATCAAGTCGCCATCTTGGACGTCCTGAACAACGGCCTTGGCAAACAAACGGTTGACTTCACGGTAGGCGGCCCAGGCACTCTCGTCGAATGTGATTTCACCGGGATGGTAGTGGAAGAGCGGCCAGAGGATAGAGTCTATCGGAAGTCACTCATTAGCACGGGGGTTACAAAAGTAAAAAGAAATAAAAATGAAAAGGGTTCGAGGAGTAGGGGAGGGTCGTTCGTACTGGAGAAACCGTTGTAGTGTTTGTCGGCAAGCTCGTCATCAATGAAGACGGGGTGGGCGTCGTACTCGTCCTTGAGACGCTGCTTCATGCCGGCAATCTCGTTCTCGGGAACCTCGAGACCTGGCCAGCCGTACCATTGGAAGCTGGTGGTTTTTGACAGACCGCTCAGGCCGGTGACGAGACCACCAGAGGACATGGAGAAGGAATAGCTGCCATCTTCGGAACGCTTGATGGTGATGGGCAGTCGGTTGGAGAGCAGCAGGAGGCGTCCGGGCGCGGTGTCTTCGTCGACGAGCGCAGGCATCTTGGAGGATTTGCGCGAGGCGATGTAATGGTGGAGGTTTCTTTGGTGGGAGAGAAGGCGAAATCTTCCGCGGAGCGTTCGTTCGAAGGGCGGAAAATGGGGGGGGGGGGGGGGGGGGGGGGGGGTTCCACACAAGAACGACTTTAAAGTCTCCGCACGCCTGGTGATGCGGGCGCGGCACGTTTCAAGGCTCTCACCTTGCGATAGCGTCTGCGCGGCCATACGGCATCTGGCGCCAGTAATGCCTTACAAACGGTTGGAGATTTACTTATTTCACCTCGACGCTAATTGTCTGAGTCCGGCCCGCGTATCACTCAACTTATATCACAGGGATTCGAACCTTCAGTCGAACATCTCGACATAAGTCAACGCCCGCTCGGGTTGGCGTTGCTCCTAAAAAGGCTTAATCTCTGAGACAAAGCTAGGAGTATCTAAGAACGTGCCTTGATGCGTAGCTGTGGGTCTTATTCCTATATGGTGAAATCGAAAAGGGCACAACTCGGCCTAACAGGAGCCAGCAGTGAAGGAGTAACGCTCGTTGCCGTGATACTGCCTCACGGAGGCAAAGGTCAAGGTAGGCACTCTGGTTACTGACTACCGCGGCAACATTCTCCAATGTTTAGCATAACCGGTATTCAAAACTCGTCGCACAATGCTGCAAAGTACTCGTCGAATTTACCAGCACTCAGTAGTGCTAACGTGAATTTGTATTGCTTACAGAAATTGGTGTCGGCGCACTTCGGGGGGGGGAGCACGGCAGCTAAGCTTAGTGGTGCTGTGGTGGGAGGGTACGGTGTTAACTGAGTTGGGCTGGGATGAGCTTGCTTGCGGGGGAATGGAGGGGTAAATGTAAGGAAGTACGGATAGGCGATCAAGTAAAGTACCTACATGAAGCTGAGGTAACAGCGACGCAATAGGCGTGCAGGGGTTGGACTGCGGGCTACTTTACTTGTATGCGGAGAGGGTGGGACGAGATGGCAAACAGTGCAAGTTCACGTTCGGTCGGACTCTTAAGACACAAGAGAAGAAGAAGAGAGGGAGGAAGAAAAGGAGATGGGGGAAAGCTCCTAGTAAAATCAGAAAAATGGAGGGAGACGGAAGACGGGCGACTAAGCGGTGGTTGGTTGTTTGGTTTATTGACACTGAGAGGCGTGGTGCTTCTTCATGGGCCGGGGCGGAACGCTTAGGAGACGGAGAAGGGCGAGGAGGGTGTCGAGGACGCAGGAAGATGCCAATCCGGCCCAGAATGCAATTGGGTCTGATCCGACTCAGACCGGCAGTACCTATCTATGTAATGTACCTACCTAGTGTAGGTTAGGTAGTGTAGGGTGACAGTCTCCAGACATAGACAGACAGACAGACAGACAGACATTCGACCAAATGGATGTGACGCGGGAGCCCGGGTTCCCCAGAAGTAGAGGTACTTGAGATGGATCCCGCTTCGGCAAGGCGACAGAAGAGAAGTAAGTACGGATACTAGTTTGTTTTCCTCAATAATAGGTGGTTCGTCTTGTTTTTGTGAGAGAGAAAAAGGCTAGGATGAACAGACAGGCAAAGCAGCGAGTTCCTCTGCTCTGCTGGGACTGCCTTACACACAAGAGGACGGCCTGCTGCGGTGCCATCTACGTAATTCTTGGCCCTTGACCCATGTCCTGTCCTGTCCTGTCGCTGCGAGAAGAGCCCAGCCGGCCCTGCCACCTTTTGGTGGTGTACATTGTATGTATCCGTATCCCTTACCATTTCTAGCTGTCGTGCATGACTGCTTCCGGGCCCCTCCGGTCCGCGCGCCTGTGCAGCCCTTCGTCTTTGGTAAGTATATACATGCAGCTGCATTTCCCTTCATGTTGCCGACGACCCTGCCGGAGAAATAGACAGTCTGACCGAGGCTGTACCGTAGGGTGAGCGATATTCTTTGCAGGCCCGTTGAGCCGAATGCCCCTCGGCTCTTAGCAGCAAAATGGGTGCGATGTAATGTTACGTAAGATTCCTCAACTGCCTACTACGTACTACCTACGTAGTGTACAGGTATAGGTATGTAACAAATGGCCGAGGACATGATAGGTATCGGTACATGAGGGACCTTGATGTCGCCCGCCAGGCAGTGGGGATTCGGCGCCGAGGAGTGGGCACTTCACCGGCGGTACGTAGTGCGTCAGAAGAGAGAATGTTCACGATGTCTCTTGAAATTTTCCTTCCTTCCTTTCCATCCACCGACTCGACGCTCCACCGGCCAACGCAAGGATGATGGCGCATCATCTGCGAGGCCCATCCATCCCTGTAATAAACAGTGGCTACTATGGGTACAGAAGAAGCAGTCGACATCTTCAATTCTGTTTGAAAGGCAGGCGGGTCACATATCCGTCAGGTGATGGATGCTCCATTGAGCGACGCAACAGTGCCGTCATTCTCCATCCCAGAGCTGTACCTAGTACTCTGTATCCATATGCAGGAAAAAGTGGCAGCAACTCCCTTTTCACTACGGATAGGGGATTCGAAAAAGAGCCCCAGCCCCCGGCTGCACGACGTTTCGACGGGCCTGACAGACAGACGGCCTTTGACCGTTGCGACGTCCAATGGGCATTCATTTAAGCGTCAAAAGAGCGCTCCAGCCCAATCATCCAGCCCACAAGTCTAGACAAGACCCCCTGTTTGGCTACCACCGACAGACTGACATGGGAGGGTCCCATAACGCCCCGGACCAAAATGTCCTTGACCCGAACAGGAGTGAGTAACCCTACTATGTACATAGTACACTAGGACGACGTCGTCGTTGAGGTTCGATTCATCAACACATTCTCGATTCCAGTTGAGCAACACCGTGGGGAATGCGTCCCCATCAACAGCACGGTGTATCCGTATGTGTACAAAGCCCAAACAACTCCACCCTTTGTTTTGTGTTTTCCGATGGAGCACCGGTCATCCATCTTCAAAAGCTGCTTCTTGACTTGCCTTGGCTTCTGTGCAAAACTGCTTTCCAAATTGTAGGGATGAAAGGCATATGCCCTCCCGCCGCTGTTTATGGGAGGCGCTCGGACCAAAGGCGAGGTGAGGTGGGCGGGCGTCCAGTGGCTGCCGCCCCACTCCGGATAAGTCGTAGCTTGCCCGCGTCGGCTTCGTTGCTTGCGCTCCTACATTGGCCCTCGACGCGTCTTCAACCGCGACAGAGCCCTCGAGCTCTAGCAATTTCTCGCCCATCCCCTACCCCTCCGCCAACTCCGACCAAATCCTCATGTTCCACGTAGAGCCGCAATTAATATCCAGCCCAATCCACAACCAGAGCCAGTCCATCCTTGTCGTTCTGTGAAAGCATGGCCCCGTCGAACGCGAAGCTCAAGGCGGCCCTTCTCGACGCCGTCCGCGACGTCTTCCAGACGGATTTAGACAACCTCACCGTGAACTTCATCCGTAAGCGCGTAGAGTCGGATCTTGAACTTGAAGATGGATTCTTCTCCTCGGGAGACTGGAAGGACAAGAGCAAGAAGCTCGTTAAAGAGCTTGCTGTAAGTGATCATATATCCTTGATACGCGCACACCGTTATCTTTGGCCCCTCCACCTGACTTATACCGGATCAGACCGCTCTGATGGAGGGCAATGCCGATCCCGAGCCAGAACCTGCGGAAGAGAAAGAGAGCGCGAAGCCGAAGAAGACGGGCAAACGTCAGTCAACCGATACATCACCACCCGCAAAGCGTCGAAAGCGTCCGTCTGCCGAAGATGGCGACTCGGAGAGTGAGAAGCCCAAGAGCAAGGCCAAGGCCAAACCGAAGAAGCCGGCGCCGCGTAAAAAGAAGCAGGATACTCCCGTGGTCGACTCTGATTCAGAGCCGAGCCCCGCCAAGCCGAAACCATCGAAAGCTCGCAACGGACACGCGAACAAGGCCGAAGACAGCGACTCAGATGACCTGAGCTCGCCGCCGGACAGCGACGAGGAGATGGTCGACAGCGACAAGAAGAAACCAGAGGACGAAAAACCCAAGGCGCCCGAGGAGGAGGTCAAGGTCTTTGTCGAGACGAAGGAAGACGGATCGGCCGAAAAGAAAGCCGAAACCGGCGATGGAGAGGAAAACAAGAAACAGCATGTTGTTGACGACACAAGCAGCGAGCTGTCCGATGTGTTGGACGAACCGCCCAAGCCGAAGCGTAAGAAGAAGGAAGCTGGAGCTGGCAGCAAGGCGCCCAAGCAAAAGAAGGCGCTTGCAGGCTCGGACAACCCTGACGATGTCGAAATCAAGAAGCTGCAGTCTCACTTGGTCAAGTGTGGCATTCGCAAGATCTGGGGGTTCGAGTTGAAGCAATACGGAGACAACACAAAGGCCAAGATCAAGCACCTCAGAGACATGCTCCGGGACATCGGCATGGACGGCCGCTTCTCAGAGGCCAAGGCCAAAGAGATTAAGGAGCGCAGAGAGCTCGAAGCGGATCTGGAGGCAGTCCAAGAGATGAACGCAAACTGGGGCGTCGGGGGCCGGTCATCAAGGAGCAAGGCGCGCGGACAGCCGGCACCGGTAAAGGCCGTGAAAGATGACGTTTCCGAAGACGAGAATGCCAAACAAAACGACGAGGATGATGACGACGAGGAACAAGAGTCACACATCCCGTCACGCGCGCGGGGCAAGGCACGAGCAGACTTAGCATTCCTCGGAGACGACGACGAGGAGTCAGACTGATGTTATGACTACTGGAGGATATCGCAGTTTGTTCGCGGAGCATTTTTGTTTTGCTGATATGCACTTGTTGTATTGTATACCGTGGCGCGTAACGTCTTTTCCACCACCGGCGCCATTACGGAATGTCGTCTGAAGCTATTCGACTATGGGGGTTTGTCAACTGCTGGCAAACGATGCACCATTACGGGACTGCAGTGGGGTTTTCCGTTATACGGGACATGTTGGACGTACTGATTCATCAAGCCGTGACAGATGGCAGGTTTGATCCCGTTTCCCTCCCGTCTTTCTCTGGAGACCCCCGCAGCCTCGGAAGTCGAATGCGTTTCTCCAAAAGCTAGAGCCGCGGAACAAAGTTGCTCGTGTTTAAACGCACCAGTCAGACGACGACATGCCCGTTCAGGGCGGGCTGGGGTCGGGTCCTGCTTGTGGCGTTGTGGTGGGAAAACGAGGCGAAAGAGGGGGGGGAGAGAAGCGTGGATTTCCGGGCAACCCAAGCTTCTCCGTCATTGTTTCTGCGTCTCCAATTTACCCCGCCGCGGGCGAGGAGTCCCCGCAGACGCTTTCCATTTCCTCCCAATACCCACTATCCCGGCCAACAAGCGCGCGAATACAAGCTATAATAGCCTGAATTGCAAGCTTCACCACATCATCCAGTAACGGGAGAAGTTATCGCGCTCCAAAGGACAACCATAAAGGAGCTTTAGCTCTTCCTTCCCCTTTTTTCGCTCTCCCGGCGAGTTCCGTGACTTCAATCTCACCTCATCGTCGTGAATTCTCCGCCTTGGGCTTCGTTTTCTTCTTCTTTTTTTGTGGTTCGACGTCTCATAATCACCCTTATCTAAGAGCCCAAAACCGACACCAAAAGACAGCTTCTCCTATCTACTACAATGGCCGACGCTCCCTTCGAGTTCTTGCCCTTGGGTGCCATTCTCCAGTCTTTCAAGGTTAAGGGCGTCAATATCGTTCAGGGCTTCCCGACCCAGGAGCTCTACGAGCAGCACAACTCGCCCTACTTCGGCGTCACCGTCGGCCGTGTCGCGAACCGCCTCGACTCGGCCCAAATCAAGTCGCTCAACGGCGGAAAGACGTACAAGCTTGCCGCCAACGACGAGGGCAACAACCTGCACGGCGGTCTTAAGCCCTGGAGCTCCCTCGTTTGGGATGGCCCCAAGCCCGTGGGCGTGCGCGAAATCCCCGGCGTCGAGGGTCTCGAGGGTGGCGAGAGCGTCGAGTTCTCGCTCACCAGCCCCGACGGCGACGAGGGCTTCCCCGGCACCGTCAAGGCCAAGGTCGTCTACACGGCTGGCACGCAAAAGGTCGACGGCAAAGAGATTTCCGTCCTGGGCATCGAGTACGAGGCGCAGCTCGTTGACGGCGCCGACGAGACGGCCATTAACATGACGAACCACTCGTATTTCAATCTCACGGGCGATGAGACCTTCGCCGGCACCATGGCGACGCTGGCGACCAACTCGCACCTCCCCCGCAAGAACGGTATCCCCACGGGCGGACCCGTGCCGTTTCCCGGCATCGAGGGCGGCAAGCCGTTCGAGCTGGGCGTCGAGGGTCCCGAGGTGGACGACTGCTTCGTCGTCACGGAGAAGCCCGGGTCGGTGCCCATCGACACGCGCAAGGAGGCGCTAAAGCTGCACGTGCACGCGAGGCACCCCAAGAACGGGATCAACCTCGAGGTGCTCAGCACGGAGCCTGCGTTTCAGTTCTACACAGGCAACGGCATCAACGTCCCGGCTGTCGAGGGCGCGCCGGCGCGGGGCAAGAGAAGTGGGTTCTGCGTTGAGCCCAGCCGGTGGGTGAACGCGATCAATGTCCCCGAGTGGAAAGACCAGATGCTGTTGAAGAAGGGGGAGACATACGGTACGCGTATCGTGTACAAGGCCTGGAGCGAGTAGGGAGGGGGTGGTAGTTGAGCTCAACCGGGGTGGAATGGTACCTGGAATAATGGAGTCTGAGAATGATGTAATGACGAATACGGGTACCCGTTCTTCATGGAGCAATTGCACTGCTGTTCCCAAGCACACTCCATTCACTTTTGTGTAAATCTGATGAAGTGAATTACGCCGAAGATGGGGACGGACCGACTTCCATCCCAGCAATCGCCGATCAAGGTTGGGATACTACATCAAGACCTCTCCCCCTCACCTTCTCTAACTACGGTGATTAGTGAGTGTATTTGATGCAATCCATTTTTGCCATGTCTCTGTGAATCATGGAAGTGATCCGATTTGGCTGAGCTACTACTGAAGTAAAAAGAAGGATGTAAGATGAGACGAGGACGAGCCCTTACCGGTCCGGTCAGTTCACTGAGGGGCTCTAGCTTCTGTTTTTAGTAGGTCGTCGTTTTGGCTTATCGCACCAGCACCACGGTATCGGCAGGCGCAGGTGCAGGGACGCCTCTGCGGCTCTTTCTCCAAGGTTGTACTCCGTACCTACCATCCATCCATCCATCCATCCCTCAATGAACCTAAGAAACGACCGCCCGAAATGTGTTAACTGCCGGTCCACCCAGGTACCTAGTTGCCCACGGGCATGACTACCTATGCAACCATCTGACCAAACCGCTTTCCCGTCAACCTCTCGAAAAAAATAAAATAAAAAACAAAAAACACCACGCTTCTTTCGCCTACCACGCACTTGCTAGCATTGTCGATACAATCCAACTCATATCCATATACGACTACGAAGGAACACCCATCGCCTTGTGTCGTCAGATCCGTCTTGCCTGGATCCAACCGAGTCAGGCGCCGCGTAGAACCGAACCAAACCCCATAACCGCCGACGTCGGCATCCTACGCAGTCATGACTGAACCCTTCCCGACCCCAACAGCGACACCGAAACGCAAGCGAGACGAGGACTTTCCCTTGTCTCCGATATTTACCACCTCGAGTTTCTCCTTCCAGCTACCCGATGCCAAGAGCGACGATGAAGGAAGCGGGAGCCCGCACAGCAAGGTCGTCCACAAGTTTCGTGGTTTGGCCTTGAATGGAGGTGCTGGTGGGGGCGGGGTGCTGGCCCAGCAACAGAAGCGAGATTGGCCATACGACCCTACGCCGGAAGACCGTCGGGACGGGTACAACGACGACCCTTTCGCAAGCCGAAAGAGAGCCAAGGTCCCAGAGCTGGATATGAAGGACGCCGAAGCAGTCGTAGCCGAACCAGTTGTCATTCCCGACCCGGAGATCAAGAGCGACCCTGTTCCTGCAGTCAAGTTCAAGTCGGTTACCGGCGACACCACTGATACAACCACCGAGGAGATTCTACAGCCTATAGCGATGACTGCCGCCGCTACAAACCTGCAACGCCCGCACTCCTTGATGAATCGACTACATGACCCCAAGTCTAAGGGACGAAGACGCGCCGGCACCCCGCCGCTGAAGGGTCGCAAGGGCAAGGTCGCCCAGGCGCAAGACGAGGACCGGGAGATGAAGATCGTGGACCCGGTCCGGGCCGCACTGACGTGGAAGGAGGAGGAGATTACGATTTATGACCCCGAGGATGAGGACGACGACGGAACAGGAATCAACGGTGTCGGCTTCATGCCAACAGCCGCCATGGCTTACGTGCGAACGCAGAAGCGCCGGCTTCAGCTCGCCGAGTACAAGAAGCGGGAAGAGAGCGAGGCCAGAGCCCGGCGCAACCAGCGCAGACGGGGCAGCGCCGCGGGCCTATGCTCTGGTAACAGTAGTGGTGGCAGGGGCGGCGGCGTGCGAAAGGTTCGCTTCACAGAAGCAGAGCCCAACCCGGTTGTGACGAACGTATGAGCACGGCGGTTATGATGCCGTTTTTGATAATTAGGATTGGAACTGGGCCATGGCGTATTTGCTGTTGTTCCCTGTTATGTGTGGTCTGGGTCTGGCCTAAGGACCATCACAGGAGGCGTTGACTGGCGTTTGGGCACGGGCGTTTATAAACGCAGGATTGAACCTATCTCAGCAGTCAAGATTATGGATGCATGCGGGCGACAAGTATCGCAAGCTTTTGTTATTTTTCTTTTCGCACAGCAAAGCCGCATTGCGAACAAGTCGGCATGGGAGTCAAGAGGGGCGACAGGACGATTCAAATAGTCTTTCTTTTATACCCCAGACTGGAATGGATAAAGATGATACAGATCCACCCTCCTCCCTACTACTACACACACCGTGTCCAATGCTACTGATACTTTTGTAAAACGAGACAGAATATTCATACACAGGGCTCGACGCAGGCAGGCGCATCCTCAACAGCCTGCTCTAACAGATATTTTTGGAGAGAGACGGGCAGCGAGCGACGTGTTTACCAGAACTTGTACCAAGCATTCCGGCTCGCCTTGGCCGCCTCCTCGGCCTGCTGTTGCTGCTTGAGCTGCTCCAGCTCCCGGCGCCTCTTCTCCGCCATGGTCTCCTGGTAGACCTCGACCGTCCTCTTCATCTTGATGCGCTCCTGCCGCCGCAGGTACTGGCAGTACTCGTATTGCCCGGCGCTGCCCGCCACAAAACTGTACACAGCCCAGTTTGCCGCTTTGCTGGGTGAACCTAGGGGCGCGCGTGTGTGTGTGAGTTGAGACGGCGTTTTCCATGCTTGAAAAGTGAAATCATTGGAGTGGAAAGGCAGATGGAAGTAGTGACTCACCCCTCATAACCATTCTCAGGCCTCCGACGGCCGCACCGACAACAATGCCGGCGGTGAGACCATCGCGGGCGCACGGCGTCCGGAAGACGTCGAGGAAGTCAGACCACTTGATCGTCTTGATGGCCTCGCCGACGGACGGATACCCCGTCTGGGCGTTGCGTTCCTGCGGCGGGAAGTTGCTCTGGAATTCGGTCGGGTCCAGCTTCTTCTGATGCGGCTCCGGGGTCGCCGTCGCCGCCGCGGCAGTCGTCGTATCCGAGCCCGGCGCTCCCTCTCCGACGTGTTCCTGGTTGGACCGGGACCAGAGGTACAGTTTCTGTCCGTCCCTTTTGGGCGCTGCTGCTGCTGCCGCGGCGGCAGCGGCAGCGGCAGCGTTATCTGTTGGATCCTGCGCCATTTATGTGCTTCTGTGCGCGCGAGTCTCGGGGGCGCATCCGGTAAGACTTTTTGGCTCGTGTTCAATTATTGGCTTCAACTCATGGCTCGGCCGCAACCCCCCCTCGATGAGAGCTTCACTCAAAAATCTGCCCGTGGCCTGAGATGACATGACGTCCACCGAATTCGTTCCGTTGCTGGGCCAGGCGCATGGTCTGTGCGAGCATGTACCCACTGCCTACCTACACTAGGTAGTATACATAGCACACACACAAGTGACGGGTGCCCTGCGCGAGGGATGTTGGTTAATTGATGTGGGGTCCCCCTTCACTCGGGAAAGCGTGCATTTGTCGCGTAAAGTCGCGCCTGGGACGCGTCGGTTCTGCTTGTGCCTGCCCGGGACAACCTATTACTCTCTTACCCAAGTTGATCAAATCCCACCCCCTCTCCCCCTTGCCCAATTTCTCGTGGTCCATCGATACCCGCCAATTTTGCTTTCTGTCTCTTCTGTTTTGTGCAGCAGACCTTCTCTTTTCCTGACAGAATTCTTTGATACCCACCAAAGCCGGCCTCGACAACCCCCCCCTGTTGCAGACCTAGGCATTTGTTCACTACTCTTCCGTCTCATGACTTTCTAGATACAACTCGAGTCCCTCGAGAGTCCCCTGTCGCCAGAGTCCCTCGACGGACACTTACCTCACCAACGACGACTTCTCTACCCGGCCTCCACACATCCCGAGCCAGGCGACATCCACCGACCAAACAATGCCCAACACAAGTTTGCGGCGTCCGCAAAAGGGCTACCGCCGCGGCGGGAAGCAGGCCTACCATGGCCCCGGCCGCACAGCTCGTACCTTCGCCGCTTCGAGCCGCGCCGAAGCGACCTCTGCCGACGAAAAGTGGGAGCGCACGCGGCTGGTGCAGGCCATCGACGAAAACATGGGCTTCGCGCGTTACGAGGGTGGCAAGCGCAAGGAGGGGTGGCTCGTCAATGTGCAGCCGACTTCGGTTGAGGACGACCGGATACCAGGCGGCCGTGCGGCGCTTGACTGCTACTTCATCGAGGACGACGGGTCGCACTTCAAGGCCACGGTCGAGTACAATCCCTACTTCCTCATCGCCGTCAAGAAGGGCCGCGAGAGCGAGGTCGAGGAGTGGCTGAAGCGCGTGCCCGGCGATGGCGTCGTCAAGACGATCAAGAGGGTCGAGAAGGAGGACCTGAAGATGCCGAACCACCTGATGGGCTACCGCCGGACCTTCCTCGAGCTCAGGTTCGCCAACGTCAACGACCTGATGGCGGCGAGGAAAGACATAATGCCCATTGCGGCCAAAAACAGAAAGAACGTGGATGCCTTGGACGCATACGCCGAGGTCCAAACGTCAGTCTTGCCCTTCACACGGTACGCTTGGAGAGAGAATGGCTGATGCTGACCCTCGGCCAGAACAAACGGCGACTTTGACCTTTTTGACGACTCACGAGATGACGATAGACGAGCCAATGCTTCTTTTGCCGACGCCAGCGACTTCATTGTCGATATTAGAGAGTACGATGTACCGTACCATGTAAGAGTAATGATAGATATGGGTACGTCTGACCCGCGGGACCGAGCTGGGTAGGCCGCAGCTGACCATTGCAGACATTCGGGTGGGGAAATGGTATTTCATCGACGTCAAGCACGGCGTCACCAAAGTCACTACCAACGAGGACCGTTTGGCCATGGCGGACCCCGTAGTCATGGCCTACGATATCGAGACAACAAAACTGCCTCTCAAGTTCCCCGACGCCGCCATCGATCAGGTCATGATGATTTCGTACATGATTGATGGGCAGGGTTTCCTCATCACCAACAGAGAGATCGTCTCGGAAGACATTTCCGACTTCGACTATACCCCCAAGCCCGAATACCCCGGCTCCTTCATGATTTTCAACGAGCCAGACGAGAAGGCAGTCCTCGAGAGGTTCTTCCTACACATAAAGGAGGCGAGACCTACCGTCATCGCGACGTACAACGGTGACTTTTTCGATTGGCCCTTTGTTGATGCCCGCGCTAGTGTCAACGGCATCGACATGTACCAGGAGATTGGCTGGAAGAAGGACAGCGAGGACCAGTACAAGTGCAGCTACAGCGTGCACATGGACTGCTTCCACTGGGTGAACCGTGACTCGTATCTGCCTCAAGGATCTCGAGGCCTAAAGGCCGTCACAGTGGCCAAGCTCGGGTACGACCCTGACGAGCTCGACCCTGAATTGATGACGCCCTATGCCGCTGAACGCCCGCAGACTCTGGCCGAGTATTCAGTCTCCGATGCCGTGGCGACGTACTACCTGTACATGAAATACGTCCACCCGTTCATCTTCTCTCTCTGTACGATTCTGCCCCTGGGCGGCGACGATACTTTGCGAAAGGGTACCGGTACCCTGTGCGAGATGTTGTTGATGGTCCAGGCTTACCAGCAGGAGATCGTGCTACCCAATAAACACGTCTCGCCAAGGGAAGCGTTTTACGAAGGCCACTTGCTCGACTCCGAAACGTATGTTGGTGGCCACGTCGAGAGTATTGAAGCGGGCGTCTTCCGTGCAGATATCCCTGTCAACTTTGCAGTCGATACGGGTGCAGTGGACGAGCTATTGACGGATCTGGACGCCGCCCTCAAGTTCAGTATCACAGTGGAAGAGAAGAAGTCAATGGACGACATTGAGAACTACGACGAGATCAGAGAGCAAATTGCTTCGCGGTTGCGCGCTCTCAAAGAGACGCCGAACCGCAGTGAGCGGCCTCTCATTTATCATCTCGACGTCGCTTCCATGTACCCCAACATCATGACGACAAATCGACTACAACCCGACTCCATGATCCAGGAGTCGGACTGCGCGGCATGCGACTTCAACCGGCCTGGCAAGACGTGCGACAGACGGCTGCCTTGGGCCTGGAGAGGAGAGTACTTGCCGGCGAAGCGTGACGAGTACAACATGATCAGGAACGCGCTCGAGAACGAAAAGTTTCCGGGCAAGTGGCCAAACTCTCCGCAGCGGACGTTCCAGGACCTGTCTCCGGACGAGCAGACGGCTCTGCTGAGGAAGCGGTTGCAGATCTTCTCGCAAAAGGTCTACCACAAGATCCACGACTCTACGACCATCGTCAAGGAGGCCATCATCTGCCAGCGTGAGAATCCGTTCTACATCAACACCGTCCGAGATTTTCGTGATCGTCGGTACGACTACAAAGGCAAGGCCAAAGTCTGGAAGGGCAAGACGGAGGCTCTCAAGCAATCCGGCGCGACATCTTCCGAAGTCGACGCGGCCAAGAAGATGATCATTCTCTTCGACTCGCTGCAGCTTGCCCACAAGGTCATTCTGAACTCGTTCTACGGCTATGTCATGAGAAAGGGTTCGCGTTGGTACTCCATGGAAATGGCCGGCGTGACCTGTCTGACGGGAGCAACCATCATCCAGCTGGCCAGATCGCTCGTTGAGCGCCTTGGTCGCCCCTTGGAACTGGACACCGACGGTATTTGGTGCATGCTTCCAGCCACATTTCCCGAAAACTTTGCTTTCAAGATGAAGAACGGCAAGAAGCTTACCATCTCGTACCCCTGTACTATGTTGAACCATCTGGTACACGCCAAGTTCACTAACCATCAGTACCAAACACTCGTGGATCCCAAGACGCTCAAGTACGAGACTCACAGCGATAACTCCATCTTCTTCGAAGTTGACGGTCCCTACAAGGCCATGGTTCTGCCTACGTCCAAAGAGGAGGACAAGAACTTGAAGAAGCGTTATGCCGTTTTCAACGATGACGGAAGTCTGGCCGAGTTGAAGGGTTTCGAGGTGAAGCGCCGAGGAGAGTTGAAGCTCATCAAGATCTTCCAACAGCAAATCTTCAAGTTCTTCCTCGAGGGAGAAACCCTCGCAGATTGCTATGCTGCTGTTGCCAAGGTTGCCAACCAGTGGTTGGACGTCTTGCATGGCAAGGGCTCGACACTGGCCGACGAGGAGCTCATGGAGCTCATTTCCGAGAACAGAAGTATGTCCAAAACCTTGGAGGAGTACGGCTCGCAGAAGTCGACATCCATCACTACGGCCAAACGTTTGGCGGACTTCTTGGGTGAGCAGATGGTGAAAGACAAGGGCCTCAACTGCAAGTTCATCATCTGCGCAAGGCCAAAGAACGCGCCCGTCACCGAAAGAGCCGTGCCTGTTGCCATCTTTTCCGCCGAAGAGACGACGAAGCGCTTTTACCTCAAGAAGTGGTTGAAGGAGGAGCCCGCCGACACCGACCCCAGAGCTCTCCTGGACTGGGACTACTACCTCGAGCGACTGGGATCCGTCATCCAGAAACTCATCACTATCCCGGCCGCACTCCAGAAGGTCAGGAACCCCGTGCCTCGCGTTCCCCACCCCGACTGGCTCCAGCGCAGAATCAACATCAAGGACGACAAGATGAAGCAGAAGAAGCTCACGGATCTGTTCGCCAAGGGCCCCCTGGAAGACATCACTAACCTCAACGGTCGCTCTGCTGCCGATATGGAGGACTTTGGAAGCCAGCTTCTCAAGCCGAAGCAGGTAACTTCTGTGGTGGCTTCGTCACAGGCCGCGGCTTCCACCTCTCAGAAGCGGAAATCTCCCGAGCCTGCCGAGAACGCTGATCCCTTCGCTGCCCTTCCCAAAGAAATGCCCTCGCCTTCAGACGACTATGTCGGTTTCCTGCAATATCAGAAGCAGAAGTGGAAGATTCAGAAGCAGGCACGCATCCGCCGACGACAACTTTTCGGAGACCGACGGGGCAACAACCAGAACAACATTCAGAACACGTTCATGAAACAGGCTCACTTGACCTTCATGAGCACCTGGCAGTTGTTGCATCTCAAGCCTACAGACACACCTGGAATCGTCAATGCTCATGTTCTCATCGACGCAAAGATCCACTCGCTCAAGATCAAGGTCCCACGACAGGTGTTCTTGAATCTGAAGAGCGGGGACATGCCAGATGTCGACATCCCAGGATGCGAGGTTGAGCAGGTCAACCACACCCTGCCCAACGGGCATTCTTCCGTTCACCTCTTCAAGCTCACCGTCCCCGAGGATATTTATTTCAGCGAAGCCGACAAGTTCTCTCTGCTGTTCAATCACCCGAGTGTCGAGGGTGTGTACGAGATGCATCTGCCTCTTAACATCCGTGCCGTGCTTCAACTGGGCAATCTATGTACCATCGACGAACAGCAGCACGCGGTGCTCGGTAAGGGTCTGGAGCAGGGGTTCGACTTGCTCGGTCTCAAGCGTCCCCTGAAGCCTAGAACTTACCTCGACACCTCGCCTTTGGCATATATCTACATCTCGCACATCACCGCAGGCGACAGGCAAATCTTCGGAGTATTTTCAACACTGAAGGATGAGGCACACATCATCATCCTGCAGAAGGGTAGAGACTCCGGGCAGGATCTCCCCAATATCTCGCGGATCTACACCGAGCTGCTCGCCCGACGAGCAGAGGAGGCGGCCGGGACCAACTGGCAAGACTGCTTTACGTACCAAGAGAAGGTCAACTTTAGGATCACGCAAGTAACGACACGACGAAAGGCACACTTGGAGCTTAGCGACGTTGTCAGGAAGATGAGAAAAGACGAGCTGCGGCCGCTCATGATGGTCATTCAGTCGTCCCAGCGCAACATGCTCATTAACGACGTCCCCATCCTCGGCGAGTTCCCCGTGCTGCCCCTCAAGTACGACGCTGCCGACAGCTCTCTCCCACCGCTCGGCTGGCAAACAGCCGTGGCCAGACGACTGGTCGGACACTACCTTGGTCTTGGCTCTTGGATCGTGCATCTGACCACTCTTGCGCGATACGGCGAAGTCCCCCTGTGCAACCTTGAGCGAGAAGATCCGCGCTTCCTCATCGATATCGCCTACGCCAGGCGGCTCCAGAACAATAATGTCGTGCTTTGGTGGTCCGCAAGCCCCCGGCCTGATCACGCTGGCCACGAGAAAGATGACATTACAGGACCTCTGGAGACTGTCCAGATGCCGGCGGTCAACAACCCTGGCACGTTCTCCTCGGTCTGCATCGACTTGGAAGTCAGGAACCTGGCCATTAACACCATTCTTACTTCGTCTCTGATCAACGAATTGGAAGGGTCCGATTCCATTTCGTTCAACCCCGCCGGTGACGGGAATGCAGCAGGCGACGAAGTCATCTCGTCCGAGGGCACGTTCGCCAACGCCGGTGTTCTGGTGCTGCGAGAGATGGTCAAGAGTTGGTGGCAGGAGGCTTGCAAAGGCAGCGCAATGGCGGACGTCATGGTCCAGCATCTCGTCCGTTGGGTCGAGAGCCCCGACTCCTTTCTGTACGACCGCGCTCTGCATTACTATGTGCAGATGATGTCCCGCAAAGCCTTCCAGCAGCTCATGGCCGACTTCCGTCGCGTCGGGTCGCAGGTCGTCTTTGCCAACTCCAACCGTCTCCTTTTGCAGACGACCAAGGCCGAGGTGGGCACCGCTTACGCCTACAGCCAGTACATCATCAAGTCGATCAAGAGCAAACCTCTCTTCCACTTCATCGACCTCGAGATCAAGGAATACTGGGACTATCTGGTTTGGTACGACGAGTTCAATTACGGAGGCAAAGCCTGCCAGGAGGTTGTGGAAGCGGAGCAGCAGACTCTCGACACCGTCATGCATTGGCAGATGGCCACCTTCCTCCCCATCCGTTTACAGCCAACGTTCCAAGACTGGGTCATCGAGTTCATCCAGCTCATGCACAACTTCAAGCGGCCTCAGAACGGAGACCTCTCCTCGACGCCGCGTCTCACGCAGCTACCACAAAAGTCCCTTGCAGAAGGCGCTCAGGGGCAGATTATCCTTGGCAAGGCCTTCGAGAAGCCCTTGAAAAAGGAGATGGCCAACCTCATCAACCTGCAGAAGCGCGAGCTCCTCCATCCAGAGCTGGCTGAAGACTACTCCTTCCCGCACTTGCCCGGTTCACATCTCACGCACCTCTCGTCACGTAACGCCGTGCTCGAGCTTGTCAAGGCGCTGATGCAGGTGCTCTCTCTCGACAAGAACATCACGCTCGAGGCGCGCCTGCTGCGCAAGGAGCTGCTCGCCATGTTCGACGTGCGCGAGTTCAGCAAGGAGGGCGCGTTCCAGAACCCGAGCGAGAGCCTGAAGGTCATCCAGCTCAGCTGCGACAGCTGCACGATGGCGCGGGATCTCGACTTCTGCCGTGACGAGGACCTGATGCCGGAGATGGGCCCTGACGGGAAGCGCCTCGGGCCGGAGACGAGACCGTGGCGGTGCACTTTCTGCGAGGCCGAGTACGACCGCAACGCCATCGAGGAGATGCTGCTGGCGCGGGTGGAGGCTTTCGTGGTGGAGTGGACGACGCAAGACCTCAAATGCGGCAAGTGCGGTGCGCTGCGGATGAATGAGTTCATGGAGCACTGCACATGCAGCGGCGAGTGGGTGGAGAGCGTGAGGAGGGCGGACATTGTGAGGCGGCTGAATGTATTTCGGAACGTGGCCCAGTTCTATGGGTTGAAGATGCTGTTGGAGGTCACAGAGGGCCTGAGGAAGGGGCTTTGACAGACGAAAGGGCATGTTACGGCGCATCAGGGATGACACGATATCTATGGAGTTGTGGGACGAGGACTTGCTTTTGATAGTAGATGAATATGGCGTATATGAATGACTCCCCCGAATACAAGAACACAATCACGCATCACCCAGCGCCCATCATATATAAAAAAACCTAAACCTCTGCTCCACATAGGTAGGCCGGTGCTATATCAATATGCTTGAACCCAAACCGGCTAGGATCTTGACTTGGGTGATGCGAGATGGGAGATTAGAAGATACATCGAACATACTCGACTATAAGGGAATAGATAACAGGAAATCATGACGGAAACAATAGAGGCCTTGTTTGAGAACTTCCTCTCTCGACGTATTGCATGTGGAACAGTAACTATGCCATGGAGCGTGGGGACCCATCGATCGTATACCGGGTACGGAAGCCGAGTTCGCGCCGCCAGACCCCGGTTTCGGCCTCCGGGTCCTCTCATACGAACACTTCGGCCCGCTCCACTCATCGGCGATAATCCACTTGCCTCATGGCCGCTGCCTACCAGCTTCCAGGCGTGCTGAGGCTGTACCTCGTCAGATGAGACATCTGTTCGGCCTCTGAATCAAAGACCGGCCAGGGTTCAGCAAGCAGAAAGAAAGAAGGAAAGAAAAATGTATTACTTATCGCGCACCCAGTGGTCTTCAGCAAGTAGCCACAGCTTTACAGTTCAAGGTCCTCGATTCCAACTCATCACACCATTGGCAAGACTCTTCTCTTCCCGCAATGATGACGAATATGAATTCTCCGGACATACCCATCGCCATTGTCGGCATGTGGTGCCGGTTTACTCAAGAGCCTGGGGTTGGCTGGATACTGCTGCTTCCACTTGGCCATTTCGCGGCGGACGTATGCATCGTCGATGGGGAGAATGAAACGTCTGTACCATGGTGAGGCAAAAGAACGGGATCGCGTCTGGTGTACGACTGTGAAGAGTGGGTGTCCCAAGATGTGGTGGGTCAAGTGGCATGGCTCTCTCTGTACGTGGACGAGATGCGTTTTATATGATACGACATGTACACATGCACCCCCATTGATCGTGCTCCTCATGCTGAGCTGAAGGGGATGTGGGAAACAGGCTAGAATAGACAGGGTGGAAGCAGAGATGCTCCCGCTTTCAGTCCGGCCCGGCACGTCAGGCTTCTCCGCATGAGACCGGCCGCCGCGGCTTCGTTTCGGTCCGGTACCGTACCGTACCCTGTTTAACCGGCTCCCGAAAAGCCCAACATCAGCACACTCCCTCTGAAGCCCCTGCTGCGGACTGTACCTATCATCCGGCATCACCACCTCGATGCCTTACTGCTTCCAGTTAGTGGCAGACACATATACTCCCGACCTCCCCCCTGCTTGGCTTCAGCGGCCTACACGTACAACAAATTGTTTACGACCATCTCGCCACGCTCGCCATGCTGCTCTTCTTGCCTGGAGTCTACTTGCTTGCAGCCACTGTCTGCATTCTTGGTCTTGTGGCTTTGGCGGAACTCTTGATCCCCGGCTACAGCCCGAAGGTTCTCCGAGTAGCCTTGTCAAGAGTGTTGAACGTGAGTTGCCGGGCCTTGCCACGTCGAGCCTGACTTGACCTGACGCCTGACATGCAAAGACCATCCTCGTGTACAGGTTCCCCATTCAGACCCCAGACAGACTCGGATCCATCCCGTCCTGTCCCTACCAATGGCCCAATTGTCAAGGAGACGATGGCAAGTTTCTGTCCGGCATTGAAAACTCGGCGCGCTGGCACGCCGAGCACGGGACCGTCTATCGCATATGGTCTGGCATGAAGCCCGAGATGTGAGTACCCGGTAGCCTCGATCGTTGTTCCATCGTTCATGACTCGATATCTTGTCGCAAACACTCACTGCGTGCCATCATCGCAGCGTCTTGACCGAGCCACGCCAGCTCTCGGCAGTCTTCAGGGACTCGGACAAGCATACCAAGGCGCCTGCCAACAACTCGGGCGCATACATGGACCGTCTCCTCGGGCAGTGCGTGGGTCTCATTAGCGGCCAAGGCTGGCGGCGGGTCCGGAGCGTGGTGGAGAGAGCGTTTGGATTCCGCGCGGCCTCGTCACCGGCGACGTCGGCGAGCATCGAGCGGCTCGTGGAGCGGCACTTTGAAGAGCTGTCGCAGACGGAGCGCGTCCGGAACGGCATTCTACACCCGGCCGAGGATTTGAAGATGCTTCCCTTCTGGGTCGTCTGCGAGGCACTGTACGGCCGTCTCCAGTCCACCCTCCTCTGTTTGAACTGACTCGCCCAACAGTCTGGAATACACGTGTTGACCATTCTCACATGTTCCCCAATTGTAAGCCGCCTCGCATGCGGACAGCGTGCACCAAGTGTCACGCATCAAAGGTGCCACCCGCCGACGTTAATGTTCTGTTGCAACATATCCCCCGAGGACATGCTTGCTGATTTTGACCCCATGTGGACCGCCCATATAGGTCCGTTGCGACAGTAACAAGGCCGGCTGCGCCCGCTGTATGCAAAACAACCTCAACTATGTCTACAAAGTCTCCATGGTTGGGCGAACATCCAAGAAGCGGCATGCCCCCAATGCGGGCATCGCCGAGCCGCCACACCGTCGGAGGCGCACCAACTCGACAGGCCAAGAAACAGCCGACCAGTCCAGGGAAGTGGATGGAGACTCGGACTTCTTTTGCTCTCCGGCTGCAGCGGTCTCGAGCGATACGCCAAGTGCCTCTTTGCCCAAATCTATCGACCCCGTCAACACCCAGTTTCTGGCGGCGACGGGCTATAGCAGCTCCCTCAGCCTCGACGACTTTTCCGTCATGGCGCGGTCGCAGCTCGACTTTTCGACGGGGCCCCTGGAAAATTGGTGGGAGCCGGCCGGAGGCGGAGCCGGTGGTGACGACGGAAGCTCCGGAGGCGGAGACGGAGGCGGCGGCCCCGTTCCCGAAGGGTCCCACCGCAGCGGCAGTGGCCCGACGCGAAGCCTGGGGTCGGTCCGCAGCACGCTAACAATGCCCCGTCTCATTCGGCGACCCCGGGTCTCCCAGACCATGCCGACAGCGCCGCCGATGACGACGGTCGCAGGCGGCTGGCGCAGCTCATGTCGCTCTGCCGCAAAGCCCGCAAGCTCGAAGGCCAGCTCGAGTCCCGGCTCAGCACGCTGGACGAGATCATGAAGATGAACAAGACGTACCTGGCCGAGATTTTCAACATGACGGGCGCCAAAAGGGATGGGGAGGAGGGCAAGGATGGCTGCCGCACCTGCCGGTGCTCCCTCGCCGTCATGGCCACCTGTCTCGACACCATGCTGACCCTCTTCGAGAACGTCCTCAAAGCGTCCTGGCTCAATCCCCGAGGCAGCCAATCGTCGCCGTCCGGCGAGCCCTGCATGCCCAGCCTGCACTTTGGCGTATTCGAGGTCGATCCCGTGGAGCAGGCCGCCATCGCGCGGAGGATCCTGTCCCGGGAGCTGCAGAGTTACCGGGACGTCGTGCGCATGCTGGCTGCCACCTTGAACAGCCGCTCCAATGATAATTTTACAGGCTCATGGGACAATGGTACCTGTCGCTGACGTCTAGAGTCGAGCGGCTACCCATTGCGTTAGATGTCGAACAGGGTGTTCATCTGCGTTGATCTTCATGCCTGCGTTTCGTCTCTGCCCCAATGGAGCTCTGGAACAAAGTCCGGGCCGCTTCTCAGCGGCGGCCCCAATGGCGAGGCATCTCTGTTGGACTTTGCCTTCTCCCCCGTGTGCGGATGGGCCTTACAGTACTACACTCCGCCTTCTGCCGATACGTCAGCTCACAGGCCGATCGGCGTCTTCGGATACATACGTACATAGGGAGGTGTAGTTAAACAACTGCGACGAGCGGACCGATAGGTAAGGCCGACGCAGGGTTAGACTGGACCGGGGTCTGTTGTCCACATTCCTCTGCGCCGACTTTACACAAAGTCACCGACAGGAAGTTATATTAGTCTTGAAGGTCTACCAGAGACCTCAAAAGGCCTGTATTTTACTCTTACCTCTTCGCAAAGGCTCAACCGTTGTATCATCTCAGTGGCACCTTGTATGCCCGACAAACATCATGGCCGGCACTCTGTTCATGGCAGCCATAGCAGTTGTATTACTACTTTTCTGGTACTTTACCACACCAACGTACTCAGACGGCGAGCGGAGGCCGATCCCACCTCGTATTCCCATTCTTGTCCATGCCGTGAGCTTCTCTCGAGACCGTAGTACTTTGATAGCACGATGCATGTAAGAGGTGACACCACCGGCTGGCTGTGCAACCTCCAAGCTTACAATTCCTCCCTACAAGTGCTCAGAACAAGAACGAGGCCTTCTCGATGCTGATTTCTGGAACGAAACAATATGTTTTCAACAAGTCGGCAGAGTTTACTGAAGTCTTCAGAAGCCCCAAGTCTCTTGACAGCGTGGGATTGATGATTCTCGATGTGAGAATGACCCGCTGTGTCGATGGCGATATCATGAAAGAACGAACAGACGGTTTCGGAGGACGGATGAGACGATCGATGCCTGCTCTTGTAACGAAAATTTCAAGGATGCAACAAGAAGGGCACACCAGGCGGCTTATACCACCGAGGGTGACGGAAGCGCTCGCGTTGACGTGGACGCCGAGAGGGAAATATGCGCACTTTTATGAAGCAAGCCCCTGCTCATGCAATGCAACGTGATTTCTGGATGGGGAAAGGCATAGCCTGAAGGACACTGACCGAACTGCCTGGTACATCAAGTCGGTGTCCGTTGGTCGGAGGCCGACAACAAGACTTCGAATAAGACGTCGATTAGTTGTATTTACTACGTACAATGCGAGTGACCAGGATGAGCTCCCTCCCTCCCTCCCTCCCTTCCTCTCTCTCTCTCTCTCTCTCTCTCTCTCTCTCTCTCTCTCTCTCTCTGTACGAGGTGTTCGCACATGGCTAGTCGGGCACCCTCAGAGCAATCAACTGTCCTTAACGGGGTTTTCTCCGGCGCTGCACTAGATGAATGGGAGCTCGTGACACTCACGCGCCCCATCAGTTATCGGGACAAGAGCCGGTTCAAGCCCGCTCAAACGGTGATTGTCAATGTTTTTCAAGGGGTGGTAAGTGGTCAGGATGTGCGGAAGCGCTAACGACGGCCAAGAGCCCTAAAGGAGACCCACGGAGTGAATAAGATTCAGCAGAGGGTATAACGGCAGTAGTATCCGAGGGATAACGGAGGCTTTCAATTAGGCCTGTTACCAACAGATGCCACTTGACCCACCACATGTTGGGACACCCTCTCTTCACAGTAGTACACCAGACGCGATCCCGTTCTTTTGCCTCACCATGGTACAGACGTTTTATTCTTCTCATCGACGATGCATTCGTCCCTCCGTCTCTCTCTCTCTCTCTCTCTCTCTCTCTCTCTCTCTCTCTCTCCGTTTTCTGTCTCCGTCTCTCACATTCCACTTGGTGTTGTGATTCGGACCAGGCTGAGTCTACAAACAAACGGTCGAGCTCAACCTGCCCCTATCGAGCCATCTCATCCCGTGGACCAAACTCTCGACTCCGATTCAGATTAGCAGCTCTCTCTCCAAGATGAGCGCCGAAAGCATCACAGAATGATGGCGGCGCCCTCGGTCTCCCCGTCCAGCCACTTAAGCAAGACGGCGAGACTCCGAGCGCCGCCTCTCGACCGACTGGACGCGCGAATACCCCCAAGGCCTGAGGCTCTGGTTCATCATCGCCTCGCTCTGCCTCACTGTCTTTCTCGTCGCGTTGGACCGTACCATCATCGCACCCGCCTTGGGTGCCATCACCACCGAGTTCGGATCCATCCGCGATATTGGATGACATGGCGCCGCCTACCTACTCACCGCAACAGCGCTGCAACCCATCTACGGATCCATCTACCGCCTCTTCTATATCAAGCCCACCTACCTAGGCGCCATTGCCATGTTTGAGATTGGCAGTCTGATATGCGCCGTGGCGCCGTCGTCGACCGTCTTCATCAATGGCCGCGCCACTGCTGGCATGGGCTCGGCTGGGCTCTTTTCTTCTTCGTGGCATCCAGGGATTAGGTGTGGCCCTCCTCCGACAGCCCGTGCGATTCATTTTGCAAGTCGTGAGCCGTCTGCAGCTTCTTTTTCTCCGTCTCCAAGGTCAAGAATAGACGCATAAACTACGCCGCACCCTTAATTAAGCCTCTTGATTTTCTTCTTATAGTCGGCCGAGATGCCCTAAGCTCCTGTTCCTACCTATTGACTGTGGCAGAGTGGTCAGCCTTGTGATTGGCGGGAATCTCGTCCTTGGACTTGTTTCTATCTTCCAGGCTCTTGACCTGCTTCTTAAGCGCCTCGACCTACTACTGAGCCTTAGTTATGGCTGCCTTGGCTGCTTTGACCTAGCTCTTATTATCACATGCGATAAGGGGATGAGTTAGCATTGATGTTACAGCCAGTATTTCAACAGTAGATTTTTCTGCTTATACTATAGCTAAGGTTAGTACTTCTTTAATAGCTAGCTTTAGTGTCTTACCTTGCTAGTCTGTCAATTACTTAGTGAAAAGCTTAAGTGTGCATTTCCTGAGTGACAAGAAGGACAAATACAATATACTTGCACATTTTGCCCGTGCGGTGTAACAGAGGTGTGCGGCTGTTAGATTTGATATGTACGTTTGAAGTAGATACAGAAGTGACCCGCCTCGGGGCGGGAAAACAATGAAAGAAATGAAGAATATAGGCGGCCTTAGGCTGTGTACTTGCTAGCCCATAATGGTAGATGTATGATATCTTCGCCTTTCAAGTTGAGATGTCAATGTTCCCTCGGCGGTATTTGACACCTTATTTTGAAGAGACCAGCGAGCAAGAGCTTCTTATTTGCCTGAGACGGTGTACTTGGACGATCCAGCAGCGTTGCCCCAGCCCTCGGTGGAAATGGTCTGGTAGTTCATGGTGCCAAGGTTCATGCCAAGCTTCTGCCAAGCAGCAACGTGGTTGGCAAAGGTGATGGTGCCGCCGTTCGGGCGACCGCTCTTGCGCACAGAAATGTACTGAGTGAAGGTGGTGGTACCCACGATGGAGGGCTGGTTGACCTGCGTGTGCTTCCAAATATCGTACTCGGATCCGTCGCTCGTGAGCGATCCCACCTTAGTGCCCTGAGCAGCACCTTGCCCGTTGCTGTACTCTTGAACATAGTACTCCACCAACGGGCTGGTAGACCAACCGTACAGGGAGACTAGAACAGTGCCAGCATTGGCTGAGGTTGAGCCGGAGAAGGTAACAGATCTATCCATATTAGTCAAGGACTCAAGGTGAAACAGCGAGGTCTACAATCAGGGGCAAGGTCTTACCTGGTCTTGGAGCCCGTGGTCCAGCCTTTGCCGACTACGAAATCCTGGGCGCCTGAGAACTGCACAGAGTATCCGTTGCCGGCGGGGCTGAAGTTGACGTTCCCGCTTGTCTTGTAGTTCTGTGTGTAGTCCTGGCGACGAGCGAGGCTGGTAGAGGAACTCAGCTCGAAGTCAGGAGCGTCAGGGCTAGCGATAGGAGACGCGAAGGCCTGGACGATAACCGAGGCAGCGAGGGCCAACTGAGTGAAGGAGACCATGGTTTCGGTATAAAAGAGAGAGATCTGAGATGTAGTGGTATAATGATTCAGTGAAATGATTGACTGGTGATGAAGTCCAGGTGAGTAGAAACGAGAGAACAGCTTCAGCTTTTATAACCATCTCACAGCTGGTCATCAATGCCAGTTTCCTCCCCGCCCATAACGCATTTTGTTATTTCAACCAGGAGGCTCTGTTAATGCCGGATGGTAATCTATTGAAGATCGCGTGAAACATTAACCGCCGAATAAGCAAGTCGACGGTGTAAGCCTTTGCCAAGTCACGCCCACGTTGTGGCCCTGCTGTATGTGCACCGATATCACCGCCTGCGGTCCAATTCATGGCTTTAACCGGGAGGTTCCACCAATCACCCAACGGCAATCTACCGAAGATCACCGTGAAACGGTACTAGGGATGAGCAACTCCCGTTAGACAAGCTTTCGCCAAGCTTAGGCACACTGCGAATGACGGTTTCTGTACCCGGCTAAATGCACCTTGATTAAAAGTGAAAAACACTAGTTTAGATAGGCTAGGGTACCAATAGTCCGTAGGCGGACTCTTTGACGTCTTTCAAGTTTAAGAATCTATGATGTGATGGAAAATGAATATATCTATTCCGAAACGCAGCTCGGTAAATCCGCGGCTTGTTACACGTTCTGGTCCCTAACCATTCGTTCACTCTTAATGAAACGGCTAGTCAGAACAAAACAGACTAGTTGTTAATCCTAGGAAGAGACCCGCTAACCAAATATTTTCCGTGTTCGCATTCCGTCCTTCGCAGACCCACAGCAGGGTCTAGGCCTTCTCTATCGAGTACATATTCGGCGTGAGATCCTGACATCCAGTTGGCGGGTTAATATGGCACATTTCCCGGTGAACTCATGGTAGCTTCTCCACACTTTCCGCCTTTGATCTCGAGGACACGGGGGCTATGATTCAAGTTTAGAGAGAAGAGCCGAGTTTAGCCTATCAACCAGGCCTCCTGATCAGGCCCTTTGCCCTCGGAGTTTGATGTCTCCGTCACGCCCCGCTCGAACCATTGTTGTTAATTATGTGTATGTTATAGACGAGGGATCGCCTTCTACGTAGTACTTGCACCTTGTTTACATTAAAGACATGCTATCCGAACCGCTTTGGTATAAGAGTGAAGATCTTAAGTACCGGGTGCTACGGTAAACAATTTAGGCATCGGATAAGACGGAAGACCCCTCAAGCATAAGAACAACGGCATGCACTACGTAATGAAATGCAGCGTCTGCTAGAAATTATGTTAAGTAGTTATCCTATCTAGAATCGACATATGAGGTGATGCCGGATAAAAGCGCCTACTCGAAATGGTATGTGCGTGTGGTAAGCCACATCTTGCGGCGATCATAATTGGCACTGGCCATGTGAAGCTATGCCAGTTTCACGACACACTATAAACACAGACTGTAGCAAATGGCACGGGCAATTCTGAGGCTCATAATGTTCACTGATGTCTGATATAAAGGTTAGATGTGAAAATGCCGAAGGACGTGGCAATTCGCATCTGCGGATTGTTTCATATCTATTTAAAATGACGTGTTCTTGCACTACCCCCACAAAAGCAGCATCACCATGGTGTCCAGTACCCACGAATCAAGATCAGACACACCAGTTGGGACGAAAGTCCGATGGCCTCGGAAACAGAGGTGATCTTATCGCTACCACATAAGGCGTGACTTGAAGAAACCATGACCAGAATCATGAAGAAATATCAGTGTGTATGACGTTTCGAACAGACTTCTAACGACACCGTAGAGCAGATTATGTTTCTTGTACCACGTGTCTGACGACAAAGAGTACACCCCATGGGTGGGAAGCTTCTAAGCTGGCTGCTGTTAAGGAAAGAAAGAAAGCTAAAAGACACTTTAAATAACGGGAGATTTGCGTTTGACCAACTGTCATCCCAAGTCCAAAAAGCTTCGTCAGAACAGACATTAACATGATTAGTTAAGTAAAAAGAAGCGCTTGGATGTTTAGAATGACACACTTTACTGGCTTCTGTCAAATCCTCTTAACGAGACACGTCCTTGTCCGCATCAAGAGTAATCCAGGCTCTGGTCTTGAGACTAGCAGTAATAGTAGCGTATAAGTAGGTACTCATCGCTCCGCGCGCATTAGCTTCTACATTTTCGCCTCTGCCTGCCTGCTCCTTGCGTCTATCAAGTTCAAGGTCGCGTTGGTACACGCGCTGATCGGTCATCCGCTTCTTTTCTTTTTGCGAAGAATTTCGAGCCTCTTTGCTTTCTCAAGATTGTTCATTTATACAGCAAGCTCGTCGTCCATTCAGTAAGGGAAATCAAGGGCCTCTTTATGCACCTGTTCCGTGATTGCTTTGCCTGGGACCTCCCAACTTTGTCAAAGTCATTGCGGCAGATATACCTGCCTAGGGGAAATACTTTCTAAGACTCAGCCTTATTTTCCAAAAGTCCGCGAGATGAAAAAGAATAATCCTCGCTAGGCTCGATCTGATCACTATTTTGACCTGCTCTTCACGGTGAACACAAATCATGAGGTCACTCTCACTTTCAGCTTGCTAGCATATCCGCAGTCTCTGAATTATTGAAAGATGTATTTTCGCCAGTAGGAGCTGCATCCATCATGCCTTCGGGATCTATACCCGCCAAGGTAGGCTCTCCAAGTCTATTGGCTTCTTCTCTGGAGGTGTCCCACGGAACTCCGGTACTGTAGAGGCGGCCTCGATAGCATCGGTTTCTTGCTTCGAAGGCGTGACGTTTGCTTCAGACTCTGAGTCTCTCGGGGTGTTGTCTGTACTTGCAGTCATGGTCTGTTAAAGTCATCGTCGCCTGGAATGTGCATGTTCCACAAGACTTGAAGATACATCACCTTGAATAACATATCTGAATTCACTGCAGCGTCTTTTTCAACAACCGCAAACCTCTTTCGACAACGGGTACGGAAAGTTACGTTTGATGATTGTCTCCAGCTCGTAGAGTATACGTAGTGCGATTCTCAACAGGTTACGCGAGGAGTTTCTATGGTCTTTCCACGGAAGAAACAAGGGATCTGTTTTTCCGACAACGTCTAGATGGACGACTCCTCGATGTGTTATGGCTGTCTACATGATAGCCAGTCCGCTGGCTGTGGCAGAGACATAACTGTTGCTTTCTTGAGAATGACTGGGATTCGTATCTCGAAGAGAGCCCGGGTCCGATACGGCGTATTTGGGTGTATGGATATGCTGTAGCAGATTTCCAAGGTTGTCGGCCTCTTGGGGAGTAGTAAAAGAACACCAGAGACTTATAATATAAGAACATACACAGAATGAATCATGATTACCGCCAAGCAGGATGAAAGAAACGCGGACCGGGCACGTATACACAGAGATGCCTAATCCAAGCTAGGAGAGTTGGGAAGGGGATGATGCTTGCGCGAGCAGCTACGAGAGCAGATGAATACTGGGCCAACATGAGCTTGAGTCTTGATTAGCTATTCCTATCTCCAAATGAATCTCCGCGTATCTCAGGGACCGGGGCGCAAACGTCAATTTAAGAACCAGCCTGCGTAGTGTTGCACGGGCCATCACAAGATCTCAAACTTTATCTAAAAGGATTCATGATTAATGCCATGTCCGCACGGCCATCAAGGCACCAAAGTAGGTAACCTAAGAAGAGCGCGCAGATTAGAGCAGAAGCTAGAGTGGATCTTGGGTTTAAGAGTCAAGACGGATGCTATGTTTTATAAATGTTCGTTGGACCTACTGCTGCCAGCTTACCGAGGTGCTTCTTAGGGCCTGATCGGCATCGCCAATATCATTTGACACCGCCAATATGGACCGACATCACGGACCAAGCACTAGCCACAAGTACTAAAAAGCTTAAATTGTGCCGCACTAGGCTAAAAAACAGGAGGGTATATTATGATTTTAGTTTTATGTTACAGAACTCTAATTTTACTAGTATGGGCTATATACTGCTAGGAAATATAACTTTCTTATTAGCAGATATTGACACAGCCTTCCTGGCAGCTGTTGCAGATCTAACAGGAGGAGCTGGGCTGCGATAGTGGCGTGAAGTGACGCAGTGTAAAGGCGAAGCGTAACGGCAAAGCAGTAAAGCAAGACAAGCAATAACAAGGAGCTAAACAAAAAACACAGGGCAAGATAGGTAACAGGTAGTGAGTGTATTAATGGTTAACCTCCTTCCTGTAGGAGGTCTAGTAGTAATGGCCTATATACCCAGCGCACACGTAGATAAGCACGTGCTAGTGGGTATATAACTACCACCTCATGCTATCTAACTATCTTTAGCACTTGCCCTATAACTGATATACTAAAAACCCTGATTTCCCTATATAAATTACTACTAGCCTCTAGACTTAGGTTAAACTTTACAAAAGGAGTTAAGGACTAATATAGCCTACTGTTACCTACTGTTACTTACTACTGCCTACTGTTGCTAGCGCCTACCTGCCTATAGTTGCCTATTATTACTAGTGCCTGCCTACCTACTGTTGCTAGCACTACTTAGTAGGCAGGTGCTAGTAACAGTAGGTAGGCGTTAGTAACAGTAGGCAGTAGTAGGTAACAGTAGGCAGTAGTAGGTAACAGTAGGGTATAGCTATTACTAGCTATAGCAGGGGTCCTAGCAGTACATTCATCAAATTAACCCTTAACCTTGCATTGAACTCTCGTTAACCCTAACCCTATGTGTTTTTATACCGGAGTACAGGCGATATCGCCCTAATATCGGCGCAGCCGATCAGGCCCTTAGTCCCACTCCATCAACCAATGGGATTGAAGGCAATCCAGGCCTTCGCATCAAGCAGTCACGATCCTGGAGACATGAAGTCATATGAGGAAGTGAAGGAGTTAGGTTCTCCCAGGCAAGTAACGAGTGATGTTGCAGAGAATATGCACTACGAAATTCTATTCAACTCGGTGATAGTTGCTCGAATAGTTGAAGTATTTTAAATGATAGCCAGGCCCTCCTCTGATATCTTGTCATTGTACAATCTTCTCCTCAATTTCGAGTCCAAATGCTCAATGTCCTGCGGGTCATCTTCCCCCTGATCTGCCTCATGTCCCCAACGCATTGTACCATCAGCGTAACAACTCCCTACCATCGTCGTCCGTCTCAAGTTGCCCAAGTTATCGAATCTCCCGGTTTGAGAGGGAAGAAACTCTAGACTGCCGGTGTAGCCCCGGAGGATGTACGGCATGAGACCACCTTCGAGTATGTAAACTTCGTCCCCCGCACACATGCTTTCCGGCCCAATACCGACTTGACCTAGTTCGGTAATAAACAAACGATGACCTGCCGTCATGGTACGCACAGTATCTTCGATCCACTGGATTTCGTGCATTTCGAGGGGCTTCTGTGAATCGAGGTCTTTCGGGACCGTTTCGATCTCATCCATCAGAGATTGCGATTCAGGAACCCAGGCGGCCGCCCCCCCTAAAGTCGCAGTCTGTGTCAAAGGATTTGAGTCTAAAGTTTCAGGATTGTCGCTAGACGTGTCTTTACAGCCTCCTCCCCTGAGGAGGCCAAGCTCAAACTTCCCCAGGAGCCAAAATGTGACTCGCCGGTGCTGTTCTGGCTCTAGTGGATGTAAGCGACCCCCGTTTTCATTGGAGACTCGCAGAGAGTAACAGAGACAGATCGCAATAACTTCTAAAAACGATTGCCGGTAGATTCTCCAAATCTTATGCATCCCATTGCTTGGTCGAATCTGCACAATGGCCGAGGCAAGATTTGAGAGATCGGTTAGAATGACTTCGCTGACAGTCTCGACCAGGCCACATTTGACGCCATTCAGAACCAATGCCTGAGGGTGCTGGTCCTCTGGATCTTGGGGATTTTTGATGTACCTCGCTAGGGTTGGGAGTAGGTGAACAGGCTTCCAATGTGGGCTGTATTTTGTTGCTACCAAGCGCTTGATATACTGTCCGGGCACGAGCGTTGTACCACTAGATGCGGCTTGATCGACGGAACACTCTTTGAACATGGCACGACTGGCGTTGAAGTGCAGTGGTATTTCTCCATGCAGACGAAAGCGACGCTGATCAAAACCTGGTGCCACGTTGTCTGAAGACCAGTCAGGCACCCATGAGGGAGTACCCCTGCAAGATTTAGCAAGTAGGTCGAACGTTGCCATCCAAATGAGACCGGTCTGGAGAATGATTTCATGGGTCACTGCTGTGAACAGGCTGCTGCTAGTGTAGGTATCGTAGTTGGCCTTGATGCCGACGTCACTATGTTGAAAAACTCGCTCTTTCTTCAAGTCTTGCGCAAGCTGAAGAAGAGCAAAGACCTTGTCTTTGGGTTCGGATGACTTCCTACTGCGGAATTTTCTCAGTAGCCACAGCAGTGGACTAGTCGTTGTGATATGTGCTGCGTTCCTGAAGGTGCCTGGGAACCGCGTCGTGTCGATGGCGTACACTTTTTCCGCCAGGTAGGATATGACTTTTTTCAACTCCTTGGACCGCAACCTGGGTAGCAGCAGGAAGTTCTCGGTTGCCTCGACAATGAAAGTAAATGGCAGTGTGGCACGTCCGTACGCAATTGTAAGATTTTTGGCGACGCATGCTTCCTGTATAACCCACATGCGGTTCCACCAGTCACTGTTAGCGAAGAGGCGGATCCTCTCGGCTATTATCAGCTGAATCCTCTGATCCTCGGTCGAATGGTTTCTTGTGAGCGAAGTGAAATAATCATCGAAGAAGTTGACGTTCATGCTCGCAAGTCTGAACGTTGTAAAGAAGCTAAAAAGAGAGACAATCTCGTCGTTCTCTGACATCGATCCGGGTGGGAGTTTCTTCCAAATATCGGCGAGGTATTGATGAGCCAAGGCTTCGTCTATGCCGGTTTCAGAAAAATGAACCGGAGAATTCTGGCCAAGCTTTTCAAAACGATGTGGGTAGTTTCTCAGGCTGCGGTCCAAGCCGTCGCCCAGGTAGGCGATGACGTCCGTAGCCCGGCCGAAGATATCGTGCATCGATCCAACCTGACAGCTCTTCTCCACGGCGTTATGCTGATTGATACAGATCGAGTCGACCCAGAGAACAACGGGTTCTCCCCGTCGCCGAATCGCGCGCAAGGCCCGATCAAGATTGAAAGTAATGTAGTGGACCTTGCCACTGACGATGATCTGATTAGAAGTCCTGGTGCTGCCCCAGGCGTAGGATAGGGCAGTGTATCGCCTGGATCTGTCAGCCACGTACATTGTTGCCTCCAGACCTTCCAGCCAGTCGCCGGGATGAAGTTGAAGAAGACGGATTTCAGAGCCTTTGAGCTCCTCGGCATACTGAAAGGTCGACATCACTGGTCAGTTTATGGGATGGGAACGTGATAGAATATCTGCATAAAGCGAGAAGAGTTGAGGAGGACGATACATGGCTAATAGGCACATGTCCGCGTTCGAGAGAAACACCGTGTCAGCCTGCAGCTCCGAGCGCTATTGATTGGAGTGTTAGATGCATGAGGTAGCCACAGGCCAACACAAGCTTGATCAAGCAAGACATGGTCGGGAGTACTTAAAGGCAAGTGGAGACCTGGATCCTCGCTCAGAAGCGCGCATATTCCCTTCCGTAGTAGCATTGCAGCTGCATCGTAGTTATTGCGTACAGAGCCGTAACCATGTCAGAATGATAAAAAACCAACGCCGCAAACACGAATACTCGATGCTGAATCTGTGTCTTGATTTAGGTGGGGGGAAGGGGGGGGGGGGGGGAGGTTGACAGGGATTGGAAAATACCCCTCCTCAATTACATAAGCCATATCAGGTAAGGCAACAACTGAGTGGTCCGTGCCAGGGGAACATCACGAAAGGCTGCAATAATTTTTTGGAGCTCCAGAAGCTTCTTGGGCCACGAACAGCACAAGTACAGCCTCCCCTCCCGCGACGACACACGAACTCAGATCTGTACCCCGAGCGGATCACTTACAACATACTGGTTGTTTAAGAATAAACATTCACAATGTCGTTCGGAGGCCAAACTCCGACCATTATTGTCCTGAAGGAAGGTCCGTTACCCCACCGCCCTCTGTCCCCTTGCCGACCCAGGAACCATTTGACTGATATATGCCTGTCGCGTAGGAACCGATACCTCCCAGGGCAAAGGTCAGATCGTTTCCAACATCAACGCCTGCTTGGCTGTACAGGCCACGATCAAGTCTACTCTTGGTCCCTATGGCGGTGACCTCTTGATGGTTGATGCCAACGGCAGGCAAACCATCACCAACGACGGTGCCACGGTTATGAAGGTTGGAAACCCCGTGTGGGTGGTGTTAGAGGATGAAATACTAACGCGCTTCTAGCTTCTCGACATCATTCACCCTGCGGCCCGAATCCTCGTCGATATCGCGAGATCACAAGATGCTGAGGTCGGTGACGGAACAACGTCTGTCGTTGTTCTGGCCGGAGAGATCCTCAAGGAGGTCAAGGAGCACGTGGAGCAGGGCGTCAGCTCTCAGGTTATTATCAAGGGCCTGCGGAGAGCTTCGATGATGGCCGTCAACAAGATAAAGGAGATCGCTATCGATACCAACGAGAGCAACAGAAGAGAGACCCTCGGCAAGCTCGCCGCCACAGCCATGACGAGCAAGCTGATCAAGCGCAACACCGAGTTTTTCACAAAGAGTACGTGGACCTTGGGCGATCTCAACTGATAGGGTGTTGCTAACCATACGTAGTGGTCGTGGACGCCGTTCTGTCCTTGGACCAGGACGACCTGAACGAGAAGTTGATCGGCGTCAAGAAGATCCCCGGAGGTTCCCTCACCGAGTCACTATTCGTCAACGGTGTTGCTTTCAAAAAGACCTTCTCCTACGCAGGATTCGAACAACAACCCAAGTCGTTCGAGAAGCCCAAGATCGTCTGCCTGAACGTTGAGCTGGAGCTAAAGGCCGAAAAGGACAACGCCGAAGTCCGCGTCGAGCAGGTGTCGGACTACCAGGCCGTTGTTGATGCCGAATGGCAGATTATCTACAAGAAGTTGGAGGCGATCCACAGCACCGGTGCCAAGGTCGTGCTCAGCAAGCTGCCCATTGGCGACTTGGCCACTCAATACTTCGCGGACCGTGACATCTTCTGCGCTGGCCGCGTTGCGTCCGAGGACATGGATCGCGTGGTCCAGGCCACCGGCGCGACTGTCCAGTCGACATGCTCAGATATCCTGGCGGAGCACCTGGGCACCTGCGGCAGCTTCGAGGAGCGCCAGATTGGTGGCGAGCGCTTCAACTTCTTCGAGGGCTGCCCCGAAGCCAAGACCTGCACACTCGTCCTTCGCGGTGGTGCTGAGCAGTTCATCGCCGAGGTCGAGCGCTCTTTGCACGACGCCATCATGATTGTCAAGCGTGCCATCAAGAACCATACAATCGTCGGTGGCGGTGGCGCCGTTGAGATGGAGGTCTCCGCGTACCTCCACAGGTTCGCCGACAAGAACATCCCCCACAAGCAACAAGCCATCATCAAGAGCTTTGCCAAGGCTCTCGAGATCATCCCCCGCCAGCTGTGCGATAACGCCGGCTTCGATGCTACCGATATCCTCAACAAGCTGCGGGTGGAGCATCGCAAGGGCAGCACCTGGGCCGGTGTCGACTTCACCAACGAGGGCGTCGCTGACATGATGGAGCGCTTCGTCTGGGAGCCGGCGCTGGTCAAGATCAACGCCATTCAGGCTGCGACCGAGGCCAGCTGCCTCATCCTCGGCGTCGACGAGACGATCCGCAACGAAGAGAGCCAGCAGCCCCAGGCCCCTGGCCAGCAGCTGCCCCCCGGCGCCGCCCAGCGCGCCCTGAGAGGTAGAGGGCGGGGCATGCCTCGTCGGTAAAGAGAGGTTACGACCGGGAAATGAATGGAAAAAGGAATTAAAAAAAGGAATTCGATGAATGGCGTCTGTATGATACCTAGAACTGGCCCCCAGGGGCTTTGGATTTCCGAAGTCCGAATAGACTGGGTCATTTGTCGCTTGTCACGAAACATGTCAAACTTCAGAAGTATCTCGTCATCTTTCAGAAACCTTGGCAGCTTGAATTGAACCAAGGTCGCAAGGTGAGGAACTGGACTGACTCAACCACGGGCAGCGCATCGGGAGATTCCAAGAGTGAAGACATGCTGCGTCATTACGCACATGATTCCCCCTCTTCCTCCCTCATCTTCCAAGTAGAAATACCGTTCTATTCCATGCCAGCCATATGCAATATGGAGTAAAACATCGCACCACGTCTTGGAGCGTACGCCGCACAAGACCATTCCATACCACGACCGATCTGCGCTTGACCGGCCCTGTGCATCGCGCGTATTAAATCAGCAGATATCATCTGATATGCTCTCCAAACAATCCTCCCAGTTCCCAATCCGGGGGTCTACTGGCTCCTTGGCCGGGGGCCCTCCCCTCGGAGCCGCTGGGGTCCCCGCATTTATCTTCACTTGTCACCGGTGACGCCCGGGGTACGTGGTCCGCTGCAGGTCGCTAGCCATTCTGAAGGGGCGGCGCTACATGGAACGGAAGAAGGATGAGTCGTCGTTGGGGTCGGAGCATTGGGATAAAGTAAAAAAAGTAAATAAAAAAACCTGCTCTTGTAGATCGTGAACTAGACACAACGCACACCTAGGAGGGGGGGGAGGGGGGGTCGAACTTCATGGCTGTGGTGGGGCAATCACCGCCATGTTGAAATTCGGGAAGCGTCGTCACCGGCAGGTGGAGAATTGAGATGGCAAGAGCTTTACCAAGAGCTCTTATTCGACGCACCTCTAATACCCTTCCTTTCCAAGCATAATGCCCCCCTCTTCCCCGGGTAGTCTACCTACATCGCGTCCCCGATCATGTGACTAGGCAGATATGCGGGAAATTTTTGGATAGATGTTGGCGATTTCCCTCCTACTCATCTCAGCGGAAAAAAAGAAAAGAATTAAAGAGGTGAAGAAAGAAAAACCGAAAGAAAGCTTCGCAATTATCCGCGCCCTCCTCCTCAACACTCTTGGGCCAGCAAGTGTCTCCCGTGGCAAACAGAAGACCGCCCCGCGCGTGCGATCTCGTCCCCCGTCAACAACACCATCACCACGGAACGAACCCGCGTCGACGGTCGGCTACCCTGTGTCTCCGGGGCGTCCCAGCTTCGCACTGCCGTTGCGAGGGGCCACGACTGGAACGAGGGGGGGCGGGGGCCTCTCAATCAACGCCCTAAATGTAAACGGGGTCTGGCTTCTCTCCCTGTTCCTTCTGCTTCGGCACTTTTGCTGAAGATGGTTTGCATTCCTCGGGGTGGGTTCTCTAGGTTTCACACGAGGGGACCTCGTGACGATTTTTCTTCGCCCAGGAATGTGATAGGAAGGCTATGAAGAGAGAAATCACATATTTCGAGGGTGTTAATCATGCACATCGAGATTCATGGTACTCTGCAGGTTGAAGTCCATTCCAAATTCAATTTCATCGTATCTCTTCTATCGCGTAACCTAAAACCCAGCCGCAGCAAAGGCATACTCGGTTGCCCTGCGCCAAATTCCGGGCCCATACCCAACCCATTGATGAATGCCAACCCGCCGCTGATCGCCAATACCCGAAAGCCAATACCGAATTAACCATGAACCGAAACGTTTTCATCTCCCTTGTGGTAGTACATCCGCTCAGCGAACGAGAGCGTCTCGAGTCATCTTCGTCATTATAAGGTCCGGGGCAGTGCTGCGAAAAGACCAAAGGCAAGCACAAGCATAAAGCGTCGTAACGTATAAGTTGCCGAAATCAAGAAGCCGTGACGTCGTTGAATACCCATTCGAACGCAACCTTTTCGCCAAAAAAGATACACAAAACCCCTCATCCGTGTTATGAGCTACCGAAGAAGACGTCGTCGTTGTGCGTGAACATGCCGACTGCGTCGTCAAATTCCTCGTCAAACTTGCTCATCATGAGCATGCTTGGGTCGCGATCGAACTGGGCCATTCCCTCCTCGGTCGTGAAAGCTTTCATGAGGAGTTCGTCGTCGGCATCGCCCAGACCCAGGCTTGAGATGCTAGTGTTACCGACGGAGCCGGCATTGCCTCTCATTCCAGCGAGCAACGAATCGTCGTTGAAGCCAGTGGTGTTAGGCTCGGCGTCAAAAAACTGATTGGGTGGCGGGGACGAAGACTGGGAAAGTTCCGGCGGCGTGTTGTACTCGCTCTTGGCTGGCGACTCGGGTTGCTGGGGCAACGAGGTCGGCGCCTCCATGAGGGCCTCGGGCGATACGTATCCGGAATTGTGGCTCGCGGCCGGAGATGGTTCCAGATGCATTTCACGCAATTCCCTGTGAATCCGGGGGGGCGACGAAGGCATGGGGGCGGATGACACCGTGGTGATTTGAAGGGGCATATCGTCGATTCCTGGTCGCTCGATGCTCATGCCGCCCAATTCGAAGTGGTCATCCGACATCATGTTGAAGTCGTTTTCCGGTGAGTTGGCCGCGGAGCTGTCAGAGTAGCCGGATTGCGACGAACAGGAAGTGGTGGACTTGTTCTTGGTCCTTGTGCGAGCCGACTTGTTGACGCGCTCGTCCATCTCGGGGCGGTGCTTGCGGGGGCGACCACGCTTGACGACTTTCTTGACGATGCCATCGAATGCTCCAATGCACATGCCGCGCTGACGATGGCGGGTAAGAGCGTCGTGGCGGGCAAAGCTGTTGCCGCATTCGCAGGGATAGGGCTTGATGCCAGTGTGAATCTTTGCGTGGCGCTTCAGGTCGTGCTGGCGAACGAAGCACTTCTTGCAAGTAGGGCACTGGTATTGTCGGTCGTTGAGATGTGTCTGAACGTGGGACTTGATGTTTTCCTTGCGTCCGAATTTCTTGCCACAGTCCTCGTACACGCAAGTCCACTTGCCGTCGTTGGGATCAGGTCCTGTGATGTACATTGCGATCTCATCGATGGTGACGCCAGTCTCAGTCTTGGTTTCCTCGATGTTGATGCTCGCAATGCTGGCGGCGCTGGCAATACTGGCGAGGGACTGGGTGCGACGGTGAGGCGAAGAGCGGCAGGAGTCGTCGAATGATCTGCTAGGAGAGGAAGAGCCGATGGTCATGTTGGGATGATGGAGATCGGGCCTGGTGTCGAATGCGCTGTGAAAGTTCATGAGAGGCGTGTGAGGAGTCGATTGCTGGGACATGTTGCCGGGGACCTGGACATCGTCTGAGAGGCCGTCGTAGCCGCCCTGGATCTTCATGAACTCATTGTTGAAGTTATTCATGTTCATGAAATCCGGCGTGGGGACCACGTGGTCGTACAGACCATCGGCCATCTGAGCGGGTTGCTGGGGTCCGGGCACGACGTTCTCCTCAGACTGTCTCCGCAGCTCCTCAAAGATGTTTTGGGCACGTTGGTTCGTCCGTCTGATGGGCTTCAGCGTCTCCTCCATCGACTCATCGTAGCCGTCGGTGAAGCGAGCCGGCCTTGCAGACATGGGCTCGTGCTTCACAGCCCTGCCGTGGGGCGTCTCCATCGGGGTAGGGGGGAAGTAGTCTGGTTCGTGTAAGCGAGTGGGCGGCGGTAATAGCATCGGAACTGACATACTTGTTGCATCCTGGTCAGGTGGCGTCATTGGTCTTTGCATCTCCATGCCCATCGTCTCGAACTTGTTAACCCGGTCCATGATGCCATTACTGATCCTCCTCGAGGAGCGCCTCGTGCTGGCAGTTTCGTCCTCGGAGATCCAACCCTGGGGGGTTCCGGGGGCGTCACTAAAGTTCATGAAGGAAGGGGTCGAGAGGGCGCTGTCAGAGGCAAAGAGCTCAAAGTCCTTGTTGCCTCCCATGGTACCGGCGTAGTCCTGGTGGTTCTTGGCCATCATGTCGTTCATCTGGCTGCCGTACTGGTTATACTGTATGGGAGACGATTCGAAGCATGAGGGGTTGAAGCGCTGGGTGTGGGGTGTACCATGGGGGGACATGATGTAGGTTTCATGGTCGCCGGCGGCCATGAACATTTGGTGGTGTGGGTGAATTTGCTGTTGTGAGTGTTGTCGAAGGTGTGCTTGCTGGCGGGGGCCCGGGCGTGCTTGGATGCGTTGCTGCTGCGCTTCTCGCAGTACATGCTGCGGTTGTGCTAGTCCTGTGTTAGTAGTCATACTTACCGTAGCAAAGTCCTGCCGTCTTGTGTCCAGGCTGAGGCCTCGGCGGTGGCCGAGGGCTCGTTGACGCTGGACATTTTGAGGCAATGGCTGGATCTTCACTCCTTCGAATGCCGTCGGTGTCGAATTTTGGCGTCGGTGCGCTCTGTGACGGGCATGAAGCTGGTTGGTTGGGGGGTTATTGGACAGCATTGTGTCGCGAGGTCGAGTCCGGAAGGAATTGTCGTCGGTCGGTTATTGTCAAGGGAAACCTATGGGTCCGAAACTGGACCGTGTAAGTTAGCACCGACGTTGAGTGTGTGTGCGACAGAGCTCTCATCGCATCGAAGGGGCAGCAACAAAGAGCGACTTACCTCACGCAGTGCAAGCAGGGCTGCCGGGCTAAAGGGGGGGGAGGGAAGTTGTGCTCAGTCGGGGTCGACTTTGCGGGTTAAACAGATGATATCTGGTTTGTACGCCCTGAGGCGAGGTGAGAAGTTAAGAGAGCTTCGAGAGCGAGCTCTCTACCTAGGCAAAGGTAAATTTGTCAATGGCAACGGGATCTGTTTGTCAGATGCGGAAGAAGATGCGGAGATTCAGATTCTTGAGCAGCAGCGGCAGAAGTAGCGGCAGCAGCAGTAGAAGTTGTGGTTTGTGATTTGTGGTAGAGGGGGGAGAAGTGGTGTAGTCGCGATGGACGGCGGGTAGAGAGGTTGTCTTCCTGCAGTAGTGGATTTGACGGGAGGGGAGGGGAAGAAATTCAAGATTCCACTCTGGAGACAATGGGGGTGGGTAGGAGTAATAGTAGTAGTAGTAGTAGTAGTTTGTTTCTAATGGTGGTCGGAAATAATAGTACTGAGAGGAGGAAGCGAGGCGGGACGAGGGAGAAGAGTGAGGACAGCAGCGGTAGTCGAATACTACTAGACAGACACAGACACGGACCAGGCAACGACGCAAGGGGAGGGACGAGGACAAGCAAGGTGAGGCCTGGGCTGAGAAGAAAAGATGGAGTAGGAGTTCCAAGTGCTGTAACTGAGGAAACCATCTCAATCCAGACGATGCGATGGGTTGGCGCTGGTAACCGGGCTGCTTTGTTGACATGGTCTCCACAGCAACGAGGGCCCCTCGCGCAAGTACGGGTACTTCCTTCCCTTTGCGCCAGCAGCCATACGTGGTGGTAGCTCCAACGAACGGTACGTACCTCCAGCACCACCTCAACCCACTCCACATCTGTTTTCCCCCATCCATCCATCCCACCACTCACGCCTTCCCTCTTTGCTTGCTGTGCGTGCTTCATCCCTTCCTAGGTAGGTAGGTACGAGGTAGGTGCTCCTGCCCTGCCCAGGATGCATCCCGTCATTGTGGATTACTGGTCCCGGTCTTCCTTGCAGGTCCTTTTTAGGACATGTCGTCGTTGAACAAGGACCTCCTGGCCCTGAACCCTGCCGTTCCTGGCGTGGCCGGTTTTGACCTTCTTGTTGCCCTTGTCAAACAAACTCTTGATGGTTTTTTCTTTTCCCCTTCTATCCGTACTTGGACAATATCTCTTCTCGTCCTCAGATGCCGAACAACAAACGGCCGATGGATGCATGCATGCATCACCCGTCCAGGAGCCTCGACTTCATCCAAGCATGGTCAGAGTTTGGTGCGCCACCACCCCATCGTCCACGTCGGACGTCGATGATACCCAAGGCCGCCAGCCTCAAATGCGCTTACACCGCAACAATGTCGTCGTATCGCAGTCTTCGTCGCCGTTATCTGACCCAGCCGCAGCGCAGGAAGAAAGTGGACACAGGAACGAGCATCCACCCGCCTACCTACATCCAATCAAGAAAAAAACACCCCATGTCCTCATACGCATGTATAGATAGGTGGCAGTACGGAGTATAGTGTCCTACCTATAGATCCCGTCTCCGCAGTCAGGAGCCGAATCAAGGACGTGCTCCCGGTCCATCCATGATCATAATCCACCCACCAATTCGATTCGATCAGCGATCGCACAACCCCGGCAACCGGCCTTGTGGAGAACAACCGACGGAACCATCCAACTGCCTCGCCTCCCTTCAATCCCACGCCGTCGTCTGCTGGTGCCGCCAACCACACAGTAGCGAAAACGCACCGCAGCTGCCGGCGCGCGCCTTGTTGCAGCCACACGATCGAGTCAATGTTTCATCCGCCCTCGCTCGCGTTCCAAGATGCCGTCCCATGTTAGACAGCATGTTTCTGAAGAACAAGACCGGATGACAATCATCATCTCTGTTCGTCGTCCGGTCGAACATGCAAAGCTTTATTTTTGCACTCCCATCTCGTTGATTTCCAAGTCATCATCTCCCTGGCCAGCAATGCGGCTAGGCCGTCTGTATACTGCAGCTTGCCTTGACGCCTCTTTGAGCCCGGCAACTTGGTAGCCATGCATAGTAAGCGCCTCTACCTTGCACCCCAACGTGCCCGAGCCAACCACTGTCACCTTCGACGGCTGGTTGACTGGCGGCGGAAATAGAACATTCAACTAGCAGAGGTGATAATCATGTCGAGAGGTGAAGCTCCAGAGCTTTTAGAGGCGCCAAAGGTGGGTGGGCTCCTTATCAGCGAGGTCTCGAAGTGTCTTTCAATTTCAGTCACGTGGGCCAACTAGCACACATCACCCCACACGATGCTCCTCGGACTCTGCAGCAGAGAGCTACATTGGACATTAAGGAAGCCCCTTGCGATACAAGTGATATACACCAAAGAGTCTGTTCTTGGCTAGAACTAGGGTGGCGATACGACTGACAATGCCTCTGTTGGCATATTCTGTCAAGTTCCGTTCTGGACGGCATCCTGGATCTGGACACCGCTTTTAGAAAGCCGACAATCGAGACTAGTTGTAGCTCGCCCCCCGCTCTGAAAGTGCTGCAGGAGGCCCCAGTGGTCATGCAGGTCGAGGATATCTTGGCCAAGTCTCGCTTGCCATCACCTCTCGGCATTAGCGCGAAGTGAGTCCAGATTTGCGATGCGGCGCAGAAACAAGGCTCAGACGTGCGGCCGCATCCTTCACCCCTCTACCAGCGTCAGGGTCTTGTCTTGGCGTCGACCTTTACCCAGTGCGTTCAATCATATAGTTTTGCGGTAAGCCTGGTTGCGGATACGTTGGTAGAAGTAGCCATATGAGCGGGGCCGCGGCACAAAGACTTATAAGCTCTGGCCCCTCTAGTAGTCACCTTGACTATCAGTGTTACCGTGTATATCTTATAATAGTATTCCAGCTATACATGATAGATTCCTTCCTCTCCCCCTTTTGTTATTCAAGCTCGGGATCTGATCCTTAGAGTTTTTGACATGTAGTCGAGCCCCTCGAGGCTAACACGGTTGTCCCAGTTTCATTGTCCTTTCTGGTTGGTGACACATCATGCAGGTTATGCTTCATGATCCTATCATATGATAGAACCAGGGAGCTCTGCCAGCGTTTGTCACTTTCCGTTCCAGAAGTACCTTTCATAGTCCGTTCTGCCAGCCTAGCAATGGTAGTTCGGATTCAGATGGTCGCATTAAGAAGGCGACGATCAACACATGTGAGTATCATTGCCGTAGTTGAACGATTCACTATCCCACGAAGTCGGGGGAGACGGTGCTCGAGCGAGACAACAAAGGCAATGGCGGAGAAACGCATGTCGGTATGTAGGATTACAGAGCCAAGATAGATGTGTGAAGTAAGACAGGTTCCAGGATGAAAGAAAGAATGGTCGGTCATGTACTGACTTGGACGAAGCCGCCTGAAGGCTGGGAAGGGCAGAACCCAAGCTCCCGGTGGAGAATCTGGTCATTGACTTTACGCCATAATGCTACACGCTCTGCTGGGCTCTGCTGAACGTATTAGGAGAAGCCGCCAGCTTCGAAGCTATGTACATCATTCATCCGCAGAAACAATGCTTTTGGTCCAATTTCACTGGTACTTGGCTTTACTAGGGGCATATTTCTCTAACAATTCATTCTCGCAAAGCCGATGAGGATATTTCTGCGAATACTATTGTAGCAAACGTTACGCGCAGACAACGTAACCCGAATCACAGATGCCTTCAAGGTCTGAAGTTGTCGTTCCGGCAGCTCTTGCTCAAGGTTGACAGGGCTATGATGGAAGCCGGGCGGGCCGCGCCGCCGCTTCGTGAAGTGACGCCGTGAGCCGGTGAGGCAAGCGGCGACGACAGCGAAGCAGAACCGGCCGAGGGATGGGCAGGCCTAACAGTCAAAGCCAACTATGGATATGAGCCGGTGAGCTGGCTGGGTTTCTGTAGGTAGCGGAAGGCTACCCTAAGAGATTGGCTAAGCACTCTGTGGGCAAGTATATTCTCATTTAGCAACGGTTGGTTGTCTTGGCAGGTCCGTGGTGCCGAACTTCTGACACCATCTTGCTTCCAGGGGGCCAGATGCACTTGTCATTGAAGGTGTCATTTGAAGAGTTCCGCTGAAATGAGGGTATCACAGCCAGCCACACGGGTGTGCTTGTTTCAATGACCAGAGCAGTAGGAGACGTGCGCAAGAACAGCCAACGACATGGCGGTAGTCAAAAAAATGCATTCGAAGGTGCATGGCTTTCCCTTCCGTTAAGCCCGCCCCTTGGAAACGGGGATTTTAAGTATGGCAGCGTTTCCACGGCGAGAACCCTTGCTCAACCGGACATGGAAGGCACGCATTATGCTGTCCCTTTTCGTGCCGACTTGAAGCAGGCAACCCTGATTGGAAGTGAGGGCGGCTGGAGCACGTTTGATAAGAAATGAGATGATGGGAAGGTTTGATCATAGCCAAAAGAAAGTGGTGATCTGCAATTGTGGTCATGACGATGCTAAGGGGTCACAGCGGGTGGTTGATATTGGGCAGCACGTAGGCAGGGTCATATGAGATGCTGAACATTAGAGCTTCACTGTATAGAATCGCAGGATACGCATAGCGGCGACAATGGATGAGAGTGACGAGCCGTTGCAGCAGTATCTCGGACCCGAAGGAGTCCGGGGCCGGGGCAGCATGCACGACAAGTCCGTATCCATGTTTGCGGAAGTGGTGGCGATGACAATAATAGGTAAGGATGTAATGCCTCAGGATACGAGTCAAATGTCGAACCGAGGTTTTTTTAAAAAAAATTTCGCGCACGAGGGGGGGAATACGGATACCTACTTAGGCGATATTGGCTTGCTTGTCAGGTCAAATGAGGCTAAGGTGAGCTAAGGTGAGGCGGAGGTGAGGCGAGAGGAATAAAGCAAAAAAAAAAAAAAAAAAAAAAAAAAAAGGAGACGAGCAGACCCGCCATTTCGGGGCGGAGTGGCGGCCCAGACATAGATGCTCTGCATATTTATGTGCGGGTTTGGGAATGCATATTGGGAATACATATTGGGACGGATACCTACAGAGGAATGGGAGTGCAGCGGTGTAAGAATCAGTCGACGGTGATTATGGCTTTGTTGCAGACGACTCACTCGACTGACTGGTTATGAAGATCGGATGACCTGCACCCCGACTCGACAGGGTCTGGCTGTCTTATTCGAGACTGTTATTCACCGCCGGCCGTCGCTGGTTTGGGTTCATGCAAGGGGAGCCGGGGGAATCCGAACGAGCGAGCACATTTCTCAGTCTTGACGATGGGTGCTCAACCGACCACACGAACGGACACAGGATGGAAAACGACACCGAGGATGAAAAGGCGGGACGAGGTGTCTCTCACAGATCACACGGCCTCGGGAGCTTCAGGGAGCGAGCAAGTGGAGGCCCTCGAGACAAAGAGAAAAGACGATTGGTGAATGGAGCTTGGCGGACTGGAGCGTGGGCGAGATTGAAGGCAACAGCGGGTGCCGAGGGCGGTCCGTGCATAGCATACCCCTGTCACCTCGACAACCTGTATGCATGTCTTCCTTTTTCCTTCTTTTCTTCCAATTATTTATGTTTATCCGGAAAGAAAAGAAGAAAAACCTTAGGGTATTCGTTCCCGCTTCTCTGTTTTGTTTAATCCGGCGGCGCTTAATTGTGCTCTGCTCGCTGACCGGTGTTTCTTGTGGCATGCAGTATGTAGACGAAATGCCATCCGGGGCGCCATTCCGACCACTACGTAGTACGGAGTATTGTGAGGTACCTTAGCGATACCTAGGTAGACAGTGACAGAGTCACCACCGCAGGTAACTAGCTGCTGCTGGTCTGGGGCGCTGAAGGACTGGACCTTGCTTGACCTGACCTTGGACCTGGAAATAACTGACCCGGTCCCTCCCCTATCCGTCAAATATTATCCTTGGCTCGCACCCGGAGCAAGCAGTTTACGTAGTAGCTTTCTGCAACGGCTTTCTTTCAGTGCATGCTTTGCTTTGTATTGGGGGCCCCAGAAGACACGATACCACATTGCGGATACACCTGTTGCCCACTGTCCGATTCTTTGTTGTCTGCCCTTTGTCTCACTTTTCCAAACCTCCGTCTATTTTCCCTCTCTCTCTCTTTATCTCTCTTGCTCCATCCCCCTCCCCATAATCTCCATATCTCTCTCTCTTCCTCTCTGCTCTGCAAACAGTCAGAGCAGACAGCGACGCTTACTTACCATTTATTGACAAACCCCCGACTCCCCGACTATCCGACTCGCGCACGCGCCGCCCTCGGCACCCACTCTCCCCCAGCCGCCAAACCAGTGTGGGCGACGCAGGAAAAAAAAATAGCAACCTCGCATCAACACCGCTCATATCGCAATCTGACAAGTTCATGCAATGTCAGGCAACACCCTTAGAGGTACGCCCAATCGCGGCCAGGCCCGTGGAAGTATCCCCTTCACCCAGAGCCCCTCGGTCACCGGCCCTGCTACGCCTAGCACCTCTTCCGGCATTCCTCGCCCAGTTCTAGAGACCCAGGCTACTCAGAGCGAAGTTGGTGGATCGGGAGTCAGTGCCAGCCGTCAGAAGCAGACCAAGAGAGATGAGGTATGAACCCTTTTTCTGCTATTGCCCCGCGATGCATGCCTTGTGTTCCTTCTTTCCGACTTCTTGCGGGAGAGGAAATAAGCCTGTCTTGTCCATCCATTCTATCCATTCTGCTCTCGTCGAGTCTGCATCGTGACAATCGCGTCTTTCCTCGACTCCCAGAAGACCCACCACCCCATCTCCCTGTTCCGAAATGGCTCGACTTACCTACGGCGAGCTCGAAAGAGCCAGAATGCTCGACACGATGGATACTGACTACTACGTCAAGGCGATCCGCAAGAAGATGGAGAGCGATCTCTCCAAGAAGAAGCACCTCACGAGCCGAGCCCGTCACTCGCGCAAGGCCCCGCCCGGCACCGTCCTCGCCCTGAAGCCGAGCCAGGCACTGCAGATCAAGCCAGGCACCTCTGTCGCCGAGGCCGCCCAGCTCATGGCCGCCAAGCGCGAGGACTGCGTACTTGTCACCGACGACGATGACCGCATCGCCGGTATCTTCACCGCCAAGGATCTGGCCTTCCGCGTCGTTGGGGCCGGTCAGAAGCCGAGTCATATCACCATCGCCGAGATCATGACCAAGAACCCCCTCTGCGCCCGCACCGACACGAGCGCCACAGACGCCCTCGACCTCATGGTCCGCAAGGGCTTCCGCCACTTGCCCGTTATGGACGAGAACCAGGACATCTCCGGTATCCTCGACATCACAAAGTGCTTCTACGACGCAATGGAGAAGCTGGAGCGCGCCTACTCGTCCTCGAGACGCCTCTACGACGCCCTCGAGGGTGTCCAGTCCGAGCTCGGTACGAGCCAGCCCCAGCAGATCATACAATACGTCGAGGCTTTGCGCTCCAAGATGTCGGGCCCTACTCTTGAGTCCGTCCTCGACGGACGCCCACCTACCACTGTCAGCGTGAGGACTTCGGTCAGGGAGGCAGCACAGATGATGAAGGATAACCGCACGACCGCTGTCCTCGTCCAGGACCAGGGCGCCATTACCGGTATCTTCACCAGCAAGGACGTCGTCCTCCGCGTCATCGCCCCTGGTTTGGATCCCGCCACCTGCAGCGTCGTCCGGGTTATGACACCTCACCCCGACTTTGCCCCCATGGATATGTCCATCCAGGCTGCCCTGCGCAAGATGCATGGTAAGTGTTGCCCGCGACGCGGAACCTTGGCGGAAGAACGCTAGCTAACCTACCGTAGACGGCCACTACCTCAACCTCCCCGTCATGAACGATGGTGGCGAAATTGTCGGTATGGTAGACGTCCTGAAGCTCACCTACGCCACCCTCGAGCAGATCAACACCATGTCCACTTCCGACAGCGAAGGACCCGCGTGGAACAAGTTCTGGCTCTCGCTGGACGACGGCACGGAATCCATGATGTCCGGTGAGGGCAGCCACACCCACCACACAAATCTTGGTTCCCGTATCATGTCCCCCGACATCAGCCGCGAGCGCATCGGCGACAGCGTCGCCCCCGGCGACTCTGCCTCCCATGTTGGTCTCGAGTCGCCGCCGCGGTCCGCTATCACCGGCCACAGCCCGGTTCACCAGTCTCCCGCCGAGCTGCCTTTCCCCTTCAAGTTCAAGGCCCCGTCCGGGCGCGTGCACCGCCTGCAGGTTATCGCCTCGCAGGGTATCGCTGCCATGGTCACCAACGTGATTTCCAAGCTCGGAAGCGAGGTGGACTCCATTGGTGGCGCTCCCACGGTCGAGGAAGGAAGGATCTCTGGCGGTTTTGCGCTCAGCTACCTCGACGATGAGGGCGACTCTGTCTCCATCACGACGGACAACGATCTCCTCGAATCCATCCTGCTTGCCCGCCAAGGTCACAGAGAAAAGGTTGACCTCTTTGTCCACGACCCTGAGAAGCCCCCTGTCTCGGCCGCTCCCCCGACCATCGAGCCGGTCGCCCTTCCTACTCCCCCTATTTCTGCCACCCCCGACCTGCGCCGGAGACGAGCATACGACGACGAGGATGACGAGGCGGAGGATGAGGACGACGATGTGTCCCACGTGCGCAGGTCGCGCCGCGCTAGGCATGCGGCCGAGCCAGAGCAGGTTATTGCCGGCGTTCCCAATGAGCTGCTGCTCCCCGGTGCCATTGTGACGTTAGCGGTTGTTATTGTTGGTGTCTTCACCATCTCGCGTTTGACTAGCCGGTAAGGAACTTCTTAGAGACCGAGGAACGCTTGAAGGGAAGGACTTCAATCACGACTTTACGAGAGTCCTTGGCGAAGCATTGTAGATATGTATCGAGTATTGTTGTCTCTACTATACTCGAGTACACCGACTTTAATTAATCCATCACACATCACCGTTTTGCAAGAAGATTTCCTTCCCAATTGTGTTTCCGTTAGTCTAGCAGTGAAAAACCCCGAGACCACCCACTATGACAAATTCCAATCAATATACGGATATAGAAAACGTATCGGTTCCGTTGTAGGTGAGGCTGTCAACCATCGGATTACCTAATCATCTGAGCGGTAAGGGGGAGTGGGGCGGGTACTTCCGTCCAGCTCTCCGAAAGCTCCAAAAATTGTTCCTGACGGACGACCTGCAGCGCGCAACCACTCACCCGCCATCACGCCGCAGCCGACTAGGTAGACATGATTGTTAGAAGCATAGTCAGCCGGCATGGTATGATCCTTCTTGGTTCCCGATGAATTGACACCGTGCTGACCGCCCTCTCCCGTGCAGGCTGCCGAGCCCTCGCGGCGCCAGCCGCCCGATCGTGCCACCGCGCCATCACCACGTCCTCACTCGCAGGCGTGACCCCCGAGCAGCTCGAGAGCTTCACCGAGGCCGCGGCCCTAAGCCAGATCGCCGAAGACCCGCCGGCGGCGCGGGAGCGTCCGAAGCAGGGGACCAAGGCCGTCCGCAAGGCGCACGACGCGTTCCGCCGTGTGCAGAAGGCGACGGCGCACATCGGCTCCGTCGTCGAGCGCCCCTACGTGCCCTCGTATCTCGTTGACCACCCGCCGGCGGCCAAGGACATCACGCTCGAGCTTCTGATGGCCTCGCAGACGCACATGGGTCACCACACGTCGCTGTGGAACCCGGCCAACGCGCGGTACATTTACGGCGTCCGGCAGGGGATCCACATCATCTCGCTCGAGACGACGGCGGCGCATCTGCGCCGCGCCGCTCGAGTCGTCGAGGAGGTGGCGTACCGCGGCGGCCTGATTCTGTTCGTCGGCACACGCAAGGGCCAGATGGAGATCGTCACCAAGGCGGCCCAGCTGGCGCGCGGCTGCCACCTCTTCACCAAGTGGACGCCGGGCAACATCACGAACCGGGACATGATCAGCCGCGGCAAGGCGATCAAGGTCGTCGACGAGAAGGACGCGACGCTGGGCGGTTTCGAAAGGCTGGAGAGGACGAGCCGGCCGCTCATACCAGACCTTGTCGTGTGCCTGAACCCGCTCGAGAACTATACCTTGTTATACGAGTGCGGCCTGGCCAACGTGCCGACGATCGGCATCATCGACACGGACGCGAACCCGGATTGGGTCACGTACACCATTCCGGCCAATGACGACAGGTATGCTTCAACATCACCCCTCGTGCCAGCTAGTGAGATGAGAGCCCATGACTAACCATCTCCGCCCCCAAACAGCTACCGATCCGTCGCCGTCATCGGAGGCGTGCTCGGACGCGCAGGAGAGCAGGGCCAGAAGCGGCGGCTCGCGGATGCGGAGAACGGCGTGGTGGCGTGGCAGACGCCCACCGAGACAGCGCGGTACATGAGGGGAGAGATCAAGCGGTACGAGCAGGAGATCAAGCGGTGGGAGCGCGAGAGCGCGGCCGATGCGGAGAAGGGCTCCAGCGGCGAGCAGCAGCTGCTGGAAATGCTGCAGGTGGAACGGATCAAGGCTGTCGACGGCGAGGTCAACTAGAGGAGGAAGATGGGGTGATGCGGGTGACGAGGGAAAGTGTCTGTCTCTGTGTCGGAGGAAGAAAAACGATAAAGAATATGTGGAAAATCGGAAGACGGGGACGAGGGGGGGGCACAGCCTTTGTACTAGATACACCGTTGTATGAACATGTACCAGTATTTATAGAGTTTGCACCTTGCTTGTCTGCGGGTGGCTGTCACTACGTCAAGGGAGCTCTTGTGCGGCGTGATGGCTCTTGGCTGCGTGCCCTCATGCTCAGATAAGTCGTATGCATATTAGAGGTATCAAGTACATCAACTCGTGTGTCAGCGAAGGCAAAAACCTCGTCAGTTGTGGTTTCCATAGTCCACCTCTGTCCAGCAGCCCTTTCTCCGTCGGGGTTAGACTAGCGCCCTGATCGCAAACCACTCGAAAGCCTTCCTTACTGCCAGAAAAGCGAGTCCAAACAATACACACATTCCCGTTCACGTTAGTGCTCTGCCTTTTCGCTGCGGCGATTTGTGCCGTGTCTTCTCACAGCCTACGTCTCGAGGGTAGACGGTCTACCTCGGATCATGAATAACCCCCCCAAAGCGAGGTACCATGGCGTAAACCTCAGCCTTCTCTGCAGTGCATTGTTAGCACAGAATGTGCTTTTGCTAGGTCATGTTCGGTAGTATCCAGTCAAGCGCCAGTAAGCAAGCTCCCCTGCAAGTGTCGCGATGTAATACCAAGAGGAAATAGACGGCTCGACTGCCACCGCCTTACAGTGCAAACGGCAACAGAGCCAGTCACGGAACTACCTTCCAATGATGCTCGTTGGCAGTCGATGGCAATGCGACATCTGGTGAGAGGGAGTCGAGGAACGTCGTTGGTGGGGCAGGAGCAACTAACCAACTCACTTGAATTCGGCTTTTTCTTGGTCCTGCTTGGGTTTTCGCGGGCGCCCGGAGCGTGGCTTGACGGCAGCCGAGTTGGCACGAACAGCGTGACGCACCTGACTGAGAGTGTAGCCCGTCTGCTTCACAGTAGCCTTTGGAGGCATGTACGCGTCAAAGTAGAGGGTTCGGATGCGGATGCGGTCAGTCTCTGGGAGGTGCTTGGTATGGATGCCTTTTGGACGGAAAATCCATCGCGGTGGTGGCGTGCAAAAGTTGGGATTCTGAACTGTTCCGTTAGAGTTGCTTGTGTGGAAAGAAAAGGTCGAGGGATAAATATGGCGAGGGGATTCTCCGGTTGATGCCACTTACAATGCTCTTATGGCTGTTGTTATGGTTGATGACCCACCTCACTTACTTGCATATCACCAACAGTGGTAGAAGATGCTAGTAATAGTACTTACGCCACGAAGAGGCTTGCGTAGCGCCCACGTGGTGACGTGACTGTGGCTGTGGCTCTGAATGCATGCTTAGGTAAACCACCCCTTCCCCCATGTTGAAAACTTCGCACCTGCGCATTTCCCCTCCCTCCATCCATCACCAACGAACATTTCAGCACGGCACAAGCAGCAGCACAGCGCCAGCCAGCCAGCCAGAAGCTCCAATCCTGTTTCCCGCACCACGCACCCCGCCAAGGTCAGGCATTCGTGCATGGTGTAGCTGTGGTGTCATTGCAAAGTTTAACGCAGGGCGGTGCCAGCTCCGACCGGTAAAAAACAAGTGCAGTGCAGCGCAAGCCACCACCCCCGCGCGCTTTCATTTACAATTTGGCACGCATATCGACATTTTGGTCAAGAAGAAGCCGCGTGTGTCTCTCATTACACAGCCAGAGGGGGAAGGGACCTGATTGTCGGACCAGACTCGGTAGGCTTACTTGCAGCCTTTCCTTACAAATCAAGACCTGCATACTCACCTCATCCGTCCTGTTCCCAATATTATATCAGATGCCAACAAGACTTCGGAGACGGAAGGAGACTGTGCTTGCGCGCAAGCATCACGTGCTGCCAGCCGATTGCTGCCCTGTTTGTTTGTTTGTTTGTTTTTGCTATACCAGGTGAATGTTGACTAACTCTTTATTCCACGAGAAGTTGGTAAAGCCAGACTCGGTGCAAAGGGCAACAGCAGCTGCCCTCTTATAATTGGAAGAAACAACGGGGAAAAAAAGAAGGAAGAAAAAGAGAGGCCCCTGCGGTGCCGATCCCGTCGCCGAGTCAGTGCAACATGCCGGCAATGCTGGATGATCCGACAAGTCCCACAATTTACCGTGTCTCCGGAGCACCGCCGTACCCGGATCCTGACAAGCCCGAACTGCCCATCGACATCGTCCCGCGTCAAGTGACGCTCCGGGATCGCCAGACGACCGCGACCATCATACCGTTTGCATCGCAAAATGAGGTGCCTCAGTCCCTCGTTCGCTATCTCAGCGATCAACTGAACAAAGAAATCGAGGGAGGTGATACGTACCCGATGATGGACCCCATGCCGGCCGGCAAGTTCGGCGCCTATTGGTTTCAGAACTTTGGTGCCATCATGCTACTCGGAAACATGGAGCGCGCCGCCCTCACAGACGATATGGACTGGTCCCGGGAGTGCCTGGGCAGCTTCTACATCAAGCCCAACTACCCCGGTCGCAGCAGCCACGTGTGTAACGCGGGCTTCCTCGTCACCGACGCCTCGCGCAACCGTGGTGTGGGCCGGCTGATGGGTGAGTGCTACATCGACTGGGCACCCAAGCTCGGCTACACCTACTCCGTCTTCAACCTCGTCTACGAGACCAATGTTGCCTCGTGCAAGATTTGGGACGCGCTGGGCTTCAAGCGCATCGGCCGCGTCAAGGGCTGCGGCAACCTCAAGTCGCACCCCGGCCAGCTCATCGACGCCATCATCTACGGGCGCGACCTCATACCCGGCGAATCCGAGGAACTCGTGAGTGAAGAGCGCTTCGACAAGATCAAGTTCTACCTCAAGTACGGCAAGTATCCGGCCGGGGCTGACCGCGCCGAGAAAAGCAGGCTCCGGAGCGCCGCCACCCACTACAAGCTGCTTGACGACGACCGCCTGATGCTCAAGGACAAGGAGGTCGTTCCAGACCCACGCCGCCAATACGAGATCGCCCGCGAGGTCCACGTTGCCCAGCACGGCGGCATCAACAAGACGACGGCCACCATTGCCGAGAAATACCACTGGAGCCGCATAAAGGAGACGGTGAGCGACGTTATCAGGAACTGTGTCGAGTGCAAGGAGCTCAGCAAGATGCCCGCCTCCGGAGGGAACGGGGGTGCGAGGGGAAGGGCGGCCGCGGTGGCCGCTGCCGCCGCCTCCTCCTCGCTGGCGAACATTTCTACTCCCATCTCAAATACTAGCCTTTCGAATCCCTCATTCACAAGCACCTCCGCATCAACGCCGCCGCCCTCGGCCGCCGACGTCAGCACCGCAAACGGCGTCCTTGCCCTGCAGCACCACCTGTCTCCCTTATCCCCTCCGCGGCCATCGCCGTACGCCGAAGTCGCATCCATACCGCCGTCGCACACCCTCCGCGACCCCTCGGCCTCCCCTCTGCCCCGTCACCCGCACCACAACCCCATGCTGCAGGACGAGTCCTTCCAGCCCATCGACCCGCAAATAATCGGCCCGCCGCCGACGTCGCACGATGACCCCTACAACCACTACCACCCGCACCACACGGATTTCCAGGCGCTGCTCAACGCGACGGAGGCGGAGGAGACGGCGGAGGAGGCGGCTGCCGTGGACCGGGACCTGGACATGCTGATCGAGCAGGGAGATGACGAGGACGAAAGGGACGGGGATGTGCCGATGGGGGAGAAGGATGGCAGGGATAAGGACGTATACTCTATAGGGTTCATCAACGGGTGAGAGGGAAGGGAGGGGAGGAGGACTATTTGCGCGCGTGTCGTTTGGCGTTTTGGGCCGGGTTACGGCGGGGTTCTGCCATTTCTACTTCCCAGATTCCTCTACACGAAAGGACTGGGCATGCCAGCTTTTTGAATAATGATAACATACCAATAAAGCTTATAGATGAGTTACCATTGCGTTCACTCGTACACCTGCGTCGGTCGACATGCGGCACCTCATGAACGGGCGATGTATCCCTGAAGGCCAGTCCTTCTAAGCCGATGGACCCCCGCCGCGACAAGCAAAGTCTGGAATGCTTGGAACGGATGAGGGTTATTGGAAATCGTGTCCATAAGGCAGAACCGCATGCCGACCGCGCTTGGTATACTGTTTTTGGGGGTTGGGGCCCGGCCAGGCAGGGCAAGGACTCGGTTGGATCGAGCGTTCAGTGCGCTCTCCGCCAACGGCTCACACGAGTCCTCTTGGTCAATAGAAAGTAGATATTTGAAAACTTGTAGCTTTGGTCACGGCTTTGCTAGCTTGCTATGCAGGCGACGGCGAAAGTACAACGCAAGCTTTCCAATACGACGATTATCGCAGCCCTCATGCACCTATAACTAGCTGCTAACTGACAGTCACTAGTCGGCCATTATAGACACTGACATGCAGTTCTAAAATGCTCTCCTCCGGTCTACCTAGCTACTGGGACTGTATCCAAGAACCTCTCTATAAATAGCAGTTGCTACGATGTTGTCTGATTGGTCAATGCTGGGACAAACCGGAGGGTCTATAGCGGAACACTGGAGGACTAGCCTTTCGGCATGCGATTAGGAAACAATCCGGTAGCTTGGTGCTAGAACCAATCACCAGAGCCGGCCGGCATGGAGGCTTGCACTAAAGATTCCCGGGGATCCGGTGAGAGTCGCGTGGCACGCATTGCTTCGACAACAAAATCGACCGCGTTAATTGGCGATGGGCGCTTGGATGGAATACTGCGAAGTGCGGCAAACCTCTAGTGTGTGTGTGCGTTCCGAAGCAAAGACGCTTCTCCTCGACGTGTTGGTAATAGAGCTTGTCCGTTCGGAGCTTGATAAAGGGACCCATACTTGACGTTGGGAGAACAGACTGGGGTAACTTGCCTGCTACTGCACGCTCTGAGACACGCTGTAGACTATCTGGACGACATTCCGGCAGGCAGTAGAGGGGTGACTGAGAACGCCACACCTTCTCAACTACTCAAGGATTTGCATCCTAATTTTGTCTGCAACGTCGTCTGTAGCAAGTATCATTGACTGTACGTATATGCAGTTGAGGTTGGTAGTGAAGGGTTACGCCGACGAGCTATGAGCATACCCATCTGTGAAGGATCTGACTGGAGTCAAGTTTGAGTCGACAGGCGACGTACGGATACTTTGGTTGTATCCGTCACCTTAACCAATCCTAACCACTAGCCCTACGTATAGTAGATGGATAAAGGTTAGTGGTTAGGATACCTATGGTATTTCTAGGTGCCTTCCTACCAGTCTACCATATGACCTCCGTCAGTTTACCCGCTACTGCAAGATGAACTCCAAGCGGGTGAGGAAGACCCGCGGATGGTTGCGTTCATCGGGTGAAGCGCTTAACCTCCCCTCCCATCTCTGACAGATCAAGGCAAAGCCGTCAGCATTGTGGAGAGACCCTTGGCGGCGGTGAAGTAGTAGTTCCAGGTTCGGCTGCGAGATTCCGCTCTCGGACTGTGGCGCCGAAGACGTGGGAGGGTGCTGGTGTTGGTGGAGCGGCCGCCGCATTGTGGGACCACACAGTCTTTCGTTTGGAACCCTGGTTGACGGCCACCTCGCTTGACCAAGCAACTGTCTGCTCCGCCCTCCCTCCCAGGGCGAGGGATTCGTGCCGGCGGGAGATGGTGGAATCGGGCTGGACACGACAACGTACGAGGACGGCCCGGGATGTCTGCGCACTGCCCACCCGCGGCATGCGAGCTTACGGCCTAGGGCTGCCTGGTTGGCTCGCACTGCGCGCCGTTGTCTGCAGACTTGATACCAATCTTAACGATCCCAGCCCTTGGCAGGGTGAATGCGACGGCATGATGCAGGCGCCGAATCTCGCCATTCGTCAGCCTTGGGCCAACGTTCAGACCTAGTATTTGTAACTGAATAACGTCAGGGGGGAGGAGGGGACTTGTTGATGTCCAGGGTAAAGATCAGACAGGGTTTTTTTCCTCCCGACACCAACGCACTGACAGTCATCATCAACATCTTCATTGTGGTGTCAACTGCGGTGAATATTGGCGTGTTGAATTAAAACAACAACTACGTTACCATCTCTCGGATGGGCAACATGATGAAGAAAGACGTTGCCCACCCCTCGGCATGACCCGTTCTGGTCCTCGTGCGACTGCGAGGCTCGGAAGAAAATTGGACAAGCCCAACGCTTGCTTTCTTTCGGTAGCTCGTACAGCCTGCCCAGTACGGATACCTAGTACACTATTTATCTTGGCACACCGCAACCTCTCATCTCGAGATGCACCCGACCCCTGGCTGGGCATCAGCCCCAACCCAGGTGTTTTATGGGGGGACCGGCCCTTTTAAACGCACTGTTAAGCGCACCCAAGCAGGTCGAGGTTCGGATTTTGCTGACAGGAGTTGAGCTTAGCGGATGTGACCTGAGAGGGTCCTATCTTAATATGACATTAAAATAACCTCGGCGGTTGGTTCTTTAAGATGATGCCTTGGGAACCGCGCGTGTCCGAGAGTCTGGGTCTCTTCTCTCGCCTTGGCCTCCACACCCCCCTTCAAATTTCCAAACTTGTGTCATTTCGACAGTCTCGAGAGGTCCTGCTATGTCTCCGGTCGGTGTGAGTGATACCAGCTTCCAATGATACAACACCTACCCCGACCCGCAACGTTTAATCTGACATATCAACCAGGCACAGAACCGCGGCGGCGAGCGTGGGACGGATACGTTGCCGGAAGTCTACGAGCAACCCGGCCTGGAAGCCGTTCCGCACGAGCAAGACTGGTCCGGTCTTGAGGTCGTCAGCGACCACCGCCACCAAGATGGCAACAAGGAGGTGATATACCGGAACAACGAGGATGAAAAGATACCCGTGGTGGCCAGCGAAGCCGAGTTCGACCCCGCCGCACAGAAGTCGCCGCCCGCGTCGGCGGCAGCGCGGAGAATGAGGAAATCATGGCTCATGGTCGGGGCCGGTGCTTTGCTGCTCATCGTGGCGGCCGTCGTGGGGGGCGTGGTGGGGAGCAAGATGGCGGCGGGGGGAGCGGGACGCAAGGACTCCCCAGAGGCGCAGCCGACCCCGACGCCGACGTCGACCGCCAACGTGACCGTCGCGAACGCGCGGGAGATACGCCGGGGCTCGTCGCTCGCGGCATCGGGGTGGTGGAAGAACACCGGCTCGGAGATCTTCCTCTTCTACCAGGGCGACGACAACAAGATCCGGCGATCGGTCGTCGACTCCACGGCCAACAACACCTCGTGGCAAGGACCGGAGGAGCTCGACTCGTTCGCCACGGAGAACTCTCGCCTTGCGGGATCTACAATCGTCTATGACACCGGATATGTGGTAAGTTGTACCGCTTCCCACCCCTCCAGGCAGGCAGGCAGGCCGGCGGCGCCGAGAGGGCTTCAACATGGCTAAGTCGCAAAACACCACAGCCGCAACCGGAACTCTTCTATACCAACGCCCAGATGCAGGTGCTCGGCATCAGCATGAACGACCTGTACACCCCGACGGCCCAGGAGGACAGCATCAAGACCATCGGCCTCAGGACCATCGCCGACAGCAGCGTCGCCTCGTACTGGCCGTGGTCCGTCCACCAGGCCGCCGACGGCTACATCGTCGAGGTGCGCAACCGGCTGATCGGGGGCGACTTCCACCCCGCGGCCGAGTGGGATGCCAAGAGGCTCCGCGTCCAGGCGGTCAACGCCAGCCGGCTGGCCCTGGTGCCGACCTCGACCAGCTTCAACAGGATCGCCATCCAGGGGGGCTACGGGATCTTCTACCAGGCGGCGAACTCCAGCCTGGTCGCGCTGATCCCCGACCTTGCGAACAACGTGCCCGCCGACTATGTGACGTCGTGGCCGACGGGTGTGTCCCCCCCCTCCTCTCTCTCCTCTTCCATCTCCGTCGGGAAAACTGTTTTGAATCGTTGAGCTTACCATCGCCGAGCAGACTTCCCCTCCATCACGCTCCCCGAACACGGCACTTTCGCCGCCTTCTCGGTGGCCCGGCCGTCGGACTCGCTCCAGAGGGTGGACACGTACGTCCTGTACCTCGACGCCTCGTCCGACATCAACGTGGTGTACACGGACTCGTCCGCCTCTTCCTCGCCCTCCTGGAAGACGGCGCAGCCCGACGCCCTGAAGGGGGCCGACGCGGACACGGACATCGCGTGCGTCACGATGGCGACCTCGGCCTACGACTCGTCCCGGGAGGCGGTGCCGCTCAGGGCGGCGGCGAGCATGGTGAGGTGCTATTTCCAGCGCGAGGGGCTGGTTAGGGAAGTGACGTTGAGCGGAAACCAGTGGGTTGACATCGGAAGCGTGCCGATATCCTGACAGACGTGTATTCCCCCCCCCCCCCTTTCTCCTAATGATTGCGTTTTTAAACAAGCGTTTGAGTTTCGTAGCAAGTCGTGTTACTAGTACTTTTCTAATTCGCCAAAGCGTCATGATTCTCACCTGTAAAACCTCGCGCTCCAGTCGTCGGACCTTCAAGGCCCGTGAAAAGACCGTTTGTGCCGCATTGCAACACGACGTATGAGACCCAAGACGTAGTATACAAGCGTAAAGCTTGGCGCGAATGATGGGATGTTCTATGGCTCACACCGTGTCTGGTAAAGCCTCCTCTGCGGAGGAAAGGCTGTGTCAAAGACGTTGGAAATATGACAATGGCACGACAGATTACGGGGAGCAGCTGGTTCGACACAGCCGGTGGATGAAGCGAGAACGGAGGGCTTACGGACGCTTTTTCGATGGGCAACGGCATATCAAGGCCGCCCGAGTCATGTATGTACCGTATCAACCAGTCCTCGAAGCAATACGACGTTGGCGAGAACACCATAACGAAGCCGTCAGCTTGAAACCACAGAGAGGTGTTTCGCGCGGACAAAACAGCCGGGTCGAGCCGACGGCCTCACGAGGACAGAACCATGCCGGCATGTCAACTGTTATAACAGTCACATATCGGCCTCTCCAGGTGCCAACCCGGTCTCGCGGGGATTTCTGTCGTGAGGCCATTATGTCATTTTCTCGGGGGGAAAGGAGGGACGAGCAGGGGAAGCACACACCAACCTGGCAAAGAGCCAAAATAAAGGCGACAATGAAGTGCCGGCGCGATTTCCACATCTCGAACTCCGCCGGCCTGCCTGCGACTGCCGAGGTCCATCCCGAAAACTGCGGTCCCAACCCACATATATGATGGGGATGATTTCAGAGGGAAGGGGGGGAAAAAACGAAAAAAAAGCCAATGAATGGGGATGGCGAGGGACGTGTGTCTCGACGGGATTTCTGTCGGCGGCAATGAAACAGTTTGCCAGTTTACCATCGACCTCATCCCGTCGTACCGCCAAGCCCAGTCCGGTGGGTTAGCTGGTTGGTCAGTCGACCATAGGTAGTAGTGTAAAAGTACTCACTACACATACGGATACATATATACAAACAAAAGACAAAAGTCAAGGTTGCCGAAAGAATGATGGTCAGGGGGGGCTTGAACATGACACACACCTGTTCCCCGTTTGACATTCCCCAGCGCACCCACTCCGCGCGGCCAGGCAAACCACTTGGGACTCGAGAACGCTGTCTTTCTCCTCTTTTTCCCTCTCGTCCAAATCCCACGTGCGCTCGGAGGCAAAAAGAAAGAGAAGAAAAAGAAGAAGTAGAAAAAAACACCGCAAAATAAGGCTGGTTTTCTTGTCTTTCAGCCAAGATTCATTTTGGCGAGTGTAAGGCTTCCGTCCCTGAAGGTTACCGGGGAGACTGGAGGCGGGATATTTCCACACCAGTCAATCAATCGTGGGAGAGGTCCGGTCATGTGACCTGACACATGGCCATCTTGTATCCGTATCGTCACACTTCCCCGGAGAGGCACGTTGTTGGTCGGCGCTCGGAGACGGCGCTCGAGAGGGGGCACGGCACTAGGCTCGGCTGTCGGAGTGGTGTCTGTCTCCTGCAAGTTCACGGCCCGTCTGTCAACTCATCACAACAGAGTCCCCGCAGCAAGTCGACCAGTCAATGCGATCTGAGAACAGTCTTATTATGAGGTCATTGAATGCTCCATTACCACGCCTCCTTCTTTCGAGTAAGTCGAGCAAACGCTTATCAGAGGGGGAAAAATCCAGCACTTCATCTCCCAAGGAATGGGAAGGTATAAAACGCGCCCAAGCTCGCCAACACACTTCCAAGTAAAAATAAAACACGATATTGCTCTCGCGCACATCTCACAGGGGCTCCCCCGAACGAGACGAGCCACGTTATCCAACAGTAATATTTCGAATAATTGCCCACTTGTAAAATCCCCCGCTGAGGCCCCTCACCCACCACATAGATGTGAGGGACCATGTAATACTATACACACAAGATAGGTGAAGGGGGTAGGGCGTAAAATACCATACTCCGTTGCGACTCTCCCATCGAATGTCGTTAAATAAAATAAAGGGTATTCCCAATCGCCGCCGTTGTTGTTTTTTGTATGGAGAAAAACATCTCGGCCGGCCAAGCCCTCCAGTGAAAGGGACCCATAGAAGCGAAGATACCCAGCGGGGGTGGTTGGCGGGCCGGGGACATTTTTTGTGATTGTACGTCGAGTCTGGTGTGGTATGGTATGATGCGATATGCGTAGTTGGCGATGCGACTAAGTGAGGAGGGGTACGTTATCCCGTCTCGAAACAGGTCGTCCCCCCCCCGTTGGTGATATCCAATAGTTGTTCTTAAGTGGAGTGCAAAAGGAGTGGACGGCGTAGAGCGGGTTTCTGAGGCCGACGGCGGATTTTAGGTCCCACAGACAAAGAGAGATGAATCCAACGCAAATCCATATCATAATTCCGAGATATGTTCCCTACACCATGATACATATGAAATCCGACGACACTGATCGCTTTCGGAAGACGCTCCCGAGTGAGCCAGCGCCGGGAGATTTGAACACCTCTAAACGCCATCGATGCCAGAATGTTAAAAAGTAAAGTTAGGAGCCCGAGGCCAAGTCGTTCGTCGTCATGGACGTGAGGTGAGGCAAGTGCTCGCTCATGCATTGGTAACCTATCAACGGGATACCGGGATTAGCCTCACGATCGTTCCATCTACATCTCAAGTCCAGAAAGAAAAAAACAACTTACCCGGAGAATCTTCCGCGAGTAATCTTGGTTGTCAGCAATGCTGCCGTCACTCATGCGTCGATGAGCCAGAGTGGGATCCATGCGGGAGTCGCTCATGGACATGCCGCTGCTGCTAGGGGGCTTCGAGCCGCCAATAAAGGCATTCACGGCAGCATTGCGGCGGTGCTCCTCCTCGATCTCAGCGTTACGTCTCCGACGGATGAAGAAGAAGACGGCGCCAACAATGGCAGCGATGACGACGACGCCGACGACGACGCCAGCGGCGATGCCGGCCGTGTTGCTGCCCCCCTTCTTTGAGTCACTAGTCTCGGTCGGTGTCGGCGATGCACTGGGGGTCTCAATTATGGTCTCGACAGCACCACCACCACCACCACCGCCAGACGACGATGTGGGCTTGCTAGCAGCTGATGAGGTGGTAGGCGCAGGCTGATCGGCAGACACCACGAGCTTGATGCCAGTGTTGAAAACGGAGAAGTACAAGGCACCGTTATCGCCAACGCCACCGCCTGTGAGTAGGTTAATACTGGCTCGATCGGCGAATCTCAAAAGGGGTTAATCAAGCTAGGTCAATACATACATGCTTCGGCGGGGTAGAACGGGCAGGGGAAGTTGCACTTGGAGTCGTCGACAACGGCCTCTGTTGGGGGGTAGGAGTCACCGCAGTAGCAGTCCTCGCCGTTCAGTGCCATGACGTTCTTCTTCAGGACGTCTGTACATTCAACATTGCAAGATCCACTGCTGATGCCCTGTTTGGTAGGGTACTTTTGCCATGTTGTGGCATTCATGTTGTAGCAGCCGTGCGAGGTGAGGGCGGATGGTAAAGGAAGCGTGCTGGGCTTCTGAACGCCCCTGGCGGAGCTGGTCGTTGACTGGGCAGAGGCGTAGCCCAATGCCATAACGGCCAGAGCAGCTACTGAGTTCATCATTTTGGGCGGTAAAAAAAAAAAAAAAAAAGCGACTGGCGTCGAGGGTATTATAATGAATGCGTGAAATGAAGATCGAATTGGAGAGGCGGGTGTCGAGTCAGGTCGGCTCTCGTGGGAGTTGCCGATTGAGAGCAGGTCGCGATGGTTCCCGAGTTCCAACCGGATCCGAAGGGGCGATGATGCACACACAAAGTTGATGCGGTTTCAGTCGTTCAGCGGTATTTCCAGGTGTTTCAAAGTCCAAGCAACGTCGTCGAAACCGCAAGCCGTTCTGTTGGTAATTGCCGGTCAATCGAGTGGCGATACGGTCGGTCGATGGTTGATGAGCGTGTTTGTCGGGTCGTGCGGGAAACAAGGCGAGTCCTAACGAATGTGTGGGCGCGCACCAACAGCGGCGTAGTTTCCCCCCTCTCTTTCTCTCGTGTTGGGCTTGTTTGTAGTCAAGCGTCGTATGCGTTGTCTCCTTGGAAATCCTCTCTCTTGCTGGAAAGGCAAAGGTAAAAAAGAGAGGATATCACGGAGAAAATGGCATCGAGGGAGTGGTTGAATGAGCAAGGGAAAGGAGAACCTTGGCGAGATTGAAGATGAGTAACAAGGCGATGGAAGAGGGACAGACAGACTTTGGGGGGTAGGGGAGGAAATGAACGAGTGACAGTGGGTGGAATTGGAGGGAATGGCTTGTTTTGTTGAAAAGAGGGAAACGAGCACGGGGTGGGTTGAGATGAGGAGAAAAAGCGAAATTACGAGCCCACTTTGCGGCATCCCGGGGGTCGTGGGAGGGTGTGTGTCGAGAAGAGGCACCCCCTCCCCCCCCCCTTCCTTGCTCTCCTCCCTCTCTCTTTCCCTCTCTTTGCATGCACACGCACACCTGTTCGGAATTAGGTCACCCGTTCTCTCTCTCACACACACACACACTCATACATATCCGTACATAGTACTCTGTACACACATATTCTCTCTCTCACTTCCTGCATTGGCTCTGCTTGTGGATGCAAAATGACAGGCGAGCGTGGCACAACCGCTACGTATCGCAGTTGGATAAGCAGTCCGTCCATACGATGAGCTAAGGGGACGCACAATTAGGGCAGGCCAGATCAGGCTAGGCCCGACACTCGAGGCAGAAAAACGGCTTCCCGTCCTCCCATCTGGCGTGTACGTACTCACTCCGTACATACACAAATAACCCTCTCCAGACTCTGCATCCGTAGACAGCCTACGGATACTTGAGAAGAAAGTTGCCTCCCCGTCCACCAGTACCCTGTACACTACTCTCCTGTGAAGAGGCGAACTAGGTACTGAG